AACGATGATCCTGCCATCAACATGTGCTAATTTTCCTGATCACAAGCACTCGTAATCACAATAGAGCCATTTCTTTTCACGATCATCCACTGGTCAACGATCTTATAATATATTTTTCACATGTATTGTTAATTAAGCATTAACGGTGCTATAGTTCAAATCTAGCAAAATATTATCTCATTCAAGCCGAACTCACTCATATATGTACGATTTTATTCTTAAATTAAAAATAATTTAACAGTCCATGCTTATATTTCTAATTAAAATTTATTAATTAAATTATCTATGTTCCTTTTTCTTGAAATAAAGACTTCTCCTTTAAATTTGATTGGTTCTATTTCTACCCACAAACTTTTACTGCTACAATAGTTACATTTTCACTTTAACATAAATAAGTAAAGCTGTTAAAAACAAAGCTGAATGAACTGTCAAGGATCCATGCATGAAACCTTTCAGTACTTATCAAATATTATAGCAGCCTTATTTTTCTGCACTCCCTTTAAATTTTAAGACCATATCCTGCCAAAAAAGTATATATATATATATAATAACCCAAAGTAGAAAATATAATTATAATAATAAATAAATAAGTAAAATAAACTAATAACCCAAACCCCACATGCCTAATCTTATCTTCAAATGGCTTCATTGAATGGTTTGACACCATTTTAGCCTCCATCTAGTTCTGTTTTAATATAAAATGGAAAGGAAATCAATCCCCAACTACTTTTTTTTATTTTTAAAAATCTCAATCTGAGATATTTTTTATTAGTTTATGTGCATGAGATTAGATCTTTTTTTTTTTTTTTTTTTTAGGAAAAATAGAGTTTTTGACAGGATTGATATCTAACTATTCAACCCTCCACCAAATTGGCATCAAATCACTTAACAAGCGGGACCCACGAAAGAGTTAGGCGAGCAGGGAGAGGTGGCGGGATTCATGATTAATAAAGAAAAAACATACGCAGTGATGATGGTATTTTTTTAAAAATTTTTGTGGTTTTTGTCTTTTTTTTTTTTTTTTTTTTTTTTTATGCAATACTCTTCAACAGAGTTAATATTGATTAATGAAAATAAGAGTTTTTGACAGATTGATATCTAACTATTCAACCTCCACCAAATTGCACTCAAATCACCTTTTTTTTTTAACAACTAAAGAAATGCTTATATTTAATGTTAGTGTAAGAACAAAGTTTAAAAAGAATAAACTTTCAAATGAAGCGAAATTGATGCATTTATGAAATAATTATATATGTTTCAAATTTACTCAATTTCTTTTTATTTTTAAAAAAATTATTTCACTTGTCCCATAATATAAGTCGTTTTTAAACAATTATTTTGTCTCAAAATATAAATCGTTTTTTAAGTGATTATTTTGTCTCAAAATATAACTTTTTTTAAAATGATTATTTTGTTTCATAAATCATTTTAAGGAGTAATAAATAATATTTTTTTCGATATTACCCTTATTTACATTAGATACTTTTACAAATTATTTTTGACTTTCAGATGAAAATTACTCTTATTTTTTGAGATAAATAATAATTTATTCAAATTACAGTTAATTTTATTATAATTAAAAAAATTAATTATTTCTTTAATCACCGTATAAAAACTTTAAACGAACACAAAGATTAATATTCTATGCCCTCAACTTATTTTCATAGTGTCTACATTATGCAGATGAAATGAAATAATAATAAGAAAAAGATAATGATTTTTTTTTTTTTTTTTTTTTTATTTTTTTTTCTTTTTTTTTTTTTGTCCAACCTTTGATGCAATCCAGGTGTGTAAGAATTTTTTTTTTTTTTTTTTTTGTCCAATTGATTGCAATCGGTGTTAGAATTGATGATAACCCTACAAAAACAAAACTAGTTTTCCAAAGCCTGTGGGGATAACAGTCCAGAATGAACTTGTTCAGACAACAACCCCCAAAGGAGACAAGTGGGTCTCTTTCTCATTAATGTTTTTTATCTGGTCCCCTTCACTACCTCTTACACGTGTATCACCAATTTTCCTTAAATTATCCTTCTTCCTTCTCATTACTACTACAAAATTTCTCAATCCCAGTGGGATTATCCCAATTTTCAATTTCTAATATAACTTATTACTACTATATTAATCATGGATATATTCTTATTCTGATTATTACGAGGTCCAAAAAGCCGAAATAACAAAATGAACTTTACACATGGAGGTAGTAATTTACAAAATAAAATGATAGTATTTTCTTTTTGTTTTGGTTATGAAAAGAAGGGCCATTTTAGGAGTACAGAAGAGCAAGTTGGAGGAGGAATTTGACAGGAACAGTGGAGATGCAGGCTGATTGAGAGCTTGAGTGTGATTCTAAAAGTTAGAAATGGCAATCAGAAATTGAGTAGGGCACACACTAAAGAATGAGTTTGTACAAACACAAACCAACAAAAGAATTTGGCCGGTTATATTGACTTTAGCAAAATTTTAAATTCAATGACATTATTACTTTTGCAATGTCCTTTGTTTTCCAGAAAGCCTCTCCCCCCCTCATTTTGTCATTTCTTTTTAAAATTTTTTAAAATAATTTTACACGTGGCTTGAAAAATCACTTTTCAAATTTTTATTTATGAAAGAGAAAAAAAATTAACAATACTACCACAACTAAATTTAACTCCACACTAATTTGCATGGTCTATATGAATTCGTTGTTTTTATCTCTTTTTTCATAACTAAGTTTATGTTGATGTCAAGAAATAGTAAATCTTTTGAGAAAATTAAATTTTTTTCAATTTGGTTCTACACATTATATAAAATTATGTAGAATATGACAAATTCATAAGTCTTTTTCGAACTTAAATCTATTGCTAGATCGTACATGCACTTATCATTAAACTATATTTTGGTGTACAAAAGTCTTTTTCTCCTTTATCTCAACTTGTACTATTTACATATCTCGCGTAGGATTGCGCCGGTGCGAAAATAGTAGAACCTAATGTCAATCCTTTAAAAATCTTTAAATAAAATTTAGTAACAATGTGTTTAAAAAAATTTCAAATGATAATATGGAATAAATCCTAAATATTCTTGTATTACTTACCAAAATTTGAGAATACAAATTTATTGCAATGAACATACCATTATAGTTTAAAAAAAGAAAAAAAAAAAAAAAAAAAGACAAATATTTATAACAAGGATGATAATATCGCGCATAAACATCCCTCAAATCTTTCTTGCTATTACTTACCAAAAAATTTGAAATACAAATTATTGCCCCCAAGATCGAACTCAGCGCCACTTATAGTTTAAAAAAATAGAAAAAAAAAAAAAAGGAACAACAACAAACGGAAAGGAAAAGAAAAAAAAAAAAAAAAAAAAAAAAAAACAACAACAACAGAAAGGAAAAGAAACATTCAGATAACTACATAATGTTAGGTTGAGTAGGTTTGGCCTCTATATCATAGGAATTAAAAGTCAGCATGGGCAGATGCTTCTTCAACCATATAGTTTTGATTCAACTCTATAATTTTTCTATTATTTATTTTCTATTTATTGATCTTTAGAGCACCAACTTTTAGGTCTTAACCTATAAAATTATAGGAGTAGGTTAACCATATATTATTTATATTTTATAATTATTGAAAATATGTTCAGTAAAATTGACTATTTTGATAGCAGTTAACTGTTTTAATAGTATTTAACTGTTAACTGTTTGAATAGTTTTTAATAAAACGCTAAAAGACTTTAGATAAATTAACCTTTTGAAAAATTTTATTTTAACCTCTAAAAGTTAATTCAAATGTTATATTAATAAATACTATAAAAAATAGCGTATAATTACTAAAAACTATATAAAATGTTGCTGTGTATCAGTCTAAATTCTTAACAGGCACGAAAGTTGGAAGATGCTGACATTATTATAACTTATAAAACTAGTAAAATATGAAGTACAACTGCATATATTAATGTAAAAAAAAAAAAAAAAGTACAACTGCATACAAGGCTTATTTTGAAGGTCTATTTTTATCACATTATAAAATTAGCATTAAACGATAAACAACCAAAAGTTAAAAAATAAAGTTGATTATCAGCATTTTATAATTACTTTCTAGCAGTCCAAAGCTTGACTATTAATGCTAACATATATGTAAATAATTTATCTTTCAGTAATATACAGGGAGCGAGGGTGATTTAAATAGTAAGATACGTTTAAATTCAGTAGACAATCTCTACAAAGTGCATTTAAAAGGGTGTGGAATTATTCTTGAAAATTTTCTTTCTCTTTAAATAAAATTAAAAAACTTTAATTTGATTTCGTGTTCAAAATATGGAAGAAAGAGGTGTTTTCTCAATTCTACAATTCAGTCAATTTTGCAAAATCACTTTTTACAGGTAATTCAAAAGGTTTTTTTTTTTTTTTTTTTTTATTCTCGTAGGTTCCAACCTTATTTATGGAAAGGTGAATAAGATGTGTTTTTCTCATTATTCACAATATCAGTCAAATATTTTGCAAAAGAAACACCTCACGGTTTTTTCAGGTAATTCTCATAAAGGAATTTTTTCAAAAGGTTTTTTTTTTTTTTTTTTTTTTCAAATTGACTTTCCAAATTATCTTATTATTACTTGAAAACATCTAATTACTGGTAGCTAAAATTTGATTGTATTTTAGTACCATTAGAGTCTTCAAAGATATACATGATGCAAGATAAATATTTAAAAAAAAAAGAAAAAAAAAAGTGAAAAAGTTATTGAATCACCAAACATAAGGAAAAAGAACCTTTAATAGAGAGCAAGCCAATCAATATAATATGTCATTGTTGGTGGGGAAAATGTTTCCATTATTTTTGAATCAAGCTCATTATGATTCCTATTTTTCAAAGTAAGTGAATTGGAATTGGAATTGGAATCATCACCACATGCCATATATAAATCTTTTTTTTTTTTTTTTTAAATAAAGAATCCATCCAAAGATCTCTCATTTTCTCTTCATTTTCTTTAATTTTTTTTTTTGTCAGAAACAAATAAATATAGTACTCTTTGACACATTCCATGTGAAACCCCTCCAACCTCTCTCTTTCTCTCTTTACATTATTATATAAACACTTCTGAAAACAGCTTTCTCTTCACTTCTCGTCCTTTTCTTCAAAATAAAACTAAAGTTTCTGGTTGGAAACGAAACCCAAGATCAATATTGTTATGGGTTTCTTCTTCTTTATTCTTTCTTTGTTTTTGTTTACATTAACAAAAAAAGCTGAGAGCTTCCATAATAATATTAATTATAACATTACTGTTACCGACAGTGTTAATAATTTCTCTACCAGTTCAACCAGAGAATTACTAGCTGCAAGAAGTAAATGCAATTGGTTCCAAGGCAAATGGGTCTTTGATCCTAAATACCCTCTTTATAATCCTTCAACTTGTCCTTTCTTAGATGCAGAATTCAACTGTCAAAGAAATGGCCGCTCTGATAAATACTATCTCAAGTACAGATGGCAGCCTTTCTCTTGTAACTTGCCCAGGTACTGTGTTTCTGCAAATTATGATTGATTAGTAACTAAGTGCAGGTATTTAATTAGGTTTTTCTAGTGTTTCAGGTTTAATGGGCGGTATTTTCTGGAAAAATGGAGAGGGAAGAAGATAATGTTTGTGGGTGACTCACTGAGTTTGAATCAGTGGCAATCTTTGACATGTATGCTTCATGCTTCTGTGCCTAATTCAAAAGCTACACTGATAAGAACAGATGGGTTAGCTTCTGTCACATTTGAGGTTAGATTTTTCAAATTGAATTGTCTGTCTTTCTTTCTTTCATTTTTTCTTTTTATTATTATTGGATTATAAATTTAAACATATACAGTTATATACCAAACTATACACTTATGGATAATCATTGCCTGGCTGTGACGCATGCACGTCTTGTCCATTTCTTTTTTGATTTGAGAAGGTAAAGATTTCATTGCTTGAACTTAATTTCTTGCAACAGTTCTTTCTTGATTTTTTTTCTCCAATTAAATGAAACCTTACAGTTTTTGAAAAATTATTTTCATCCCTTTTTTTCTTCCTCGAACAAAAAGTGGGTTGAACAGTTTTCTCTAAAAATATACAGAAGACCGCCTGCATCAACTCTCTTCAGAACTCGAGTTTTTTCAGTACCGACTTCTTCTTTATCCATGTTTTTTTTTTCTGCTTTTTGAGTTGAACTTAAAGTTTGATGTTTGAAGGTTGAATTTTTGTAGTGATGTTTTTGGAGAAATGGAATTATTTAAATTATTTGTTTTTTTTCCTTATAGCATTAAAAGAGGAGCGTGATTGGTGGTGGGCTTTTCTTATGTTTGCCGGAGACATGTCTAGGGTTTTTTTTTTTTTTTTTTTTTTTTTTTTTTTTTTTTTTTTTTTTTTTTTTTTTTTTTTTTCTTGGTAATTTCGGTTTTTCAAAATTTTAACTATTACCATATCTTGTACTGTTTTTAATATTGTTTTTTTTTTTTTTTTTTTTTTTTTTTTTTTCCTGGTAAATTTCGGTTTTTCAAAATTTTAACTATTACCATATCTTGTACTGTTTTAATATTGTTTCTGCTCGTAAAGGAAATAAATTAATTTGGTAAAAATCTTTCTCACTGTATTTGTTTTTACCATTTCAGTGTATTATAATCTACTCCTTTTTAACAGTAAAATAATATTTTTAAATGACGTTTTCATGCATTAATTTTTGTTTTCTGTGTTAAGAGAACTTGTTATCTTTTTTCTACTTTTTTTTCCACATGCAATTTTAATTTTCTTTTTCTTGTTTTAGCAAATTGCAATTATGATGCGTTTGTTGAAAAAGAAAATCCTTTTAAGAGTAAAGCACACTGAGCAATGATCACTCCAAAATTAGCTCCTATAATTTTCATAATACATGTCTCAATTAGCAATAGTATATCTACATAACAATTGCCTTTGTCAATGCACACACGGTTGCCGTTTTGTAGGAAATACACCTCACTTTACACGTAAGAAATAGCCACAAACCAACTATCAAATCACATAAAACGACACTTACTGAAAATATTTTTTTACCTTTTTTCTTCGTAAGTTTTTAACTATTTGGTATCCAAAATTTATTGGTCTGTTTAATTTAATCATGAATATGATAAAACGCTTTCTCCTAAGTATTTAAAGCGACTTTATATTAAGTAAAAGAATACGATAATATGTATGGAAAGAGATAACCATAATAATCTCCCATATCAAAAGATATAATTAAATTTTGAAATAGATTGGCACTTTCCAAGAACCTCTTGTGGCATTAATCAGAGTTCTTTGCTTATACGGCAATTTGCAATTTATTTTTGAAAATGAAACCTTACAGTTTTCGTAAAAATTGTAATAATGGTTTGATTTTTGCGTGCAGGAGTATGGAGTTAAGATACTTCTATATCGAACACCATATCTAGTAGATCTTGTCAGTAGCAAGGCAGGAACTATTTTGAAGCTCGACTCAATATACGGTGGCAATACATGGCTAGGAATGGACGTTCTGATCTTTAACACATGGCATTGGTGGACCCACACAGGAAGAACTCAACCGTAAGTAATTTTCATATTATTTTTCAAAGAAATTATTTTTTTAAATGCTAGGAGTTGGAGTCTGCTATTATGAATTCTTTATTTTCATTCTGCTCAGTTGCATGATTGAGTGATAATTGTACGTAATTTGTATGATTGCAGATGGGATTATATCCAAGATGGGAATAGAATGTACAAAGATATGAACCGTCTAATTGCATTTTATAAAGGACTCACTACATGGTCTAGATGGGTCAACCGAAATGTTGATCCTTACAAAACCAAAGTCTTCTTCCAAGGCATCTCTCCCACTCACTATGAGTAAGCTAATTCCTTTCTTTCTATTCTTTCAATGAAGTGACAGTTGAAATGCAATTCAAAAGAACAAAACTAACTGATATAAACTTACTGATATAATTAGGGGAAAAGATTGGAATGAACCTACAAAATCATGTGTTGGAGAAACCCAACCATTCTTTGGAACAAGATATCCAGCAGGAATACCACAGGCTTGGGTTGTGGTCAAGAAAGTACTGAGCAGGATCAAGAAACCAGTTTATTTGCTAGATGTAACGACTCTCTCACAGTACAGAAAGGATGCTCACCCATCAGACTTTAGTGATAACCACAAGACAGATTGTAGCCATTGGTGTTTACCTGGATTGCCTGATGCTTGGAATGAGCTTTTATATGCAGCTCTCTTTTAGTTGGCTCTTTCTAGGGTTAATATTAATTAGTAACTTCTAAGGCAGTTGATTTTTTACTAGAAGATGATCATTATTTCAATGATTTTAGGATTTTGAAGATTTTCTTTGTTCCTTTCCATTGTTCTTGTGCAAGTGGGAAATAAGAAATTTAGAATGGGGAATGTGATGCTTCAATTGTAAATTTTATATTGTTTCTTTTGGCAATGAAGTTGCCATTAATTAATTGCATGAAATTTTTATCTTCTGTTTGAATATAAATGCTCATTGAGTTCAATTTGAATGTTTTTTTTTTAAGATTCTTGACTTTGTGGAGATGGTATGCTAAATTCAAGAGTGTTTTATTGGGTAACCTGTGAATTTAGATTAGTCTGCTAATCAAACCGAATTATTTTTGGTTTTTAGTTTGGTTGCTCAATTTTGGATTCAATTTCCAACCTTCTATATTTTCGGTATTTGTATCGTTTATTACAAAATACTTATTTTTTGAGTAAAATCAAATTGAACTGAATAATTTGGTTTGGTTTTAAGAAAATTCTATTTTCAGTTTCGCTTTTAGATTCGGTTCGTAACCGAGCCGCCCGTTTGCACACTCCTGAGTCTAAACCAGCTTAAAGTGTAGAATTTTGATGTTCAGCCTTCAACCACTAAGCGAAAATGCTTTGGGCCATTGCTAAAAGCCCAGGCCATCATGAAGAGTAGAGTGTAGATGAGAGGATATGAGATGGGCAAAGGAATTCAGATCCATGGGCCTAAAATTATTCTTTTACTTGGATCCATTAATAGTCTTTGTAAGGCCCAGCACAGTCCAATTGCCGATCCATAAGAAAGAGTGCAATGTGGTTTTGACACGTGGCTGTTGTTTTTACGTCCACCTGTGAGTCAACTCACAAATCTTTGATCATCTCCAGCAAGGAAATGAATGGATGAGGTCGAATGCTGACTCACCCATCTTGTAACTACAAACTAACACGTGGCATTGTAGAATCTGACACATGTCTGCTCCAGTTCATGCACACACGTTCGTTTTCTTCCTTGAACCGCCATCAATCTCCTGCTTTTAACTCCATGTCCGGCGGATGCCAAAATCCAATTAGCAAGAAACCAAGTAAATCACAACCCTGAAATTGCAGAAATGGCGTCTGAGAAAGAACGCAGAGAAAATACAACTAGAGAGCGAGAGGTTCGTTTAGAAAAAGATAGAGTTCCAAAAATGACTAGTCATTTCGAGTTTTTAACAGATCGGCCAGAGAGAGCAAAAGAAAGTTCCGATGAGGCAGGGGCCCAATTCGAGTCTCTTGCTGATAAAGTTGCGAATGAAAAAGAAAGACAAGAAGGAGAGAAACCGAGAGGAGCTTATTCTGTTGGGAAATCTGAAGTTAGCGGTGGTGAAGAAGAGAAAGGTTTCAAAGAGGGTGGAGAAAACAAACAGCAACTTTCTCTTGAAGAAATATCGAAGCTTAGAGAAACTGCGCAGAAGAATTCAATGGAGGCTATTAAGGGTGCACAAGAGAGATATGAGAAAGCAAAAGAGGAGATGAGCCAAGGTTTAGGTGTTGCAGCTGAGTATGCTAAAGAGAAAGGTGCACAAGCAAAAGATACTGTTGTTGATAAGAGCTCCCAAGCTACAGATACTGTTAAAGAGAAAGGAGCAGAAGCAAAAGATAAAATAGCAGCGCAAGGCTCTCAAGCTAAAGAGAAAACTGCTCAAGCAAAAGATACTGTTCTTGGAAGTGCTCAAAAAGCATCACAACAAATAGCAGAGAAAGGGTCTCAGGCAAAAGACACTGTCATTGAAGGCACTCAAAAGACGAGCCAGTATATTGCAGAAAAGAGCTCTCAGGCAAAAGACACTGTTGTTGGAGGTGCTAAAAAAACATCAGAATATGCATTAGAAAAAGCAGCTGCAGCTAAAGACAAGACTGTGGAAACTGGTGAAGGGGCTGCTCATTATGCTGGAGAAGTAGCAATTGATGTGAAGGACAAGGCTACTGCGGCTGGTTGGACCGCTGCGCATTACACCACTGAGAAAACAGTGGAGGGGACTAAAGCAGCAGCAAGGGCCGTTCAAGGAGCAACAGAGAAAGCAGCAGAGCTTGCTGCAAAGCCTTTCATTGCTGCTAAGGATGCTGTTGCGTCTACTGGTGAGACTATGAAGGAGTATACTGCTAGGAAGAAACAGGAGGCAGAGAGAGAGGTGGAAGCCAGGAAAGCAGAACAAGAACAGGTATGCAATTGAAATGTTATTTCTTACCTGTTAATTTCAATTGCTAGGATTATTAAAATTTAGAGAAATGGAACTAGCTGGTAAAGATAGTCATGGATTTTTATAAATTAACTAAAATGCAGGTTCGTTAATGAACCGCGAATGCTGATGCTATAAAGAATAGTGGAGATCTTGATAGCTTCATTTACGAATGGCTATTGCTAGCATCCAATATGACTTTAATCTGCATTTTTCAACTTTATTTTTATGAAAAAAAGGAAGTAAACGAGTAACTTTTGTTCTTGTCTAGTATTCTATTTGCATAGCTTGAACATTTGCTAAGATGATTTTGTTCTGTTAGATGTTTATATTCCCATTGGTGATAAATATTTAGATGGAAATTAGAATTATGTTTTGCCTAATTGAAGATAACGAGAGAGTTTTACAGGTTCATTCAACAGGAGGAGGAGAAGAATGGGAAACTGCGGGGAGATTCACCGGAAAAGCCACTCAAGGCTCAGAAGAAAAGCCAGAAGAGCATCATCAATGGCAGCAGCAAAAGGGAGGCAGCAGCCTGCTCGGCGCCATTGGCGAAACTATAGCAGAGATTGCTCAAACAACTAAAGAGCTTATAATTGGACAAGACAAACCTAGTGCGGGATATGAAGAACATGAGAGAAAAGAATAAGTAGATGAATAAAGACTTTGGAGTTCTGTTTCTGGTCACATGAGTATTTAAAAACTGATATAAAAATATGCTGATGTTATGGCTTTCTTGAATCTGTTTTTGTGTACAAATCTCTCTCTTTTTTTTTTTTTTTTTTTTTTTTTTTTTTTTACTGATATAAAAATATGCTGATGTTATGGCGTTTCTTGAATCTGTTTTTGTGTACAAATCTCTCTCTTTTTCTTTTTTTTTTTTATTTTTTTTTTTTTTTTTTCTCTCTGTGGTGCCTTATACATGTGCTTTTGGATTTCTTGAACAAGTATTTCAGAATTTAACTTTTTTTTTTTTTTTTTTTTTTTTTTTTTTTTCTCTCTGTGTTGCCTTATACATGTGGCTTTGGATTTCTTGAACAAGTTTCAAGATTTAACTAATGCATTCTACTATTATACATAAATCTTGGCTGGAGCCCTACTAAGTTATCAGTCCATAATTATCAGCTGAGCCATATAATTCCCAATTAATCTAAAATTCAATTAGGCTGTTCCATATGGCAAGTGCCTAGTTCAATCGAAGAAATGCTTATATAGCTCCCAACTAGCAGCCAGATATTAAGGGAGGTCTAAAAGTGATGATAGCAAGCGAGTCTGAAATTTGCCGAAATATGCTTTCTACTTAAATATAAGTAGTAGCAAATGACAAACATTGCAAGAACAGAAAAATCAACCTATAAAAGCTGAAGACAGGTTTATCTAAGCAAAAAAAATGGTGGGAACAATAGCAAAAAGATGGAGATTGCTAAGTGGAGAAGGTAATTGGAGGGAACTCCTAAACCCTCTAGACATGGATCTCCGGCGATACTTAATTCATTACGGCGAAATGGCTCAAGCTACCTACGACAATTTCATATCAGACGTACGGTCAGATTATGCTGGAGACTACAGATATCCAATGAAGAAAATGTTCTCCGGAGTTGATCTAAATATTGCAAACCCATTCAAGTACCGAGCTGTTAAATATGTGTATGCAACTTCAAAAGTTGAACTTCCACAGAGCTTTATGGTAAAATCATTAGCAAAACAACCATGGAGTAGTCAGTGCAATTGGATTGGATATGTAGCTGTAGCTACTGATGAAGGTAAAGCAATGTTGGGAAGAAGAGACATAGTAATTGCTTGGAGAGGAACAATCCAACCTATTGAATGGGTCAAAGATTTTCAGGCTCCTTTAATTTCAGCTTCTAATATACTAAAATGGGACAAAGACCCTCGTGTTCATCAAGGATTCCTCTCTCTATATAACACAGCTGATTTTGTTTCTGCTTATAGTAAAACCAGCGCAAGAGAGCAGGTGAGAATATTTGTGGATTCTAGTAATATTTACTTTCGTTTTATTGAAACTACAACTAGGATCATAATTAAGCAGAATCGAGCTCAACCGGAAAACCCAAGGTTTGAAACTCCGGGAGAACCCAGTTGAGATTTAAGTTTTAAACGAACTCGATTCAAATTAATGCAACAAATATTCGAGCTTTACTCACTTACAGTTCCACTCATAGCCTTCAGCTTATAAATGCGTGTTAGTTATCAGGTTATCGAGGAAGTGAAGAGACTGATGCAAGAGTTCAAGCATGAGGAAACCAGCTTGACAGTCACAGGACACAGCTTAGGAGCAGCGCTTGCAACTCTAAATGCGATTGACATTGCTGCAAATGGATTCAACATAGGAGACGAATCCAAGGAACGGTCTCCTGTCACAGCTTTTGTCTTTGCAAGCCCGCGAGTTGGGGATCGAAACTTCAAGGAGTTATCCGAATCTGTAGAAAATCTGCATATTCTGAAAATTAAAAACTTGAATGATCTTGTACCTCTAACTCCACCAAAAGAATCAGGATACGCAGACGTTGGAAAGGAACTATTGTTGAATACCCTGATATCGCCATTTGTGAATAGACCGGGAGGACCTTTAAGTTGGCATAACTTGGAGGCATATTTGCATGGAGTTGCAGGAACACAAGGTGATAAACCAGTATTTCATCTAGAAGTTAAAAGGGATATTGCATTATTAAATAAGGAAATTAGTAATTTGCAGCCAGATTATTTGATTCCTCCTGCTTGGCGTTGTCCTAGGAACACAGGGATGGTTAAAATGAAGGATGGTTCTTGGGAACTCCGAGATCAAGAAAATGAGGAAGATGATTGAACTAAATGGATATATCCAGAACTGGCAAGTAATTGCAGAATACTCAGACTGCTTCATTTATCTAATTTTTCCTTTTTTTTTTTGAAAAACAGTGTTTCATATATGAGTTCTAATTAAGCAATACAGTACAAATGGAATTAGAAAACATATTGAAAACGAAGTGCCGAAAAATTTATACATCAAGTATTGTAATCATGAACCATACCACAAATTTTCCACTCTCTCTATAATCATAAAGAACAGATAAGAAAGAAAAAAAAATCTCAATCTAGATATAGAAAATTAATCACTATCTAATTATCTATGCTTAAAATCATAAATCAACAAGGTATTTGAGAAGTGAACCATTCCATAACATGAATAGGTGCTTTGATCAACTCCAGAGCCAGCTCCACTATCACGGTCACACACAAACAACAGGGGCATATACATGTCAACAATAACCTGTACCGTTTGTCAGTTTCCAATATTAGATCCAAATTGATTAGTTAAAAACAACCCAGATCACAGTGTATCAAAAGCAATAAAAGACTAGTAGAAAATTAAGAAATCTTAAATACCCAGAAACTAAAACGCATCAGGAACTTATGTTTGGTAGTAAAGAAGACAAAAAGAATGAAACTTTTTAATACCCAGAAACTGAACTTATATTTGAAAGTGAACATGTCAAAAAAATGAAGAAATCTCGATTACCCGGAATTTAAAACAGCAAAAAAATTGAAAAACCAAAAGAAGAAAGAAAGAGATGAACGAACCCGACGATCCACACGGCAACCCCAACAATGGAGATAAGCAGAGACAGAAAGGCAAAAGGAAGGCCTAAAAGAAATCCCAAAGGCCTACAACCGTCGCACATAATTTCGCTTCGCTTGTGTTTCTTCTTCTACCTTTGAATGAAAAGTTCCTTTTTTTAAACGAAACTCTCCTCTCTTTTTATCTATCTCTCGTTATCTGCTCTGTCATTGAGTTGTTGTAGTAGTGATCATGTGTTTATTATTAATTATATCAAATTAAAATTCGATTGAATTATTGGAGAGGACACCACACGCAAGTTATTTATGAGGACAGCGAATTGTTTGCTTGAAAATCAAACTTGGAAGGAAGGGAAGTCTATCCTCAAGCAAGAGTTTCCAAGAAAGGCAAGCGCCTTGCCCTTCATTATCCACCTCTGCCTTGTATTTTTTATTTTCAATCATAACAATTAATTCTCCTAAATTTTAATAAAATTAAAAATAATTTAATCAAATTACTCCAAGAGTAATTTTATGAAACTAAGAATATTTTTTATCGATTTCAATAATAATTTGTAAAAATAGTTATTGTATTTAATATAAATAAAAGTGTTAAAAAAATAAAAAGTTCTAGTTGTGGAGCTTCTCCATAAAAGAAGTTTTAATATGTTATAAGGCTAAAACATGTGAACCTTAACAAAGGGCACCTTTGGCATAGCACAAAAGTTTCATAACACAAAGACCATCCTTTCACATCATATGACTTTAAGGAGGTCCAATAATTTATTTATCTTGTAGACCATTATCATCATCTCTCTATCCCTCCCTTTGAAGATTATAATTACATACTTAAAAACAATAGCCAAGCCTTTTTATACTGGGCACACCAACAATCATTGTCACAGAATAACTTTTTCAATTAAATGGACCTGCGCAGTTTACTTCTAATGGATCAATAAAATTTTGGTTGAGCAATTAAAGCTTTAAGAGATCCACAACATTATCTACTGATTTAATTGCATTTGCCATTCCAAAAATCAAGTAAAACTATGTTAGTTCTACCAAAAACCAATTGACTTCCAGAAAGGGCAGGCATAACTAGGCTGCCAGGAATTGATCTCCAATAAGACGAGTAGTCTGATATGGATATGATACTCTCTTGCTTTTCGCCTCTCCTGCCTGACTCGAGATTAAAGCGGTGCTGCAATTCCAAATTCCAAGAATGACATTCCTGGAGTTATGTTAATATCCTGTAAGTTGAGGCATAGATGAATCAAGCTTCCCAAGTCTTATGTTGAAGTCAGTAATTTCAAATTAAATAGTCAAAAGAAGAAAAAGTTTAATCAAGTAGTGAAATAGTTTCTTTTGATCAGTAGTTCCTGATCCGTAAATTTGATGTAACTTCAAAAACTGTTCAAGTCGAAAGTTTGAAAAAGTCACAATTGCAAATTTAAGGATGTCAGGCCAGGTTTCAATTTTTCATGCATGGATAAGTTGGTTAAATAGGAAAACATATTGGAAAATTAGAATCAAACTGTCCACTTACCAGTACAACATTCTTGAGCTTGAGCTCCTATGCTTCTATGATAGAAGAATCAACCTGGGCGCTTGTTCAAACTTGCATTATCACACTCCATGGAGATGATAGAGGCAAGTCTCCCATAAACCTGTAACATTAGCCAGCAGTTGTGTTATGTTTGTCTCCTTTACTCCTAAGAAGATCCGTGTCCCCTTGTCTTTGTGTGTATGAGAGAAGGGTAGAGATCATAATCACATACCGCAGTAAGCTGTTCATTTGCACCGTGTCTATCATTGTTGTCTTGTTTATTTGTAACTGATGCATCATACCTTCACAGCAGAGAATAAAAGAAGCTCAATAAAAATAGCTATCTTTACATGCAGCTTCAAAAGAAGATTGATATTCTGTTTCATTGTCAAGGAAACAAGTTAATGATCATACATTAGGTAACAAGTAGTGACATTTTCAATTCAAACTGAGGAATCACCAAATAAATTATTACCAATCCCGGGGAATCCCAGCTTCATCTCTAGCTGAATAATTGAAGGGCCCTTTTATCTCCACATTGTACTCCCTTAACAAGTCTGCATTCTTATTCCCAAAAGTTTTAACAGTTTGTGAATAATATTTTTCTTCCCCTGCATGGAACTGAAAACACATGCCATGCAATTGAAGATATGAAATCAAATGAGTAGGCTGCTAATACCTTTAAAAGTGGAACAAGGGGCACGGCCTAATTTCTGACAGACAGAGACAAACCAATAGACACCAACAGCAACATGTGCAACTTCCTCATCTGCAATTCTAACCACAATCTTAGATGTCTTGGAGTCTCCAAAACCAATCAATTTTTGTACCAGTCTAGGTCCAGCATCAAGTCCTCTCGCCTCCTATATCAATAACAATAGCAAGAATGCTGAAAATTTCTTTACCAAGTATTCATGTCTAATTTTGTATAAATGAGAGAGAAAAATAAGAGAAGAGGGAAAGAAAGAGCGGGAAAGAACAAGCATCATCAATATTTGGAAGTTGAAGATGTCTGATTTCAGTCCCAAAAGAAAGTCGCTAAAATAGCTAAAACAGGCCTGGCCTCAGAGTCCACCCCGAATATAAATGTATTAGATTTAGCATAATCACAACTAAGTGACAGAGTTCTATAGTGTAAATTATTCAGTAACAACTTTAACACCAACTCCATTCCACAATCTGCTCCAATAAAAAGAAAAAGGAAATTGAGCTTAATATTCTGCATGTGATCATCATTCATCCCATGAGGCCACAACTGTCTCAAGCTCATATTATTCTTTTTATCTAGAAATGATGATAGACTAGATAACCTAGCATGATCGTTCAGTACACTGTCAAAAGATAATCATCGCATTGTTTTGGGTCTCACATCTCCTGAAAGTGCACAGCATCTTAGGAGAATGGGTGTCCTTGGAACACAAAAATACCAAACAATCCCATTGCTATACTATTTTGCTTTCCTCTTTACATGCATTACAATTCCTTAGAAACAAAAATAACAAAAATCCTCTGAACTGCTATGAAAGGATATATGCCACCATAATACCAGTAATCACAGCCAAAATGTAGTACAACTGTCTGTTAAATGGAATTGAAGTTCAATCAATTCACAAGCAGAAAAGGGAGATCTAGAATGACAATGAAGCATGTGGTTACTTGCACAAATTAAAGGAGGTTGGATATTATCCCTGCCTGATTCCTTAAATTTGGGAGATCTGAACAAACCATACAACACAGAATCAGGTGCCAAATTACTGATGAAGAGCTCGTAAGAGTTTTATTTTGGTCCTTGAACAGAATATGTACAGAGTACTACTAAAGCTTACTACTTGTCCAGCTCATCTATACCATACATGCCAGGTTTTGTTTTGAGGAATCTGTTCAGTTTTGGATAAGAAAGGTATAAGATATATGAGATGATAATTATTGCCTTTTTCACTATCATATTAATCAGAAAACTGCACCATTTTACAAATATAAACATACAATATTTTTGAATGGTTCATAATGCTCATTTTTGCTCGTTTACAGCGAGAATTATACAGTTATTTGGAAAGCAAATCTTAAAGATGGAATATTAGCTTCACATCATAGTCACTGCATATGCATATTGTACCAAGCAGCTAGATCTTTAAGGTTGAGATGCATATATTAATCTATTACCTGGACAAGTGGGATTGCAGCCAACCTTGCCGCAACATTGTTAGATGATTTTTCACACTCCCTCCACAACAAATTATGAGCAGGCATATCTCCATACCTAATTAGAATGGAAATGTTATCTCGTCTAACCAACGGCCAAGAATCAATTAATTTAATACACAAAGCAATACTTGTCCTCACTTGAAACCAAGCTCAGCAAGTCTCTGGGAACACCAAGCAAAATGGCGACTCTCATCATCGGCAACATGTGCAAAGTCAGCAAAGAATCCTTCTTCTAGAGTCTCACTAAAAGGTGAAAATCGAACAACTGTATCCCATGCCAAATCAATTGCATTAAGCTCCACATGAGCAAGATTGTGGAGCGTATAAGCATTGAGAGGTAAGCCAGAATCTTTGGGGGCTGGAATTTCCTTTGGTGAAACCTAAATCTCACAAATATAAATAAGAAACAAACACATAAATATCAATGAAGGTAAGTGATACAAAATTCTTACATCATTAAATCATTATATCTCGCAATAGATCACTTTAACTTTCCTTCACAATTGATTGCCAAAATTTAAACTTTGATGATTTAAAAAGATAAAAAGGGAACAAGTTCCACAAACAACGAACACAAAGGTAAGGAGCAATAAGAAAACGAACCAATTCGGGTTTAAGAGGACGAGCAGGTTTAGAAGGAGGGGCAAAATCCCCAATAGGAAGCTTCTCGTTGCGCCACCTGGAGAAAGCAAGATGAGAAAGTTTGGATTTTGTGAGGGGGTCACTAGTGGAGAGAACAATAGCTCCAAGCTCTGCAAGAGAGGAAGCAGACCCAATTCCATATTCATTGGCGACAATTGAAGAGGGCGACGACAGCGGTCGAGACTCTGGACCATTAGGTCCCCAGAAGCGGTTCTCATTGAGCGGACTATCCCGCCATGCTTGGAGACCGGACCATGGTGAAACCTCCAAAGAAGAAGAAGAAGAAGAAGAAGAGAAGTATTTACTCTTGAGAAAAAAACGTGGGAGAGAGGAGCAACTAATTAGACTTTTCATGGATGCAAATTGAGTTTGCTGCGGTTTTACAAATTAACCATTTTGATTTTGAATGGATATGTATTGTTATATTGCTGCAATTTACACATAATACTGCTTTTCATATGTACAAAAACCAAAAATCAATGTGGCTATAGTTGGTCTCTCTGAACCTTCACTCCATTAAAATCGAATTTGATGCTAATCTAACGAGTTAAAAGAAAAGAGAGCTTATGTAATTCGCAATGTTATTTTCACTTACTAAATCTATTAATGGATTAAAAATTTGCGAATCAAGATCTTACATAGAAGAAATATTAAATTACGGGAACTCAAAGGGTGGTTGAAATTGAGCATAGTGAAGACTGGCTGGGACATTTGAGTCGGATTGGAAAAGAGATATTTCTGATGAAGCAATATGCTGTGTTACTAAATCACTTGAGAAGGTGGAATTACAGATTATCTTTTTGTATAACAACAAAGAATCCTGAATCTGCAAGGAGAAAATCAACAACGAAGTTATGGAAAAGAGTAGCGGCTAGTTAGTCATGTACACGTGCTACAGAAAAAAAAAAAAAAACCAAACCCATTTGCTCTGTATCTAATCATCACCACATTCTACCCAAATATTATACAAATTTTTCTGCACTGGACAAATATTATGCCACTTTTAGTTCTAGGTTCGAGGAACCATTTAAGCGGAGATACGCTCCACTCTGCTCTGCGTGTGCCTGTGCCTGCTTTTTGAACTTCACTGTACACCAATTGCCGATTCCTCTCGCAAAATCATGACCTGTTATTCATGACATCACCTTGCAATCTACTCTAATTTTTCTGGGATCTGAAGCAAAAAAAAAGGATTGCACCATTAGGTAAACAAACTTAGAATCGACAAAAGACTAATTGCATTTGAAAACTCTGCAAGAGGAATTTGCTTGATAAAGACCCATAGAACACAATAGGAAAACAGAATTGATCAGATATCCACCCTCAATGAGCATAGAGAGATCCAGAGAAAAGATCCAGATAAAAACATTTTTATTGAATATTTAAGTAGAAAATATTTATAGGGTTAGGAATTCTAATTTACCGAATGAAAGCTGTGAAAAACATCATCCTTTCCCTCTAGTTTCCAAAGCATGCCTAATTGAATTATCAACACACATATTCCAAACTGCAATTACCAATTTAAACACATTCTAACAATATCCTACACCTTCCACATCTACCTAGTCCATATTTCTGTTGTAGAAAAAGCAGGGGACCAGCACATGCAATTACATCCAATAAACCTATATGTTAGCTATACTATGGCCCTAACCTAGCAAACCCAATAGCCACCAATAACTGCATCAGTCAAGAGACTGTAACGAACTTTGGTTTTTAAAAATGTCCAGAAAAAATAAAAAAGATGCATCTTGCACGTTCATAATCCTACAATCCATTCAATATTAATAACCCTCAGTCAGAACCCTTTGCAACATGAATTTTGAAATGTGAAGCAACTTAGTCTCCTGTACTCCTTTTTCTCAATTAGGCAACAGTTTTTAGATGCACACTCAGCATACTAAGAGAAAGTTTAAGCACAGTATTGTTTTTTATAGATCCTGTAGAAAAGTCAATTGCTAATTTTAAAACAAACCTAACAGTTAGACTAAAATAAATGCCACTCAACTTGCCAAATCAATTCGGAAATAGGAATCTCACATGCCTTCTACCTAAACACACCAACATATGTTCTCTTCTCTTGGACAGTCCTATAGAGTTTATTACCATTCATCCATCCCTCAAAAGATAAGTTATCTTATTGGATGACAAATAAACCCCTAAATGTGCCTAACATGTGCAGAGTCAAAAAAGATTACAGGTTAATTTAGACAGAATGTAGACAACAAATTGTCTTCGCATGCAAACCATAATAACCTTGCCCAGAAAAATTTTGGAATGGTGTAAGTCTAACCTCAAAAGAAATACTAGGTGCACACAATGCCCCAGTGATCAGGCACATAAAATCCACAAACGTTTTGCAATTCTGACTACGATCTCCTCCCACACAAAATCACAGAGATATTTTATCAGTTATCATGATACAATTTAAAGAGAGGGAGAGGGTATAAAAATATAGCCATCATACTTCAATTGTTGATTCACAAGTGACAAGTCATCAATATAACTTCAAAAATTTACTAAATTTTTCATCAAAGCAAATATCCCCATATTTTCCTCCCTCTATGACTTTGGTTAGAGATGCATGATAAATCAATTTTATGGGGCACAAACAGAAAACCACTTCCCATTATTATTACATTATTATTTACCTAACTACACCCCCTATTTACACAATCATGATCTGCATGCAGGACAAGTGCCCTATATGAATCGCCACTTGAATTGATTTAACGTATGCAACAAATTTTATTTTCACAATTTTACTCGATCGTTGAGCATTTCTGGTAAATTCACTAAACATACAGAGAAGATTGCCAAATTCATGTCAAAAAATGCACGAAAAGATTTAAAGAAATCGAGAAAAGGAAATGAACAGAAATGAACCTACCATAACTACTCAACTCCTCGGTTAATGCCCTACATCAGATCCAGACGCTGAGGAGCTGTCACTATCAGATTCTGTGATAAATCATACAAAAAAATAAGAAAATAAACAGCAGTACATTAAATTACCAACAGAGGAAACACATGTGAACATATGTTGAAGAAATACAGGAAAAAAGTATAAACTAAGAAATATATTGCCATACCACTTGAAGAGGAACCAGAATCACTACTAGAACTGCTTGAACTACTTGACCTAGTGCCATTATCTCCCTGATTCTCCACTTGAACAGGTGATGAGGTGGAAACATTCCTTTCATCAGCTACCAAAGGCAAAAATATTTTAAGATAGCCAATTCGATCAAATAAATGACATAAATGCTCATCTGAAGATCTATACCTGTTTTATTTTCTCGTGGTTCCTCTGCCACAACTGGTGTTGGTGTCTGCAAAGACAGAAAACAAAATCCATTCAGCAATCAATCCTTTCTCCTGAGAAAGCTTAAACATCAAAATAAACAATTAAACCCTTACATTCTCCTGTACATTCTGCTCAGCTTCTGCTCTTGCTTGAATAGCGAGTTCAGCTTTTCTCTTGTTCTTGCTTAAACTCTTCTTGTAGTTGGTAACAAACCTATCCAGTTCCCAAAGAGTCTCAGCATCAACACTATCAATATCCACTTCAATTTCATCATCATGTTGGAAAAGTGATGAATTTCTCTTCTTTATTATCTGGACGATATTGTCCAGCTTTTCTGAAGGTAAGCTCTGGAGGTTCGTGCTAAGTTTCTGCTTCTCCTCATAAGTCATGTCCCTCTTGTGTGGATCCTTCGCCTTGGGCTTTTTTGGAGCAGGGGTTCTTCCTGAAGGAGTTGTACTAATAGGTTTTGGCCTAAGATCCCCCGTCGGATAAGTCATTGATTCTGATCTATCCAGAATCCTCCTCATATCAAGAGGAGGGGGTGGCAATGGATGAGCCTTCCTTGATGTGGGTGTAGGAATACCCAGCTCATAACTGACAGCAAACCTCATCTCCCTATCATAGTCTGACTTTATAACAGCCCACCTTTCCTCAAACATCTTCAATAGCATCTCTGCCATTATATGAACATCTTGCCCCTTTGGATTATACTTCAAAGCATTATGAAATGTTAGTCTGACATCCTCTGCAAACTCCTCGGGCGACTTGTACCAATTCTTGTGCAGCCTCATCTTCACAGTGCCCAGGTCCATAGGATGCTTAATTATGGTAAAGTAATCATGCAAGCCAAGCTGCTTCACATCAACAGGACTATTAAACACCCAACCATGCTTATGCTTCATCAATTTCTCAAGCAAAGCACTACAATTCTTGAAAACCTTGGACCCTGTCCCAAATCCCAAATCCCCTCCCCCTTGCTTCTTCCCATTCAATTTCGATTTCTTGTTGCTCTCTGCTGGTGGAAACTTGTCTTTAGCAAGCAAAAATTCCGAATTTCTATAGAACTGATTTGCCTTTGGTGTCCTCTTCTCTTTCTCCACAATCTCACCGCCACCCAGACTATTCTCCAGCACTGATATACTAAGCTGATTCAAAGGCCTAGACTGCCTAGGAGTAGGTGTTAGAACAGGAGTAGTAATCTCACGAGGAACACCCACTGATCCCACCTCTGAATAAACCCTCCTAAATCCATTATCAACTCCATCATTCAGAGAAACCCGTCCAGTATTAATACTACCAACACCATGCTGTCCTTCTTTGTCCTCAATCTTTTTCACCAAACTCCTCACCATGTCAAGTTCACTCTCCAGTTTTTTTCTGAGCTCTCTCATTTCCTGCTTAGACTTCGATGACAAATTTATCTTTACTTTATCCTCCAATCCTTGTTTCACCACTCCATTCCCAGTGGTCAGGTCCCGGCCACTTGGGGCCACGACAGAAACACCTTCCTGCCTATTGAGGCTAGAAGAATCATCAGAGTTGGCATCCAGACGGGAAATGGGTTGCTGCTGAACCAAATTTGTATCTTCTAAAGCTGGGTTTTTTAATTCTGGAACTTGAATTGAGTTGTTCTCATCATTTCTCTCGTTGATATTGTCATCGTTGCCATTCTTGCTGCTATTGTCTTTATTGCCATTCTTGCCGCTGTTGTCGTTATCGCCACTCTTGCCGCTGTTGTCGTTATCGCCACTCTTGCCGCTGTTTTCGTTACCGCCACTCTTGCCGCTGTTGTCGTTACCGCCACTCTTGCCGCAGTTGTCGTTACCGCCGCTGTTGTCGTTACCGCCATTCTTGCTGCTGCTGTCGTTGTTGGCTGCAGGCGCAAGTGATGGTGGAGGTGCAGGTGAAGGTGTAGCTACAGTAGCTGTTGTGGTGGTGTTGGTAGCGGCTTGGCTTGTGTCTTTGTTATTGGTGGTGGTGATGGGGGTGGCGAGGTTGTTGATGTTGTTCCTGTTACCTTTAAAAGCTTTTCTTGTATAGACTTTGTTCCCTGTATACCTCTGTTTCTCTCTAGCTCCATCATTTCCACCTCCTTCTCCAACTATAGACCCCGAAGCCATACATGTAACTCCAAAACCCTAATTCTCTTTCTCTTCGCACCAGCGAATCACAAGACTGGCCCAGAACTAGGGTTTTTCACCTCCGTAAAACCACCCGCAAAACCCTAATTTTGCCCCAGAATCACAATTCAATCAGGGCAATACAAAAACCTATAGCAAAGCTTGAACCTTTCTGGCTTTCACGATCTACTCTAGTTTAAATCTATACAAGTACGACGAGAGACTACCTACGCATATACATATATGTATAAACACAGCCACAAAGAAGAAAGAAGAGAAGAGATTTGGGATTGGAAGAAACAGTAGGATTAGGGTTTCGTTTTTGTTTACCTTTCTTTCTCGATTTGATCAGATCTCCTTTTTCGCTCTCCCCTCTCTCTCTAGAAGCACTTTCTCTCTCTAAAAAATTATTTCTCTCTCTAAATTTCTCTCTCTACCTCACTATACCCTTATCTTACAGGTGTACGGTTCGCATGCATTCGTGTTTAAAAGAGTTGTGGTCGCGAAGTATCATGACAAATATCGGTAGAGTTAGACTCAGATGTGGCAAGGACGCGTGCAATACAACAACCAATAAGAGAGGGGAGACTGATGAGCGTGACGTAAACGCGGGTTTGAGCATAAGAGAGGATTTAGTGGCGCGGAGTTTTGATTGTGGGATTTTGAAGAGTTTGCCCAAGCGGGGAAACTGCGCGTGGAATCTATTCACAGAGAGGTGTAGCAGAGCGGTGAGCACTTGGTAACCGGCGATGTTTTACACGCGCCGGTGCGTTGGTTGCTAATGGAGGGCTCAGTTTGAGCGGTTCAAATTGGGATGATGTGGCAAATCCAGGCCCAAACTGATGATCTAGCCCGTAAAAGTCAAACCCAATAATAATAATAAATACTTGCTTTTTTTTTTTTTTTGAGAAGGATAATAATAAGAACTTAATAAAGCAAATTAACTATTTTCAAAAAAAAAATAATAATGCAAATTAACTATTTAGTCCTTGAAAGTTGACCGAAATTCTTAATTTATCCCTATCATTCATAAAATCATCGATTAATTCTTAAAATTTATCTCGTAAAATTGTTTACCCCTTTCATTTAAAAATATCAACTTCATTGTTAATTTTCAATCAAAAATAAAAAGACTTTCATTTTAATGATAAGACACCACATAAAAATTTACAGTCATTCACATTCACATTTTCATTGCCTATTGATCTTAATTCTCGTTTATTCTTTTGTTTCTTGGTATTTAAATTTACTCTCAATCTCTTAAAGCTGTAGAAAAATAAGTACAATACTTTTAAGCTCAGCTTAATAAAGATATTTGGGCTGGAGCTCAATTCAAGCATAAAGGATCAAATATATTTTTTGAATATATGTTCATTTTTTGAACAGAATATGTTCACTGTGGGCGGAAGGACATGATAATGAGATAAAATATAAATTAGGGACACATAATTATTTTTCAAATATAAAAGAATTTAAGTGTTAATTTCAACATAATTCAAGTGCACAATTGTAATTTACCAAAAGAATAGCTTACAAGTTAAGTGGGCTCTCATTCAAGGTCAGCTTTAAGCCGTATTGACAGTGAAAAAGCCCATTGACTACGAGTCCATCAGCCCACAACTCATAAGCAACAAGTGCAAAAAAAAAAAAAAAAAAGGTTCACAAACCTCATAAGCAAACCAAGTTGCCAAAAAAAAAAAAAAAAAAAAAAGCGTTTTTTTTTAGAAAAAGCAAAATAAGAGATTCTTTTTTCAAAAAAAAAAAAAAAAAAAGGTTGTTTTTTAGAAAAGCAAAATAGAGATTCTTTTTTCAATATCATGTCCATCCTTGTTATGTAAAATTTATTTCTTTTACTTGGTTAAGTGAATATAATTCATGACAAAAGTATATATTTTCTCTTCAATTTGAGAGGGACAGGGTGAAAAGATTATTAAAATAATATCTTTTAACATTATATATTATTTTCTTTTTTAAAAATTAATGGCTAAACTCATAATTTAGTAAAAACTAAATATTTAGAAAACAAAATGAAAATTTGTTATCAACATGAAAAATTTATTATTTATTATGTAATATTCAGAATGCAGAATTTATTGCTTCCAATTTAAATATTTCCTATATTAAAGAAATTAAAAATCTATAATTTCAATGTCATTGCCAAAGGCGAGGCTGCCAATGCCAGTAGAAAAAGCAAGGCGAAGAACAAAAGGATTATTCCAAGCAATAGAGAAAATCTGTTCCTGCATGTATCCCTCCTTCCATTTACTTTAATCCAGAAGATTAAAAAATAAATGAAGCTTCCTTTCTTTTTTCTTTCTCTAGGTAGTTTTGGCAGAAAGAAAGAGAAATATGTAGAGTGACAGAGATATGAGTAGTACTGCTAGCTATTTCTTGAATCCGGATATATTTCCCCGGAAAACACAAGAAAGTGAAGGAAAATAAGAGAAAATGTGAAAAACTAGTTTTTGGGGTTGGAGCAAAGAGAAGCTGAGTCTGAGATAAATCATAAACACTGGGAGTATCTGTCTGAAGTCAAGACTTGTTAGTCTACAAATTTTTCTTTTTTGTTTTTTTTTTTTTTTAATCTCACTCTCATGTTTAAGCTTAAAGAAAATTATGCATTCCAAGCAAGACTTTTGCTTGTTATCTCTTTTGTCTTTAAATCTTTTACTCTTGTGTTGGGTCTTGGCATTTTTTAACTTCCAGTTTTGTGTTTCATTTTCGTTCCTTTTTTTATGATCAAGTTCTGATATTATGCTCAGCATACCATGAAACAAATTCATTATACTGATTTGTATAATTCTATTCGTTCACGGCCTCTGTATATTCTTGGCCCTTGGGAGTACGAGCCTCGAAAATTCAAGAAAAGAACACTGATGGTGAGAAGACAATCAAGAAAAATATCAAAACCTTTGAAGTGATCATTTTACTATTGTTGGCCATTGAATTGTCTCTCGTCAAGAATAGTAACCATCAGAAGTAGAAGAAGAATATATAGCTAGCTAGGGTTTTATTATATTTATAAAACCAAAACTCATAAAATGTTTGAGAGAGAGAGAGAGAGAGAGAGAGAGAGAGACCAAATGTTAGTGGGATAGATACATGTAGACACCCAAATGAATTTTAAGTCCTAAAAGCATATAGTTTTTATCTCCATACAAAAATATATATTGTTTTAACCCATTAATATTTTGCTTTTTGCTCTTTCTTAGTACTCTCAAATGGGTGAGAGAGAGGATGGTGACTCGATTTTTGTTTGTTATAACCAACGCATGGACGACAATCCAATTGTAAATTCAGAAGAATTTTGCGAATTCGAGGTAAAGACAAGAAGTGCTACAAAGGATTTTTGTTTTCTTTCTAAATGTTTGCTAATTCTTGCTTTTGATCATTTGGGAAATTAATATCTATATGTAAATATTGCCCACATGAGATTAAAGTTGGATGAGACTCAATCCACATGGTTGCATTTATTATATGAAATAAAAAAGGATATCTTAAAAGTCATAGTCTCTTTTTTTTATTTTAATCATTTGATATTTGAAATTTACTGGCTTCATTAATCCGAATTTACGCCAAACGGACTAATAAAAAGGAACATAAAGCTCAAACTCGAGACCTTTAATAAAGAGTGAACGGAACTCTACCATCCCATCTCATTTCTCGGGAGTAAAGTCATAGCCTCTTTTATTGTTTGGATTCAATATTGACAATTAATAATATCAAAAAAGGATTGGTTTATCCAATATTCGACCTATCATTAATTCTTGACGGAGGTCTAATAATATTTATCAAGGAAAAGTCATTATGGACCACAATTTTTGTCATCCTTGTAATCTTTTTTGTTGTCCACTCCAAATTTTTACTCTTTTGGATAACAAGGAAAAGTTGCAAACTTTTGTGTGTTTTGTGTAAAATGAAAAATTCCAATGACCAAATAGGAAGTCCATAAAACAGAAAGAAAACCTAATGGAAATCCTATTCTGAATCTACCATGGCCGGTTTGATTTCTTTTGGCAGTTGGCCAACTATATTTCTCTGAGATTGACAGTTGCAAATGGATATAATAGTGTTCCTTTATTTGACCATTAAAAAAAGTAACCAATAATAATTCCTTAAAAAAGCAACCAACTATACTTCTTTTATTAATACTATAAAGTTTCATCTTGCTTTAAAAAAAATTATTCATTATTGGACCTATGTGTTAATTACTTATTTGATCTTTCTAAAGGAGGATTAGTAAACAAAACATCAATTTAGATTGTGTTCGGCAACAGCTTTTTAAGTAACTTTTAGCGCTAAACACTGTTAAAACAACTAATAACTATCAAAACAATTAATTTTATTGAACAGACCATTAGTGTATGAAAGTATTCCATACAGATTGGTTTTGGAATAACTACGTTATTATACTAAAACTACTTTTTATTAACGAAATAATAGAATGAATGGTTAGGCAGCACTCTTTTTTTTCAAGTGAAGATAATATTAGTCAGATATATGGAAAATAATGGCTATTCCATATGTAGAACATAAAAACGAGCCGTCCATTCAAAATCAAGTGCTATATATCCCTTGTCAAGTTTGATACGTCTCCTTAATCAAGGTTTAAGGTTTTATTTTTTTTTTTTTAAAGGGTTTAAGGTTTTAATTAAGAATTAATTAAATTAATAAATTAATAAATTAAACCAAACCAGTGAGGGGTGAACTTTTGTTTTGTCTAAGCTTGAACTGGAATGAATAGTAAGATAGGCGTGGCTCCACGTAAGATGGTGTGTTCTTCCAATATGATTTTACCCTAAATGATCACTAGTGAGCTTCATGTGGTTCTAAAGAAGAAAAACAGATTTAATTTGCACAAAGCCAATGATTCCATCACAACGTGAATAACACATGTGGGTTACATGTGAGATTGCATTTCTTGTCAACCATCAACTCTAATCTTATTAAAAAAAAAAAAAAAAAAGGGTTACATGTGAGATTTGGCATTTCTTGTCAACCATCAACTCTAATCTTATTAAAAAAAAAAAAAAAAAATTCCGACTTATTAATCGAGAGTTGAATCTCGCTTGATGGAATAAATACCATTAAATACACTTTATTCTCCTTAATAAAACTGATCAATAAAAAAAAAAAAAAAAAAATTCCGACTTATAATCGAGAGTTGAATCTCGTAGATGGAATAAATACTCATTAAATACACTTTATCTCTTAATAAACTGATTCAATGCGAGCACAATTTAATTTTAACTCGGTGTAAATATTGTGAACACTATTATCTTGAGTATTCATATCATTTTTAAAAAATCGATCTTGATATATCTTGCCCATAATGAGATAGGAGAAACTACAAAAAAGATGAGAGCATCTCCTTATATAAGAGCTTCTGAATGCTATATATTTCTTTTCACTTCTAAAACAAATTTGTAATATTCTCTATGCTTTTTTCCTAGTTTGACTTGCATGTAAATTAAAAAAATTTAGGTAATATAGTTAAACTATAATTGTTATTTTATTTTTTCATAATATATCATTATGTTAGCTTTCATTAAAATTACATGATATATATTAAATTGTTTTTGAAATTAATCGAAATTATAATAAAATATTTAAATAAATATAATTTTCTTTGAAGATTAAACATTAATATTTTAATTTTACTTATATCAAGGTTTAATTAATGATAACGTATTAGTTTAACCATTATATTTATGGACAAAGAAGTTATTAAATAAAAGTAAAAAGAAAAAATTTAAATATTATTCACTTCTGTATAAACATCGTATATATTCACTTGATCTGCACATGTGCAATGTCATGTTCTGTGATATTTGAGATATAAAGATTGTATATAATATATTCCTTATTTGTTATTTCACACAGACACTTATACCTTACTGCTTTTGTTTCATTGGAACTAGATTATCTTTTGCTGCAAGATTAATATAAAACAGAAGAGGATATAGTTCTTTTATTGCCAAGGTTTTGCTCAGTTGACTAGCCGGTTCTCTTTTTCTAAGAACCTTACATTAGCATTATAATTCTGAAAATGAAAACTACACTTCAGCAACAATGCCAATAAAGATAAAAGTACCATAAAATAAAAAGTTGCAAGCATTCATTTGCATGAAACTGAAGATACAAAAGTCATGAAATGATCTTTTTGTTTCTCGGAGTTTGCTATATGGGGATGCATGTCAGGCATTGAGCCTTTCCTGGAGAGTGAGAATGATGTTCAGGATCAGGTCCTCCAGGAGATACTCTATCAATATCTGAATTTAGCAGCGAAATCCGTCGATGATACTCCAGTTTTGAACCAGTGTATCCCATTTCACGTAAAAGTTGGCGACTATCAAGCTCCTTCCTATGAACTCTTGCCTCAGACCTGATCATAAGAACCATAAACACAATCAGGAACAAAACCAAAGCCTGTTTTCCAGTTGGATTGGCCATCTAATGCTAGGTTAGATCTTGAAGAGTTAACAAGTTTGTTCTGAAAGAGAAGCTAACACAAAGTTAGTTCCAAGACTTATAAGTAGAGCTACTACTTATAAAATGGAACTGGAAGAACAGGATCTATATAGCAAACTCAACTAGCTTGAATAGTTCACAGATAGTTAAGACGAGTGAGATGTACAGCTTACAGCTTGCTGCTATTTATAAGATTAGAGGCAGATAAGATGAGTGCTAGGACACATATAATGGACCACTATATTTTGTTTTTTCTGTCCAACTTTACTATTATATACGATAAATTGATAATGGCTCCTAAAAAAGGACAAATTAAACACCTTAAGGTATATGCAGAAAGTTTTCTACTCTTTAGATTTGGAGTTGGTTGTCGTCTCCCATTTAACTTTAAACCACTAACAAAAAATATGATACTGCTCTCCCTTGCATTGACTCTTTCTTCAAGTGACACGGGAGGGAGTACTCTTTATTGCACCAATCAAACCAATTCTAAGTTCTGACAGCTTAATCACCATTTTAGGTTAATAGACCATTTCTTGCACAATAGTAAGCTTAAAGGTGACCCAATGCATGAAGCATCTCACATTTGCAGGCTCTGAGAAGGGTTGATGAACACAGCCTTCCTCGAGCTTTTGCAAAGAAGTTGTCCCCAGCTACTCTTATCTCTTCCTCCTATGGTAGGTTTCTACACAGTTCACTTGCTGCTCCCAACTTTCACGTCTACACTAGGACAACAATCTTTGTGAACATAAAAGCACATGCAATATGTATCAAGCTAAGTCAACGAATTCATGGAAGATAACGAAAAAAAAAAAGAAACGAAGAGATAAAGATAGTTTTTCTTGGAACCACCGAAGCTTTTTTCCCCACCAATTCGCCACATACAGATTGTTTTGACTGTGGAAAATAAAATATAATCAGTGTCCCTTCCCGAATGGTCAGGGGACATTCAAATATATTAATACAATATTCCATTATATTATAATTGTTTGTTCTTATCATTCTCCTATCTTTCAGGCTAAAAGAGGTAGAGAATCTCGAGAAAATCCATATTATACTCTACCGGATACAACTATCCGGTACAAGGTAAAAGATAAATAGGATTGGAGAATTTCACATGATAATAACTGTTGGATATGATCAAACGTCCATTGGAAGAAGGAATTATTTTAAAGCTAGAAAGGAATTCACCTATAGATCTAACCTAATCTTTTCCACGTCATTAGATCAACTTTATGATCTAAAGCAGATAATCTAAATGTTTTTATGTGTTTTTCATAGGCACTCTACCCAAAGAACAAATGAACATTTTTTTTCAATTCTACTAGTTTCTTTCGTATTTCATCTTCATCTCCACCCTTCTTGTCCTTGTCCTGCACAGCTAGCTAGTTATTTTTGAATAAATTATAACAAAATTTAGCAACTTACGGGATATATATCTTTGAATAAAATATAAGTAATTGAGGCTTAAAAATCTTTTGGGTTAATTTTGGTTGTGTCTTCTAGCCAGAAAGATTTTGGATAGACTATACCATAGATAGGCAAGCTATATTAAGAGTCTTGTTAACTTTTTCTTAATTAATTCTCACAAATGCATCTATTTTCATTCCATCTTTTGTTGAAGCAGCAGAAAATCAGCTTGCTATGAACATAGTGCCTATACAGAAATCTAAATTAACTGGACAGTGTATCCAGAGCACAAAAATGATATCAGAAATCATACATCTTCAAAGTAAAAGCATATGCATAAACTACAATATAAAAGATGACCTATGTCCTCTATGCAATAATAGATTTATCAATTTGTTCTTTCTATAGACTGAATTTGAACATTTTCACAAACCATTGTTCAAATAAACTTGCGTATATAGGGGGGAAGAAAATTAAAGAAAGGTGCAGAGAGATTGCCCCCATGTACCTTGATTAAAGGGAAGCCTGCGGCATAAACTGATGAAGAAAGGGACGAAGGTCCAAACTGAGTTGGCCAAATTTTGGCTTTGGTAAGCACGTGCTTAAGGAAACATTATGTGGATGCCGCCCACAAATATGCGGCTTTACCACTTCTGATTGGTTAATATTATAAACTATAGGTTGACAATAAATCTGTATGGCACCTAGCATCAAACAGAAAAGAGAGGAAGAAGAAATCATTTCAATAGATCCCAAAAGCTGTTTTTCCATACCGGTTATGTGAGCTTAAGTCAGCATCAATGGAATAAATAAGCAATTTACATTATATGAGGTCTTCATTTATTTGGAGATATGCAGACCTCACGCAAAATGAACTTCAAAGGTTAGAAAGTCCCAACAGAAACATTTGGGAGAAGAATTCATATAGTGAACTTCAATTTGCATGCCCTGTTTCTTGATAAAGTTCGGTCTTACAGAGATTTTCTCTGACAACATTGAGTTTACATTCCCAAAACTTGATCCTCTTTGGTTCTATATCTCTTGCAGCCTTCAAGGAAACTACGCCATATGCGGGCATTTGGTGGGAAAGGCATGCAGGAAATTACTTTCTCTGCTTCCTTAACATGTCCATGCCTAGCCAATAAGTCCACAAAACAATGATAATGATCCATGTCTGGTTCAATACCATAACTAATCATTTCCTCAAAAAATTGTATTCCTTCTCTCACCAAAGCACCATGTCTACATGCCGAAAGTGCTGCAATAAAAGCAACCTTATCAGGTCTAAAACCCATATCTTTCATCTCCCTGAACCTTTCTAATGCTTCACAGACACGACCATTAATACCAAGAGCCGAAATTAGAGCTGTCCATGTGATTAGGTTCCTATTTGTCATACTGTTGAAGATTTTTACTGACCTCCCAGGGCACCCACATTTTCCATACATGTCTATCAATACATTGCAGACAAATACATCACAGGAACTGAAATTAGTCTTTATAAGAAGACCATGGACAGAACAACCCAAAGCAAGATCACAAATTTTACTACAAACACTCAGAAGGCTAACATAAGTATAATTATCTGGGTAGATTTGGCCCATAAGCATACGTTTGAAAAGTTCGAAAGCCTCTTTATAATTACCATTCCGAGCACATGCTGCAATGACAATGTTCCAAGAAACATCATCTGGTTCTTCCAGCTGAGAAAGCAATTTTAATGTTTCCTGATATTGACCAGATTTGTTAAGGATTCCAGCAAGATTGTTAGAGGGGACAGCGGCAAGTGGTGATTCTGAAGCTGCCAGAAATACAAGCGCATCAGATATGAGACCGTTCCTACCATAGGAGGAAATAAGGGAGCTTAACACAAATTCATTAATCTCATATCCCATTCTTATAATCAGACAATGAAGCTGCTGTAGCTCAATTATGGAAGATGATTTAAGAACTGCTGAAAATGAAAACTCATTAGGCCGATATCCCAATTGAAGCATTTCCAGCAGCAAAGAAATAGAAATAGAAGAGCCTTTATTTGCAAAACCCAGAATTAAAGAATTCCAAGAAACCACATTTCTTCCATTTATCTTAAAAAAACAATGCCGGGCATCATCAAGTTTGTCACATTTAGCATAATAGTCCACCCAGGCACTACCCACATAAACATCAGTTTCAAGAGCATGCACGATTGTTTTAGCATGGACAAATTTTCCATACATCAGGATCTGTAAATCTGCACAAGAGCTTATGAGACTACCAAATGTGGTCTGGTTAGGCATAATGCCATCCTTAGACATTTTCAAAAAATGCTGTAAAGCTTTAATGGACTTCTTGCCTTTTGCCAATGCACCAATGATTGTATTCCATGTCACAATATCCCTACAGGCTGCCACCTCAAACAATTTCTCTGCTTGGCGTATGCTTGCACATTTTGCATACATGTTGATAAGAGAATTCACAACTGAAACTTTATAATCGAACCCCCTTTTAATGACTAAACCATGAATTTGTTCTCCATATTCCATGTCTTTCTCGGATAATAATCCAGACAAAACAGCCACAACGGAAAATTCAGACAAACAACCTTCTTTCCTGACAAGCTCAGAAAACAAACGCATACAATCTTCCACACAGTCCTGATGCCCAAACAAGGAGATCATTGAATTCCATGTCACCAAGCTCTTAGCAGGCATATCCTCAAAAACACGGAATGCCTCATCTACCCGCTCACACCTTCCAAACAGACCCATCAAAGCAGTACCCACAAAAGCATCAGCGTAAAACAACCCATTCTTCACTGCAAATGCCTGCAACTGAAACCCACGATAAATATCCATAGATGTAAACGACAATAACCCAGCAAATGTGAAGTTGTTGGGCCTAAATCCATAATATGTCATCTCACCAAAAATCCTCCAGGCTTGCTGTAAATAATCATACTTGCAATAAGAACTGATAATAGAATTATAGGATACAATGTTTTTTTGGGGCATATTTTCAAACACCTTTTGTGCCATTGGCAATTCATTGAGTGATGCATAAATCTTGATAATATTATTGTGAAGAAAGGTGCTTTGCTTAGTGTTAGGACCAAGAGTGACTGTGAGTGCATGGAGAGATTTTGTTTTATCAAGAGAACGAATCGTTGAGCAGACATGTAGAAGGTATTGAAGAAGGAGGTGGTGTTTGAGAAATTCTCCATGGAAGATCATGCAGGCTGGAAGCAAACAGATGCTAACAATTAAACTATAGTGGCTCCCTTTAGACGACATAATGTAAAAAGGACTCGTTTCATAAAATAAACGGCAGGTCGCTCAATTGAACTGTTTTTCAAGCAAGTGGATGGTAGTACTACAAAGTACAAACTACTTTCTTTTTTTTTTTTTTTTTTTTTTTTTTTTCAAGCAAAGTGATGGTAGTACTACAAAGTAACAAAACTGACTTTTCTTTTTTTTTTTTTTTTTTTTTCTTTTTTTAGAGAAAAAGAAGCTTTATTAATCAAGAAGAATATATCAAAACAAGAAATCAACTTCAAATACAAAGGGAAATACTAATCCAAATAGTGAAGTTGCAAAATTAAATAAACTGCTCGAGTTTTTTTTTTTTTTTTTTTTCTTTTTTAGAGAAAAAGAAGCTTTATTAATCAAGAAGATATATCAAACAAGAAATCAACTTCAATACAAAGGGAAATACTATCCAAATAGTGAAGTCTAGCATAAATTAAAATAAACTGCTCGAGTAAGAAATGAGCTGGCTTGTTCGTTTGCCTATGAATCAAAATCACAGAAACTGTATCTAAAACATTGAGATAAGACTTACAATCTGCAATAATTTATCAAATTTAAAAACTACTTAGTTTAACATTAATTGAAAATCATGAAAAACTCTATAAATGTAAATAATTATTTTATTTTTTATACTCTTTATTATTATTTTTATATTCTATTTATTTTAAGATTTTTTTATATTCTCCGTCAGTATTTTATTTAAGATTAAAATCCACGTAAATATATATTCAACTTATTTTTTATGTTTCCTTTCATTTTTCAAGTATTTATTGATATTGGAAGTATTCAACTTCAACCTTTAATGATGGCGAAATAGATAAATTCATTTATATACTTTACGTAAAAAATTTTAAAGCACTATGAACTTTTATTTTTGCGTTTAACTTATAAAACTGCATCTATTAAATTTTTTAATTTTTGAAAATTTTCTATTAAACATTTCATCTTTAAAATCAGCTCGATTAAATATTTTGATTAGTTAAAAGAAATATGAAAATTATTGATTGAAAAATTATACATATATAATTCTTCGAATGATGTCATATATTACCTAGCTAACTAAATTAAAAGTTGAAATTATTAAGAAAGAAAGATTCTTATATATTTATATTAAATTAAAGCGAATTTATATTAGGTATTATATATCAATATTTTTCTATTATCTAGATAATAATAATAATAATAATAATAATAATAATAATAATAAAGTTATATAACATGTTTCATGTAATCCCACTTGGCTTTTATGATCTAAAAAGTGAAATGTACCCACGTTGCGACAAATAAAATAATGATATATAAATAGTTCTAAGCTCATACATGCTCGTTAAAGTATCATACTTTAATTACATTTTCATTCCATTAAGCACAAAAAACAGACATTTCAGAAGAAAAAAAAAAAAAACATTTCTTTTTCCACTCTTAACGACTAATTAACCGTCCAATACATTAGCTCATAACATAACTAAATAGCATCAGCATTAACTAAAACAAAAGTCAACTCAACCTCACGTTTTCTTGTTTCTAACTTCCTTTGATCTCCGCCATGAACACAACTTCAAACTAAGTAAACAGAATAATGAAATTTCTGATTAGTGATGTTTAGGGTCAGGACCTCCTGGACTTATCCTCTTCGATTCATTAGGGTTTCGTATCGTCCCTTCATCTCTTAATTTCACCATGAGAGCATTGGACATTTCTTGCAAAACCCTAGTTAGGGTTTTCTTGTCATGGTTATGGAGTTGAGGACGAGGACGAGGAGGATCATGATATGGCACAAGAAGTCTAGTTTCTGATTTAACAAGTGTAAGAATTAGTACAATAAGGCATACCCAAAACTTCAAATAACTTGCCATTCTTCCTAGACCTCGAAGAGCTAGTATAGCTTAGCTATTTAGTGTATAAATTCATTTCAAGAAGAGCTCCTTATATATAGTTGATTATATGCATATTTATAATTATTAAACAAAATTAGAAGTTTTTTCTAGGGATTTTAATAATTAATTTACCAATTAATATTAAGAGAATTGACCATGATGATGAGTGTGTGTCTAGTCATCAATTGCTTATTAATTTTGTCCTTGTGTTTACCACTTAATTTGTGTTGTTTAGAAATCTTGATTGCTTGTTCTTTTGAGCTTTCTAAGGTAGCCAAAGGACACCAAATGATCTTTTCTTTCTTCTCTTTCATTTACATATGATGTCAGAAACTTTTGAGTTCAGCTTTTGTTTGTATTATGTTTTATACTTATTCCAAACAAATTTTTTGTATTATTCTCATATGATAAGCATATAGACATGTATATATGTCATTAGAGTTGAATTTAGATGACTAAGACTGCCACTACTCAGCAATTAAATGAGAGTTATGTTGAAGGCACATGCATACCCACATAAACACATGCTTGCTAGGAGCTAGGGTTGGTCGGTTCTGATTCCTGAAATATATATATTACAAAGGAAAAAAAAACCCTAATGTACTCTCCACTTTCTCCCACATTTTCAATTATTATTATTATTATCCCTAAAGAAGCTATCTAGCTAGCTAGTTCAAGGGTTTACGTGAGCTATATACATGTCACAAGTGAAGGTAAATATGATAGTATCATGATTAATGTTATCCATTATCATATAGCTAGGTAGTGAAATATGGGATAACGAAATCTAATTAATTACTTAATGATATTCTCATATAATTAAGCGCCGGCTTGATTTAAATGTTGACGCCAGTGGATAGCTGACAGCGGTTATTGTTAGTAGATAGCAGTTAATTAAATGAATATCGTCGTTTGATAACTGAACGAAACACATCCTCTAAATATATATATATAGAAAAATGGATTGTTGACTTGAATAGTGCCATAAAATATCAACGCACTAAAGCATAAATCATTTGTCGTGAGCCATAAATATAATGGCACCTAATTTAATTAACTACATAATATATATATATAATTTAATTGTTGTTTTAATACAATTCCAAATCCATTTCCTTGGAGTGTAATAAACAAATGAATGTGGCTTTTCAACTCTTGAAGAATCATCATCCTACAAATATTTTAATCTATCATAATAGATTCTTAAGGTTTAATAAGGAAGCAATATTCATTATTCTCTCGATGATGAATCTCCAAATCATATAAATTAGGTAGATGCAGTGCAGTCTTAGCTATTTCTGTCTGTACCTCCTCATATTTAAGATAATTAAAATTAAAATCAGATTATTCTCTGTGTAGAATCTTCTAAATGGTTCAATTTTTTTATTAGCATTTTGGCTGAAAATGCTCAGCTCAGCAGTTGACTACTGTGACCATTTATATATATATAATGCTTTTCAGACCTGAATTATGGATTAGCATGTGTAAAGTTAAAATACATTTTTACATTTGTCCTTTCAATTTCTGGACAGTTGCTTCTCTGCCCTTTTCCTCATATTAATATTTTCACCTCTCGTTTTGGTTCTGTAAAATTTGAAAGGAACTTTTGGCTTTGTGCAGTATTATTAAGAAAATGGGAAAAAAAATCTTCTGGATTGCAAAGAAAACAAAGGAAAATAAAGAAAATGAGCTAATTTGTAGAATATTTAATGCATTAGATTCAAGTCGATCATAGGGATTAAACACTTTCTCTCGAGCCTTTGAAAAGACTTTACATCCATAGTCCAAACTCAAGACTTTTTGATTAAAAGAAAAGATATCATTATTATTCTATCTAACTCTTTTGAATTCTCCATTTTTATAAAGGAACATTCATTAAAAATTGAATAAGTTGAAATAATTAAAATTAATAATTTTTTTCTTAGCAAGTTGAAATATTAAATGTGCTATACTATAAAGCCTAAGAAAAATCACTAAGGAGCTGCCATGGATTGGATTTTTGCTCTTGCATAATATAAAATCCAATGGGCTCTGGGCCTTAGTGATTGGATCAAACATTATTTCATGTTTTAGGCCCAACTAACAATATCATTGAATGATTAGCATATGAAGAACAGAAAGACATTTAAAATCAGAATCCTATTCTTGCAGAAGCAACAGTAAAAATAGCTAATAAGGTAATCCAAATAGGTAGCTCTTTGGCAAAGAGCACCTGAGAGGATTGAGGAATCTATAGGATCATAGATTTGAGCCACTCTCAGCGGGAAATCTCCATGGGCCAGCTCCGCATCTCTCGAAGCGCACGAAGAACATTCAAATTATATGACCTCTTAAACGAACATGGATAAAAAAAAAAAAAAGCTAATAAAGTTACATTGTATCAGAGAACAATAAAGAGAGCTCATTAGAAGTAATTTGAGTTCAAGGAACTACTTTTATAAGATTATTTGCATATCAATAAAGGATAAATCATAAAACCAAAATGAGATTAGTCTCGAAAAGGGATAAGGAGAGCGAAAAAGAAATTAAAGACATAAAAAAAGGACTGTATTGATGATTTAGACTGTAGAATATAATGGTTGATGAGTTCTCAACCTATCAAATCAAAAAGAAAAAAACTTAAATCTATCTGAAACCAAATCTTAATGACTTAGATTTGGGCACTGCAACATTTTCTTGATCCTCTTCAGATGCTTTCCTCTTCTTAGAATTTGATGCACAACTTGGAACAGAAACAGATAGGAAGGAATCAGAATCTTGAGCTAAAGCTAACTGAATATAACTTTGGTAGAAGTAAGTAATATCTTCAAGTGGTCGCCTAACCCTTTTTCTTCTAAATTCTGATCGCTTGGATGCAAGAACTGGATTTTCTTGTTTTGCAGAGAAAGGAGGGATATTCTCTTTGTTGCTCTGGTCATAAAGATTGATGGTGGTGGCCTCCTCCATTATTTGATGTAACTGTAATAAGGCCAAGAATAGAATTAGAGGACAGACAAAAAGAAGTTTAGAGTAAAGAGAGTATTTGTAGAGAGTTAGTGATAGGTACATTTTGGAGGGAATGGGATAATGGTGAATTGGAAATTGCTTGTCTGGTTTTGTTTTTCATTTTTTCTAAATTTGAGTTTTGGCTTTGGATTGAAAATATGAAAATTGGGATTTTGAGGATTTAGGCGGGTGGGTTACATTTTCAGTTTTCATGGGTTTAGCTGAAAATTTCAAGAACAGGGAAGAATTGATTTCGGAGGATGTGAATTGAAATTTCCCGGTTCTTGCAAAAGATAAAAAAAAAATTTTAGGCGCCTGGGAGTGGCGCGAAGTGTATAGTTGTTGGAGCCAATCAGCCAAAGAAAGACAAATGGACCAACCAATAGAATAAGAAAAGCCAGGTAAGAATGACAAATAGTTACCAAATCCGAGAATAAATATATATATATTTGTTTTTTTGGCCAACAATTATTAAGCTTAAAAGGACAGTCTTGGCATTTGTAAATAACTAAATATCATGTAATATGATTTACTATTATATTTTAAAGTCATTAATATGATAAATTTATTGTTAGGATAAAGAAATTGATGAGTTTTATTTTATCATTAATTCAAAAAACATATTATCAAGTTACTGCAACAAGCTAAAAGAGAAAAGAAAATATTATGATCTAAAAGAGAAAAAAATATTTATTAAGAATTTTAAAATATATTTTCTTCAATTAAATAATATTTTAAAAAGAAGATTGTGAAAAAAAAAAATGAAGAGTTCTATAATTTTAGAGTGTAGAGTGAAAAAATTTCTTTATATTAGGAGATAATTTAAGTAAAAAATATTCCCTTAAATTTGTCATTTTTTACTTTTTTTTTTTTATTCCATTTAGATAGTTACCATTATTTAAATATTTGCATAGTAAATTGTTTCAATTAAATGGATATTAATTTGGACATTAATTGAAGAGGTAAATTAATCAATTATATCTATTTTTTTTAAATTGAGATGATTCAATCACTTTTTTTTTTATTTCTGTAAAAAGCAAAAAAATAAAAATATTGAGATGATTTAAAAACATACCGCTATTAATTTTTCATTATAAAAATTCTAGCTCATAATGTATTGCCAAAATGAAAAAAAAAAAAAAAATGTATATCTCAAAATTTGGTCCAACCTTCCAATCCATGGGGTTGCATTGACTTAACCAGTTACGCTACATAATTTAAAAAAAAAAAAAAAAAAAAAAAAGTACTCCAACTTACCCTTGGTTTTGATATACTTTCACAAGTAACTATTGGTTTTAAGATAAAAATAATTTGATCAAATTACCCTTGTGTTTGTTATAATCTAGAAAAATTAATTGTTTTCTTAATCTTTGTGCAACAACCTTAAATCACTTATATTTTGAGACAGAGGGAGTAACACTTTTAATACTTGTGCAATTACTGTAAACAGTACTTGTAATGAAACAGAGTAGTATAAGGAAACAGTATTGGTGATCAACCAAAAATGAATAATATATATATATGAGCAAAAGTAACAAAAAGGAGCAATATGATCATAAGGGTCATACAAACATAGCAATTAGAGGTAGCAGTCCCAAGATGGAGCTATGTAGCATCTGATAATACCAACGGCGGAAAATGCACTTCCATTTGACCTTTTCTAAAAAAAAATTGGCGAATATTGAAAATTGAGATCTATTTAAGTTTTTCCTTTTCTTTAACTTTCAAACATTAAGGGAGAATGCGAAAGTATTAATGTAATATGAAGCATTCAAACTATATTCCGGAAACCATCACACAAGAGACCCTTTTGTATCAATGTTCTTCATACATAGATGAATCAACTTTTCACATATAAAGAACAGATTAACACAATTACTGTTGAAGGCTAGGAAATTCAAGTATGCATTAAAGCATAGAATTATATGTTAAAAGGAACCAAAATTGGTAGAAGAGGTACTTACAAAGAAGATCTTGCTGATCGTGCCCCTGTCCATTTGTTGCTATCAGATTCTGAAACCAATATCAATGACTGATCTTCATCTTTATCCTGTGAAGAGTTAGTAAACCTACAGAAAAAATTGAAATGGATGTTATCTCAAAGCAGGGACAAAAGAGAGAAATTGCAGTCTAGATAACATAGACATAAAAAGAGTTTACAACAGCCTAATTAAATTCTAATGAGGCATTGCAAGCATATCTTGTCAGTCTAATGAAAACAATATCCTTTATATACCAACATTATATCATATATGCAAGAAACACAATTATCACAGCTCTAACTTTTATATGTTCAAGACTTTCAGTCAAATGTGGTTCAGAACAGAACTAACATGACTGTGTGAACTTCCCAAACACAATATATGTAAACAAGCACACAAAAAGATTCATAAAGAGCATGAAGAATAAGAAGTAGAAAGAATGAGAGATTTTGGGAAGGATTCACAAAACAGTGTAAGAGACTGTGAAAAAAAATTTTCTATGACCTTAGAAGGTTAATGACATGACAAAAACTCACCTAAAGTTGCTGATTACAGCAGTTTAATGACATTAATGCAGGTTGCTGAGTCTGATCCACATGTGAACAGAAAGAATGACATGCTGGAATGTTAGTGGCTCAACGACTCAAAAAGGGTCAATCTTCTTCCTTCTTAAATTTCAATCTCCAAAATGACAGTTGACAAACACTATTGAAGCATAAAAGTAAATGTAGACTAAAATCACTGTATCCATCTGACACCACAGGCACTCAATGGTGACAACAAATTAATACCAAATTAATACCCAAATATTTGTATGATTGAATTGTGAAACTCGTATTCCTGCTTTGCCACAACAGTTGCAATTAAAGTATCAAGTAGGAATTGTAAGGACAGGACTAAAAGGCAGCAAAGTTGTAAAATTCAGTATCAAGCCACCAAGTCAATGTATTTAAGCTTTACTGAACTCCGTAAGTTCTAATTTCAGTTTTGGCATATCATACTATACCAACACACTGCCTGGGGATCAAGTATATTTTCACCTTTTTCCTAAATATTACTCCCATCTTTCTTAAATTTCAATCCGTGCAAAACCATAATTGATATGCTCCAAACAGTAGAAGCTTACACATGATACAATGACTTAATAATGGAAGAATTTAGCATAAAAAACCTACACCTACTGGACAATTGAATGATCATATTCATACATAAATCCTCATTCAGTGCTTTCAAATGTAAGAAGAGTGACATATAACATAAATGCCATAATTTTCTTTTTATTACTTTAAAGATCTTACCTCTGGTTCTTTTTCCTCTTCTTCTTAGTCTTCGTAGCCCCTCCATAAGAAGCCGAATGGCTGTCCTTATCAAGCAATACAAGGCTCTCAGTATAATGTTGAGCATAAAATGCCTCTTCCATTTCCTGAATCCCAAGATCAATAGTTTCTTGACTAATAGGGTCATAAGAAACCAACAATCCCTTCCTTGTCGACACTAAAAGCCCTCCATTTGCTCTTATCCCCAAAACCAATTGTACTCCTCCATCAACACTGACAGTATACATCCTAGTCCATGAATTTGCAGACCCATAATCTTTTCTTATCCACACATTACAAATTCTACCCATAATCACTTCCTCCATATTTACATCCTCCATATTCAAATTCTGCATATTCACATCTTGTTGTTGCCTATCAAACTGCAATACCGCAAGAGAACCCCCAATATCTGCAATTAATATATTCATAGGACATACTCGTACCAAACTCTCTGGCAATTTCATTTTCTTGAATTTCTCTTCAGCCACATCAAACAACAAAATCGAACTGAAATGGCACGCGGTTTCGTCTCATATGCAACCCAATGGATGCGGCCATTCATAAAGCATTGTGACCATCTATGCTCGGTCATGCAATACTCCACTCCAGCTGCTTTAATCTCTTTCCAAGAATCACTTTTTAGTGAGTAAACTTCGACCAGCGGTGGAAGCTCGTCAGGCTGTTTGTTTCCTTGAACATATGCAACTCTCACTACCTTATAATCATTTCTCACCGAATCGAAACCAAATCCTAGAACAAACATGTAGGGACCGACCTCGTCAAAAACGATACGGGGTCGAGAGAGTAAAACATAGCGTTTAAATGAGAGGGTTCCAGAGGATGACAACTCCGGTCATCCCGAAGATATCGTCGGAGCGGCAAAGAAGGCCATGGAGACAACCGATGATACGAATGAAGAGCCCGTCTTTTGCCTTAAATGGTGAAGTGAAGGCATTCTTGTAATTAGTGAGGGAATGGGGAGACGAATCGAGATGGAAAGAGAAAAGCTGAGTTCTTGACGACTCGATGAAGCGTCGGAGGAGAGAGGACGGGAGAGAGGAGGTTGAGACAGAGAGAAAGATAAGTGGGTGGAGATGAAATGAGAGCTAGTGATTAGAGAATACCATTGCTTGCAGACGCACGTGCATCGCACGAGGAACTCCACAGGAAGCCTTTGAAGAATATTCCGCCAAATTTCAGGAAGAAAGTAATCCGACATTTTTTTACTATTTTTGGAGGGAGAGCAAATAACAGTGAACACAATCAATCTCAAGCAAACCCCCTAAAACCCTAGAAAATGCACATTGACAGGAAGCTGGATCGTAAATGGACATGGGCCTTTACAGATTAAGCCCAATTCTTGCAATTGGACAAGTGAGTGGACTTAATGGCAAGCCCAATAGGCCTTTTTCTGTTTTTTTTTTTTTTTTTTTTTTTTTTGGACTTAATGGGGCAAGCCCAATAGGCCTTTTCTGTTTTTCTTTCTTTCTTGTTTCTTTTTTTGGGGGAAAATAGGCAACTTGCAATTGCCACAAAAAGTCTGCCCACAGCAACTTGCAATTGTAAAATAATTACTCATAGATTTATGCATTGATAAGAACTATATTTTTTTGCTTTTATTTTAATGGGTTGCAAAAAAACTTTTTTAGGTACAATTTCTTTTTTTCCAAAAGTTGGGAAATTTTTTTTTTTTTTTTTTTTTTTTTTGGGGGGGAAAATAGGCAACTTGCAATTGCCAAAAAGCTCCAAGCAACTTGCAATTGTAAAATATTACTCATAGATTATGCAAATTGAAAGAACTATTATTTTTCTTTTTTTAAGGTTGCAAAAACTTTTTAGGTACAATCTTTTTTTCCAAAAGTTGGGGAAAGAAAGCATGATATGATTAGCTTTTTTTTTTTTAATTTAATTTATTATTTTTTAATCATATCTTTGGACTTTAACAAGCTAGTATTTGCATTTTTCCTAACTTTTAATAATAATTATTTTTATTTAATTGTCCAAAGAGAACTGCTAGTAGTATAAACAGGAAAGAGGGGATTTGTATAGAAAAGGGAATTTTGTTTTTCTAGAAGGAACAAGAGAATGTTGGAAAGTTAATATTATCTAAAAAGCATATAAAAACTAAAGAAGTCTGAGAAACCAATTTCATGGTTGAGAGACTTGATATTGACACACCTCTTGGCGCCACTTGTTAAGTCACAGTCACCAGTAGAGAGAAAGTGCTTGGCCCTACCCATTAGCATAATTGGTGTCATCCTTTTCAAACCCATAACTTTTCCCCCAACACATTGTTCATATAAATTTTTTTCTTAGGGTTTGGTATATTTCCAGCTAAAAACTTGTATCCACCATTTTTAATTAAAGGTCACCAAACTATATGTCTTAATGGCCACTAATGACCACTAATATGCCCATCTACTATTTCTTCTAATTTCTTTTTATATCTATCCTGCTCTAATTTCTTCTAATGAACTGTAGTGAAATGTAATCGCAAGTGCGGTTCTAAAAATCGAATTTATATTCTTATTATTATAGAGATTGAGTTTATTCACCAACTTAATCAATATTATTTTCAGCGTAATATTTCTGCAAGATATTCAGGCCCGTATTCATTTTTATGTTCACAATAAACTTAACTAATCATCGTTCGTTCTCGGAGGTAGAGGAGTTGTCCTGAAGGAGTTCGCGTTGTGAAGGGTCATACTTTCACGAAATGTCCAAACCCCTATTCATTTTTATGGTCCATAGTAAATCGATTAATCTCTGCTTGTCCTCGAAAGTAAAAGGGTGGTCCAAGGCGAGTTTGCATTACGGAGAATTAAATCTATGACCAAAATCATGATGATCAGCTCCTTAAAGTATTCTTTGTCATTGAATTACCCGTTACGATTATTTTCAGTAAACATATTGAAAGCGACAGGAGTTTTTCATGTGAGCTTATAGTAAAATATGCCTGGTCTTGCTCCGTACATGTTGTAATAAAAATAAGACTCTTCACAATAATAGCTAGACTGTGCTGTCTTCTTCTGTTCTGTTAATGGAAGTGCAGGTTGTGTACATATATGCAATGTAATGTCAATATTAATGAAATGGGACCCTTTTAATATTGGGAGTGAATGTGAAACCATGCGCAATCAATTTATTGGATTGGTGTTCAATATGAGTTGTCAAATTATACAATATTCATGTGCATAGGCGAATACTTCTTTTGTTTTCTATCATTGATGCCAAGAAGATGGTGACATGGGAATTCATTTCTCACCTAATTAAGGAAATTAGGGTTAAATATTTTTTTTGGCACTTTTTTTATATAGTTACGAGCCATGCAAATGCAATTCTTTAAGAACATTGACATAAATAATAGACACATCAAGATATTAATTATCAATTAACGCAAAATATAAGAACAAATAAAATAATCAATAACGTAAATGATTTGCTTAATACCGCTGCTCAGGTGTGGTATGGTTAAATAATTTTAATCTTACTTATGCTGTATTATAAAAGAAGAGCGCTCCGATAAAAATTTTCTTCGTATATAAAAATTGAACACTGCTTGTTTCTGAAAAACGCTACGTATATGTATCATGGTAGGGTAGAGAGTGACCAATAAATGATTATCTTGGATCACGCGCAAGACTCGTAGCTTTCAAGGTTTCTCACAGATCACAGGAAAGAAAGCAGAAGACGATATGTATTTATATGCATTTGCATTTATACACACACTTTCTCTCCGCCATTGTCCTTTTCTATGACTTCCAACTAAACTTTTTTTCTCCCTCTTTATCTTTTTATGCATGCCTAAGTAAGCGCTCTCTCTCTCTGTCAAACCAAAGAGAAGTAACAGACTTTGATTTCTCACTTGGAAGATGCTAATTTTCCATTTCTGTGCAAATCAATAAAGAAGTGTTGGGGAAGAAAATGTTTTTAATTTGTTCCAGTAATTTTATTTTACTTTCTATTTTTACCATTTGGTGAATTATTCTTTTTCTATACCCTAGAGGTACAACACTTAAATTTTCATAAAAAAACGTTTTAAATTTGAATTTGAAATTGACATTCGGCGGCGGTTATTAACGAAATCGAAACGTGTCTTACCACATGTAAATATTTCTAAATTTTGAAATACTAAGACTTATTTACCTTATATTATATATTTTCTTTATTAATATAGTATCAATAATTAATTCAAAAATATTTTTATATTTTAAAGTATCTAGATTCTAAAAAAAAATCCACTAACATGCAATTTTTTTTTATTTTTTTTATTTTAATCATGAAAATATGTAAAAAAAATAAACTCGATCGATCGCTGTGTCTTAATTAACTTGTATCTTGGGCCTACTTCCCGATTCGTGCAAAAACATATAAAATGTGCAAACGACACGAGTAAATTTTCGGCCCATAGTAATTATTTGAGTGTAGTGGGAAGAGGACACGTGCATGATGTGTATGGTTTAATTCATTTTAAGATTTATTTGCTTAAGGAATAATTACTATATTTTGGACTACTTAAAGAATTTATATTTTTATGTAATTTTTTCATATTCAATAATAAATTAAACAAAATATAAAATTTTTTGGAAGTTCTGAATTTTCTTATTGCTTGTAAATTGAAACTTTTAATATTTGTAATTAATTTTCGATATTATAATCCAATATTTTTTCACAAAATATTTTTAAAAAATATTTTTCTTTTTTATTTGAAAAACAATATATAAGAAATATTAAGAGAAAGGGAAGATAAATTTGAAACAACCTTATAAAGTTTGAGTACTAATGGACAGGCCATCGTCATCTCCTACGCATCAACAATTGACAAGTCATAACCAAAAATGTATGCACGTGAAAATAAATAAATAAATAAAATAAAATAAAATTGGCATTTAGCAAAAATTTCACGGGGAAATTGCACCACTTAACCTAAATTGATAATTGTAGAATGATAGCAAATACATTTTTTTTTTATTTATGTTAATCAAACATATTCTTAAAAATTTCATCTTAATTAAAGTAAATTAGTCAAAAAATAAATAAAAATAAACACAAATTAATTTGATATTTATTCAAATTAAATTAAGAAATCACTTATCACTAAGCTTTTAATTGTACAATCAAACTTTTTTATATATATAAATAAAACGACGGACCTAAATGAGCAAATGGGGACCTTAACACTTTATGTCTAAAATAATAATTTTTTTTTCCGTAATTAAAAAAAAAGCCCTTTTTTTTAAAAAAAAAAGGAATTTATTTTGAAATATTAAATAATAAAGGTGTCAAAATATTAATTGCAGCTCAGTAATAATGGTTTGTAATTTATTTATATCTATAATAGCCAGTAGCCTAGACGTGGTACCAAATTGGTAGTGGGGTATTAATTAATAATTAATGACAAAGCTTTAATTAGGAGTAATTTTTATTTTATTTTTATTTTAAAAACTTTTTAATTTTTATTTTATTAAAATGAAACCCCTAAATCATTTAAGTTCAAAAGCTTAAATATTGCGTTTTGCCAAATTGTAAATTCAATAATTTTGAGGCAAATTACTAATTAATTTCTTTTGTAACTATAATGAAATATGTTATTTAGAACTTATATTTTCAAAAATTGTTTTTTTTCCAATTTTATAACCTTCTACCTATTTATGAAAAAATAAATCATGAAGAGTGTATTTTGTTGTAATAGAAAAATTAAATAATTATTCATCCAAATCTCCAATTTCCCCTTTAGAATATTATTGAAATAAGAATATTAATTAGCATTCATACAATATTTAACTTTACCTAGCAATTATATTTATTTTCTGAATTTTAAATAAAAAAAATGAAATGGAACCATAAGAGTGCATGTGAGAAAAGCATAAAAATGATTGAGCAGTAGCTATTATTTAACACTTTGATGATTCCTCTTTGCTTTCTCGATTTCTCGTACCCTTTTGTCCCAAAAATTTCCCATGCTTCATGCTTTATATTATACACCTAATTTCCATTCTACACTTATAGAAAGACTTCTACTGCAAGTTGTCTCACCTTTTCATGCAACAAATAAATAATTATACTTTGCGGTTTAAGATGAACACGTTTAGAAAAGTTAGAAGTTTTGATTCGGTCCGAGATTTCTCTACCATAAAATTATTATCGCAACCAACTGTATGAAATTATCTTCAAATAAACATACGCTAAAATAGAAATCATATAATTATATATCAATTTTATTATTTTTATTTATTTTGATATAGCAAGGAGGTGTAATCTCATTTGGATCGTAAAGCGTAAATGTTTTTAATTCTCCCAGCAAAATACACTTCCTATGAATCGAATTTATAATCTCGTCCTTACGGGAAAATTGCTTACTACCCCCCAACACATTATTGCTTTAACTTTCCCTTTCTTTCACTTTCTTTATTCAAAGATCAATAAAGAACTCCACTTTTCCTAATGATATATTCTCATCTCTGGATCGTAAAGCGTAAATGTTTATTAAGTTCTCCCAGCAAAATTACAACTTACCTATGAATCGTGTTTATAATCTCTGTCCTTACGGGAATAAATTGCCCTTTGCTGCTCTTTACTAGCCCCCCAACACACATTATTGCTTTAACTTTCCCTTTCTTTCACTTTCTTTATTCAAAGATCAAATAAACGAACCTCACTTTTTCCTAATATCGCAATGCATTTTTATTATATTCATCGCGAGGCTAAGCCTCTAACGCTCCTTTCTCTCAGCCCGGCAACCTCCAGTATATTTATATACTTATATATATATTCCATATTAAAATATTGATAGTTTAGTTTCGAACCTCTCTTCTGTAATTTCCTATGTCACAATAGAAATGGTTTCAATGAATGCCTTAATATTTGAATATATTTATATTCCATATAAAATATTGATTAGTTAGTCGCAACTAATTTTGTTAATTTCCTATTGTCACAATAGAATGTTTCAATAAATGCCTTAAATATTTGATAAAGATGAAATTTTAGAAATAGATGTTGAGATTTTAAAATTCAATTGGGAAATTTTCTTTCTTTTTTTTTTTTTGGGAATTAAAATGGGTTAAAGTTTTTTTTTTAAATATAATTCATTAATAATAAAATCAAGAATTACAAATATTCAATTAGACCAAACATATAAAACTTACTATCATAATTAATAGAAAGTTCCCTGATCTTTCAACAACAAAAGAATTATTTATATTCATTTGAATGATAAAACTAAAACTAAAAGAAACAATATTGAATTTTTTCGCTTGAAGATAACCTTGACCGATATAAATCTTCATAATAGTAACTAGTCTTTTAATTAATTTAGACGACAAAATAACTTATTTGTATCTTCTATCCTTAAATTGCTTTTCCAAAAACTTGTTGCATATGACTTACACGGATGAATTCAAACCACTATGCGTTAGTAGCATCAATGGATGAATATGCCGCATTACCAAGCTCCATTAATCGAAAATATACATCAGTAAAACGAGATCTAAATTCTCCAACTAAATAAAATCAAATATCATACATTTTAAAAACAAACCTTCACAAAGAATGAACTAAACCCTCACAGAAGAATGGACAAAAAAACTCTAAAGATAGAGACAAAGCAACAATAACAAAAAAATAAAGAAAAAATAAATATATTAAAAGAAAATAATATGAGTTTATTAAAAATGAATAAAAAATTATGAGCAAGAAGAAAAAAGAAAAGCAGGGGGCTACCGCTGATTAACAACGGCCCTCCAAATAAAAGTTAGGTTCAGATAAACCAGAGAGAAAATAGAAATGAGGTTAGAGTTAATTTAGCATCTAAGGGTAAAATATTAAAGACACTAATATCATAACCTTTTCTTGAGAAATTTAAAATTGACTGATACAATATATATAAATTACTTAATAAGAATAATTGTGTCATTCAAGTTAATTTTTTTGATAATTGGTATCTTGCTAGGTGGACTTAAAGTTTTATATAGGAAAAACATTTTTTTTTTTTTTTTGAAAAGATATAGGAAAAACTTATTTGTAATGATAATAATACATCCAATAAATCTAATGATAAATAAATGATGTAAACAAAAATATGAGTGTCTAAAATTAATTATAAAAAATTAAAATTTTTAAATGACGATTAAATATTAACTAAACTATATAAGAAATACTTTTCAAAAGAAAAAGAACTATATAAGAAATAAATATACACCTGATGCTGACAAATATTTTCCTTATCATATTTCCAAACCAAACCTTATTATCTCACTTTTCTTATTTGATGTGTTGTCACACTTTGATTGGATGTGGCTGGACATAAAGCTTGTAAGATTTCTTTTATTCCATGACTTGTTAATTATAGAAGCCTATATATATCATATACATATGCCTTACATAACAAGTTTATATAAGCTATTGACTGAGATTTTTTTTTTCCACACACTCTTAAAAAAAAAAAAAAAAAAATTCAACCCCCTAATTTGGTTTGTGCAAGTTGTTACATCACTTGCCAAGTTGGGGTTTGAATAGGATTCAAAAAGGAAAAATGCAAAATAACATATATATTAATTAATGGCACAGACGGTCCAATCATTCGTTGTTTTTTTAATTTAGTGATAAATTGATATTTTAATTACAATTTTAAGTTTATATTAATGGGTTTATAAAATTAAGTAGTTTCATTTTTAATTCGATTTAAAGAAATAAATTAAATTTACAGAAGGAATCAAATTGTTTTGTTTTGTATATATATAATTCGGTTTTAATTTGATTTTTAAAAAAATTTTAATTTGAAAACAAACCCACTAATTATACACTAAAAAAAAAAATTATAATCCTATGGCCAAAAATTTAGAAAATAGGGCCTTAATTACATCTAGGTAACTAATTGTGAACTTAGTCAATTATACATATTTGTCAACTACTTGCAAAAGGGAAAGAAACTTACAAAATTAATTAATTTGTACTATAAATTCATATTTATGGAACCATAGATTATGCATTAGGCCCTCCACCTATTCTTTCATCCTCTATGAGAAGAAAATTGATACAGGCATATGAAAGGTTAATCGTTATAATGTTTTGCTTTTAGCGTCTTATAAATAGATATTCAAATAATTAATGACCAGTCAAATAGCTAAATGCAAACACAACAGCTAATTTTTTTCGGAAAAAATAATCTTAAATCCTTGATTTTGTACATGTATTAGAATAAGAAATAGTGAAGGGATACGATATGATACTAACAAGTAAGGTTATAGTTAGAGTCATGATTGGAGGAGTACAAAATTATGAAAAGGATGCTGAGAAAGTGTGTCTGTGCAAAGGATGTTTGTCCTTTCTTTTTAGTGAAACCACACTTATCTTAATAGTGGAACTCTAAAGTACATATAGAGAAAGAAACCAGAAAAAGCTGTTGGATATCATTATCAAAGCTTCAAAAGGGGGTGGGTAAGAGAAGTGGCTATTTGAGTCACCTCTTCACTCTAATCATAACTCATCACAAACACTTCTGGTTAAGATTTAGGAATCATAATTAGTTTGTTCAGAACTAGTTGTGCTCAAATTATTTTCAAGACAGTCAAAAGTTCAAAGTTTAGTTTTATTTTTTCATAATTTTTAAAAACTAAAAAAGAAAATATAAAAGAGACTAGAGAGGGAAGGAGGGAGGGAGAGAGGTGTAGGGTTGAGTTTCAAGGAGAGGTAACTAAATAGAGATAGGGAGGTGGGGTTTGTGACTTTGAAGTTACTGTTTCATTTGTTTCTTTTAGGGTTGAGATAACCAAATATCTTTAATCTCCTTTCTGACCAAACTCTGCCACCCTTAGCAGAAGCATCGAAACAGCTATCTATGAGCAAAGTTAGGATATTACCTAACTCATATTTACTACTTCTGTAACTTTTTCTCTTTATCTTTCTTCTTTCTTCTTTCTGCTCTTAATCTCTTCATTATTTTGTGCAGGGAAAGAAAAAACATTTCAGTTACTTTTTTTTCCCTGATTTTTTCTAAGTCTCAGTTATCATATCTTTCAATTTTTTTTTTCTATTTTCTTAGTGAATTTCAGTTGAAGTTCCTTCTGGCTCTTTTTCTTTTTTCTTGCAATTTTCTTTTTTCCAGCCTACGTAGAGAAACCCACCACTCTAATCCATTTTTTACTCTGACATATCTTACTCTCTCTGTACAGATAGAGATAGATGAGTTGGTCATAAATAAATTTTATACAAACTTGAAATCTTCAAGTTTTTATTTTAATTTTTTTGGTTGGTTTTGTGTTTCTTGTGTTAGTGATGTTACTGGGGTATGGAATCTGTGGAAGGCAATGGCAGGAGGGTTTTTGAGATCAGCAGGTTTAGGATTATGAGTTTTAAGGATTGTAGCAGTAGCAGATGAACAGCACCAAGCAATAACAACACAGTTAAAAGTAGAAGAAAGAAAAAAAAAAAAAAAAAAAAAAAAAAGGATTAAAAAAAAAAAAAAGAAAAAAAAAAGGAATGAAGAAACAACTTCAGAAAAGGCAAAAAAAAAAAAAAAAAAAAAAAAAAAAGGAAGAAGAACAACTTCAAGAAAAGCAAAACTCAAGAATTAGGAATCTGGATTTTCAGGGAAATCAAGAGCACCCACAAAATCCTACCTACCAAATTTTACACCAAACCCATCAAGATCAAATCTTTAACCCAGAAAATCCTCAATTTCTCCAAAACCAGCAACAGAAATATAAAGAACCCATAAGTTCTAACCAATCTTTAGACTTAGACCAAACCATAGAATATGCAAAATCAAGAAAAAGAACAGAAATGAAGGGGACAGGAGGAGAAATTGTTCAAGTCCAAGGTGGCCACATTGTTAAGTCTACAGGGCGAAAAGATCGACACAGCAAGGTTTATACTGCAAAAGGTCCTAGAGACAGAAGGGTCAGGCTATCTGCACATACTGCAATACAATTCTATGATGTTCAAGACAGGCTAGGATATGATAGACCAAGTAAAGCTGTTGATTGGCTTATAAAGAAAGCAAAGTCTTCAATTGATAAGCTTGCTGAGCTTCCACCGTGGAATCCAACTGCTAATGGAAATATGGAGACAGACCGAAATGATGGGTCTAATGAAATGAGAATTGCAGCAGAGCAATCAGAATCATCTGGTTATAGTTTTCAACTCCATAGACAATTGGGTGATAATCCAAATAATGATTCATCTTTTATTACAACAACTATTGACCCTGATGTTGTAATTCCTGATACTATGAAATCTTTATTTCCAACCAGCTCCAATACTTCATCAATGAATTTTCAAGGGTATACAACTGATATAATTTCAAGAACCACAAACCATACTCAAGATCTTGGCCTATCCCTTCACTCTTTCCAAGACCAAGGTCATACAACTTCAAATGATGAGAATATTTTTGCCGGCTCAGGCCCAGTTGGTTATGAAGCTAACTTTCAAAGAATGGTAGATTGGAGTAATAATACAAATACAGAGAATAGAACTGCCAATGGATTTGCATTTAACCCACCAACAATGTCTACACAACAAGCATTATTAGGGCAAGACTCTGCATTTTCTCAAAGGGGACCCCTTCAGTCCAGTTTCATGCAATCTTTTCGCGCTTGGAATGATCTTACTATGGCATCTGCTGCAACAGACCACCATAGAACACAGGATATATCCCAATCTTTTATTTTTGGTAGCAGGTTTGCATCAGAAGGATTGCCTGGTGCAGGTTTTAGCATTCCAGCACGAATTCATGGGGAGGAAGAGCAAAGTGTTGTTACTGATAGGCCATCCTCCTCTCCCAATTCTCAACGTTGATTTAAAGAACTCAACTTTCTTGCTTATCTACAAGGTAATTAATTAAACCTACATTACTTTTATTTACTTTCTCTTTGTGTACTGTTTTTGTTTGTTCACTTTGAAAATATAAGCTCAAGCTAACAAAAGAAAGACAATTTCAAGATTATTAATATCCCAATGATTCCCCTTTTTTGATATGTTATAGAATCAAAACCAACCATGGTGAATGATGATCAAATTGAGATGAAGTACCAAAGATTGAACTCAATTCAATTCTGCAACACAGCTATGTGAAGAAATTATGGTTGGAATTCAACTTTTTTTTTTCCCTATTTTCTTTATATCTTTTAAACGAATTCTGTGCTTAATCTATATAGAGTTTATCTGCTTAAGGTATTAAATGGGTTCTTTTTGCTCAACTTTTGATATATTATTTTCCTGCTGGTGCTGCTGCTAGAATTGGATTCTGATTTTATGTGTTTCTGTTTTTGTTGTTGCTGAGCACTCATCATAGTTGTCTTCTGCTTCACATGCTTAAAGTGAAACACAACAATAAGTGAAGCACAGAGATTATGATTACAACTTTTTTTCTTTGGTAGAGAATGGATTTTTAATCCATTTTGTGTTGCATGTACAATCTGAATGCTATTATATAAACAAATTACATCCTATTTCTTTATTTTCATGTTTTGAGTTTTGCAGCTCATGTAATGTTCTATTAGATATAGTCATCTCCAAGGTCTTTATAATGGCTTTACTCATTCTTGTTGCCTTGATGTTTCATATAGGGTTTAATTACCGAATATGAATATGAAATTCGATTTCATTTGTAACCGAATTTTCATGTTTAAAATAAAATATTTAGCTTTACTAGCACAACTAGTTTACTAGAAATACTTTTGATTATGTTATATTTAAGTTTATAAACAAAGCTTGAATTTTACCTAATTCATTTATACCAAAAATACTTTCACAAAATTTAATAATTTCTCTCTTTGTTCACAGTAAGTTCTGCGATTTCGTTCTTCTTTGTCTAATTTTCTGGAAATAGATAGTATATATGGGAAGTTCTGAAAAGCTCAGAGATTGGAGTTAAATATATGCATTATAATGGACAAAATTTCATTGACGTTAGAGTTCCTTTCATGTCCATCGATGCTCTAATTTACCTTTCAATTTCAAATTTGATATATACAAAAGATTCATATAGCTGCCTTCCGATAGTTTCGAACTAAGTCTTAATTATTGTTGTTGAAAGAAAAAAGAGAAAAAAAAATCAATTAACAAGGGTTATATTTGTCTAAACATTTTATATTTCAGGCAATTACATTTTTTAAAAATATTTTACTTTTATAGAAATTTAAATTTTCCATTTTTAAGATATGAAAAATACCATCCCATGCATATAAGGGAAATAAAAGGTCAACGTGGACATATTATTTGACACTCAACTAAATTAGTTGGGCCTAAAACAAGAAAGGATATTGCCCAATTCAAAAGGCCTAATAAGGCCCATTAACCGTAGAAAAGCAAATCCAACCCATTGCAATTTCGTTAGCGATTTAGCTGGGCTTTTGTACTGTAGCCCATTTACTATTTCAACTCTTTAAGCAAAAATTCTTTAATTTCAATCAATTCGCTTCAGACTATATTTTTTTATCACAATAAGAATTATGTTCAAATCAATTTTTGCATTTTATCATAAATAGATTTATTTTTTAAGTGAAATTAAAAAATAAATTGTGCATTCTACTTTATAAAAAAAAATTATTTTTTAATGCTAATTTATAAAGAGGGACTCAAATGATAATACACGCTTGAATTCGGTAAACACAAACCCCAAACGAAATTCACAAAAATTGAAATTATGGTCAATAACTTGAAGAGAGAAAAAAATAATACTAATATAATGTTAGCGATCTTTCTTTCTAAGAAGATAACATGTTTTTCTATGGCAACAACTCAGCTATTCACATGCAACAAACATATATATAGAAGTAACATTGTTTTTCTTGGCAAAAACCAACTCAGCATTTCACATGGCAAACAACATATATATTAATATAATAGTATATATATATATTATATAATTATAATACACAGCAACGTCAATTAAAAAGAATATTATTTATTTATTTATTTTACTTTAAAAATATTCTCAAGTCAATTAAAAAAATATTATTATTTTATTTATTTTACTTAAAAATACTTCTCATTTGATCGAAAACACTATTTGTAATACGCGGAAGTCTTTTCTATATTGTTATGCGTGGTGAGTGGGCAAAACTTCCCAAAGGACTAGGGTCTTCTGCTACCTTCCCAGAAGAGGGTTCCAACTTCCAGTCCATGGCTCTGTAGAGCTCACAGAAAGTCCACACAAGCCAACGGTGGAAGTAACTAACGGTAACATTTTAATAATTTTATTATTTTGTTGCACTTATAATGTGCAACGAACTAACCAAAGTCTCCATTGTTGACTTCATGAGCCATCGGCTACGTTCGCAGCCTTGTCAAGAAAGAAAAAAATGGGAAATATTTAATTATGGTCAATTCAACAAAATATGGTTTTCAAGAAAAGAAAAATAGAGTTCACAAATTATTAAAAAAAAAAAACTTTTATTATAATTATATTTATCTATTAACAGAAAGTTGAATCAGTAGAAATACATTTTATTTCCAAATAAATTTGCCTTGAAAATGTATATATATTAACATATAATTATAAGTTTTTATTTTCTGAAATTAATTTAGTATTCTCATAATTAACCATTGTGTTCTCTGTTCAAATTAATTTTTTTCCAAACATAATTAAAAAGAAAAGGAAAATTCAACAGTCAACAGTCAACAGTCAACCCTCTTGAACTACTTTTGCTTCTCTCTATTTTTTGCTTGGAAACCCATTTTCCGGCTTTTCACAGCAGTCAAACACACGCATCTAAACCAAAATAAAGCCTCCTTCTCTCTAGCCCTCTTTGTACACCCCCAAGCTAGCATGGGAGACCTCCATCATCCTTTCTTCCCCGGCTACCCTCTTTTTCCTCCTCCGCCTCCTTCCGTCGTGAATCTTGGCCTAGGCAATTATGATGGGCACAGAAGTACAAATACCTATGATCTGAACAGCAAAATAATGCTCACCGCCATAGTATCATTATCTTTTGTTGTAGTATTAGTTATGGTACTACACGTTTATGCAAGATGTGTTCTCAGACGCCGTGCACGTGACAGAGCTGTGATTCGCAATCTAGGGGTTATCACAGATTCTTATAACCATACTGGACTTGATCCGGCCATCTTTGCTTCTCTTCCTACATTTGTTTACAAGAAAACTGCTAGCTCTAGCGGCCAGGAAAATGATGCTTCTTTAATAGAATGTGCTGTTTGTTTAAGCTTTCTTGATGATCAGGAAACGGCAAGGCTTTTACCTAATTGTAAGCATACTTTTCATGCGGAGTGTATAGATAAATGGTTAAGCTCACATACTACTTGTCCTATCTGCCGTACCGAGGCTGAGCCGAAGATTCAGCCAGTGCAACGTGAAGGTCCAGCCGGTGGTGCACCCACAGCTCCGGTGTTAGAGCGGGTGAATTCTAGCTTAGTGGTGTCTGTTGAGGGAATGTCAGAGAATGATCAAAGTCATCAATCTTCTAGTAACAATAAGCGGCAGGCAAGTGGTTCTTCCATGTCTCGACTGAGCTCGTTTCGACGGATTCTTAGCGGGGAAAGATCACCAAGAAGACTTCAATCTGACGTTCAAGAACAAGGTCTGGAAGATCTTGAGAGACAATGAGTTTCTTTTCTTTTCTTGAAGTTAATTACGCTTTCATTAGAGTTGAGTCCTGAGACAACTCTAATCTTATATTTTAGTTTTTCTTTATTGTTTATTTTTTTTTTTTTTTTAGTTTAAGTGCTCAATAGTTAATTAACAGTACATAATACATGTGAAAAGACATCCATAAATTGCCTAGGCAAAATTAAGGAGATGATATATATATAAATACACACAAAATTCTTGGATTGTAATTTATAAAATTCTGAATGTTATAAGCTATGTTTTTGGTTCCAGTTCTTGGATTGTCATGTATCTTATTTTTGTTTCCCATATCTTTGAACAAGAAATGAAAGAAAAAAGAGGCACGTTTGGGTGTTTGGTAACCTAAGGAGATTATGATGGCAATAAAATTGGGGCATATTAGGTATACGTAAAAATCATAGCCATTGACCTTATCGTGTGAACTTTTGATTTTGAAAACTCAAGATCTTGATTATTCTTGACATATAGGACTTTAGACTGATTGCTTCCAAGAAAAGTAATAAAACAATAAGTAGAAGAATGAAACCTAATCTTGATTTTCTGATTTAGTTTTTCTTTGTTCGGCTAAAACATTGGTACATTAACTTTGAATAATTTCCTTAATCCAGACATGGATAATCTATCTTTAATTAAATTCGCTAATTTATGAAAAAAAAGACATTTGTAACAAAAATTACTCGATCTTAAATCATATACCCAAATTCTATTATCATTTATTAAGCTTGATTATGATTATGTTCATACTAAAATTACCCAAGTCAATTCATTACTACTCTACCATTAGATTTAGCACAGCATTCTCCAAGTCAAAATGTATTTATCAATCCCCATTGGCACCACGACTATGGGTACTCCTAAGCTACTGTGTTAACAATTTGAAAATTGGACTGAATAGTTAAACTAATTATCAAATTACTCCCAAGGTGAGATAAGATAACATGAATTTCTTCTCCCTTAACCAGAGATCTCGAGTTTGAGTCTTGGGTATGAAATTCCTTTAAATACTCGAAAGGGAGCAATTTGCTCCTTTTATATGATTGCTTAGCGCGAATCCAAATTAGTCGGGCGAATAGATTTCGGAGACCGGATGATTAAAATAAAAAAAGAACTAATGACCAAATTATCAATGTGATATTTTAGTGTATGAGTGGATTTAAGAATACTCATAACCCCAAATCAAAAAAAGTAATTAACTAATTAGTCTAATATAATTGAATTTTTAACTTTTTTTTAATTGAATTCTTTTGTTAAATGAAATTGATTAATCAAGACTAAATTCATTTAACCAAGCCCAACTTTCAAAGTAGTGCTTAGATCTTTCTTTTGGGAACCAAATCTCTTCACCTTGAGAGGTCCAAACTGTTTTTAGGTTAGTATTGTAAACCCGATATATCAAATGCATGGCCACCATATATATATATATATATATATATTTTTTTAGGTTAGTATTGTTTAACCCGATATATTCAAATGCTATGGCCACCATATATATTTATATTATATATATAATATATATTGATTATAACTCACTTTTGTTACGGAATTTAGGTGTACATAAAGCCAATATTCAGACCAAGTGCAACCAATTTTTGTTAAATTTTTTTCCTAAACATAGAAAATTAATGGGTTAATAATTTCTTTTTTGAAATATATATATATATATATATATTGATTATAACTCACTTTTGTTTACGGATTTAGGGGTACATAAGCCAATATTCAGACCAAGTGCAACAATTATTGCTAATTTTTTCCTAAACAAGAAAAATTAATGGGTAATAATTCTTTTTGAATTCAATATTTTTATGCCTTTTGAACTGAAACATTGGGACTTTAATCATTCACTTGGACAGCTTCTTGCTTCTCTTTTAGCCTGTAAGAACTACTAATTAAGAAAGAAGAGCTCCGTGTTTGTTCTGTTTTCCAATGAAAATAATTTAATCTCACTTTTAAATTAGTATGTTAACTGCTTTTGTTAAAAACATTTATTCCTACAATGAATTTCAGTTGTTCTAATTATAGAAATTTTAGAATAGCTGTAAAACACTCTCAAATAGCTTCTTTTCAACAATGTCTGCAAATGGTTTTTTCTTTTTCCAAAATTAAAAGCTAAATCCCAATGCAAAACATGTGCATGGAAAAGAATTACCCTACACCTGGTATATGGACCCACGCCTATAGCCGGTGTATGCATATGCAATGCATGAACCGCCTAATTTGCTCGTCCTGCTTAAACATTTGCAAACAGCAGTACTAACTGAGGAAGCTGGAATTGTTGTTTAGGACCGTAACATTCTGTCAAGAACACATGCAAAACTATCTCAAGGTAGCTCACTAGTTAAAAGTACAGGATCATAAACCTGCAAATATATGAGCCTCAACTACTTGCAATTTACAAGAATTTGAATCGACCCCATTTGTATTACAGAGCTAAGCTACAAATAGATCACAAACGTGGAAAGTGATTCCCGTTCCAAGAACTATTGTGTTTTATTTTTTCTCTGTCACCAAAAAACCTATCAACTCAACAAAAAGCCTTTGCTTTTGCCTCAACAATTTTGCTTAAAAATTTGAAATTGTTTGTTTACACCAGTAAAGACTCAAACTGAGCTCTCTAATGTGATCCAATTATTATCACAAGCACAACAAAGAAATGACCGGTGGTGATTATAGGCCATAACCATGAGCCACCATTCTGTCTGCTTCCACTCAAATCTGCAGTGTCTGGCCCCATCCCGATTGTTGTTGTCGTCGTCGATGAACCAGAAATGCTCCCATTATTCACTGATAAGCTGTGATTCAAAACCCAAATGTATCATAATTCCAAATCTCTTTTTGCTTTAACAAAAGATAGTAGAAATAAAAATGCACTTGACCGCATAACAATTAACAAGGCTTTCTTCAAAAGATAGAAGAATTGTTAATGTTTAGTGGAAATAATCTTCCAAAATCTCCTTTCAAGTTTCATCAATCAAATCAATTTTTTCAAGAGGCTAAACAGAGCCATAACACACAACAATCAAATTGTAACAGAATTAGAAAAGATTAAACAAAAAAATGCAACTGATTCTACTAGATCATTACCTGGAAGGAAATTTGCAGTTATCAAAACCTGAAAGCAAAATAAAGTTAATTGATAAGTAAAGAAACAACCCTTCGATGTAATTAATCAAACAACATTAAAAGATCCAAATTTTCAAATTGAATAAGGGAAAAAAAAAAACATCTTTAATCGAGAATCAACAGTGCATGATGCAAGTGACAAAATATTAACAAAAGCAAACGCAAAGTACCAAAATTTCAAGATCCAAAACAAACCCAGAAGAGAAATAAACTATAAAAACCATAACTAGTAAATTTAATTCAAGAATTAAGAAGAATCACTAACTAGGGTTTAAGGAAGTGAGAGCAGCAGTGTTGCTAAAGAAGCATGCATCATCAGACTGGCCATTCTTCAAGTAATAATCATTAAAAGCCCAAGACGCAGTTCTTTGAATATCATTGGGGTCATAGCAAGGTCCGCCTTGCTGGATTGGTCCACAGTTGGCTCCACCAGGCCCACATGCCCAATCGATCGCCGCCTGCAAAGATTGATCGTCGGCGTTGTTCTTTGCAACGCACCATAGATCTCTGGGAGCGATACCATTTTGACCCCTCAAAGAACGTGGAAGCGAAAAGGCTAAGAGTAACAGTAGGAGTAACAGAGAGCGAGACATGTTGGAAGAAAAGTAAACTGTAGTAAGTAAAGAATCGGGTGTCGGTTATTAAAGAAAGAGAGGAAAGAAACGGCTCTGAGATGGGAAATTGGAGAGCTTTATTAAGAAGGTGGCGGAAATATGACCGTTGGGCGTTTCAGTAGAGTTTTGAAAGGAGATCCAAACGAAAGAGAATGTGAAAGGGAGAGTAGAAGAATGGTGGGAGTTAGAGAGAGATGAGATCATGTGTAGATGTGTTATGTTTTGTCCTTTTCACGGTTACCTCCCTGGCGGCAACTGACCTTTCTGTTCCTCTTCTTTTCTTGGTCGGAATTTATTGTCTGTTTGTGGATCAATGGTCTTAGTGTGTTCTAATATTATTATACATGCACACAGCGCACACATAGTTTCATACAATCAATAATGGTCTGCAAAAATTTATTGGAAAAATCTATACCCAATATATTCAGCTTAACCTTTTTCTAATTTTTTTTTCATGTCAACTTCAAATTATTTATACACCCATTATCTTTATTCTAATTAATAATTTCAAGTTTTGAATCCTCATTTTTGTGAGTAAAGTTCGAAATGTAATCTCTTCCTACTGAATTTACCAATTATTCGTTAAATTACAAGTTAGCTTTTATATTAGTTGGTAAATTAATAACTTATATTTATGAAATTTAAAGGAATACATGGTTTTTATTTTGGATCCAATTGAAATTTAGATTTATAATCTTAAAATTTTAGAAGACTATAATATCACTAGAGTAAGAAGCTTAATTTTATTGCTAGCTTTGCATTGTACATTGAAATGAAAGAGACAATACAAAGATCAAACATCATACATAATATAAAAGTTTAAGCTTCTACAAAGTAAAACTATAAATATATAAATTAACTATGCATTATATATATAACCTCTTAAGTTTAGAAAGGTCATCATCATTAATCCAACTTAACTTATCCAGAAAAGGGTTAACACCAATTTTTGGTGGGTAAAAATCTATGCAATCTTCCCACACATTTGTATCCTCCAAATTCCTCATAACCTCCCAAATACAAGTATTGCACTTGAAACCTGCCCCAAGGTTAATCATTAATATCTTATCTCCTTTCTTAAGCCTTTTCTTTGCCTCCATATATCCTAAAACATACCATAACCCCCCAGCTGAAGTGTTTCCAAATCGGTGAAGTGCCATTCTTGCTGGCTCAAGATCATAATTGCTCAACTCTAGATTCTTACCCACATTATCGATAATTGCCTTTCCTCCTGGATGTATGCAGAAATGCTTTATTCCACTTTTGAGATTAATGCTTGATCTATTTTGACAATAAGATATTATTGCAGACCGGATTATTTCATGAAAGGGCAATACTTTAGGTAAAAGAACTTTCAGGTTCTTGGTTAAAGCTACAGCAGCAACTTTTGTCAGGTTTCTTGAAAGATGAAACCATTATAGCCTAGCTCATCTTCTAATTCTATGCAGCAATTATAAGCTTCATCGCTTGAACCAAGATGGGTGCGAACTAAATGGTCTAATTTCAAGATTGCTTTACCTTTTAGAGCTTTATTATTGGTTAACAGCATTGAGCAGCCGCCAGAGCGAAAAAGAATGTTGGAAAGCATCATAGATCTTTGTCTTCCACAATACCAGCTCTGACTGATGCATTCTGTACTTACAATAATCGCAAATGACCATTCCTTGTTGTTTGATTTGAACAATTGTTGGACTAAATCAATTCCTGTTAAGCTCCCACTGCAACCCATTCCAGAAAGATTGAAAGATTTAATGTTGTCTCTCATTTTGTAATGGTTTATGATTCTAGCTGTAAGAGAAGGAGCTGAGGTGAATAAAGAAACAGTAGTGACGATTATGTCAATTTCTGATGGAGAAATTCCTGTTCTTGCAAAAAGATTGTCAAGTGTACTAAAAACAACTTCATTTAGCTCTACCAATCCATCAACCAGAGAAGGGGATTCTTCTCTTCCTTCTAGGATATTTCTAGGGCAATAAGTCTCTTCTCCAATTCCAGCACTAACAATTGCACGTAAAAGAAACCTGAAGTCATCAAGATTCAGATTCTTGTTTCTTGCTGCGACTTTACCGCAGGATTTTGCGTCGAGTTTCCTGTCGTCTGTCGCCCTGAAACACTCATAAGCAAGCATATAGCAGGTGCGGTTTTTGTTCTTGAGCGCTAACTTATAAAAGTAGAAGGTAGTATAAAGAATACATATACATAGAAGGTAGATTATCAAGAAAATCTCCATGGCAGAAAGAGAGAAAGAGTCTATGCAATCTTTATATAGGACAAGAATAATAATCTTGAAGAGATGGAGAACATCTGTGCATTTCAAACCATTATATAATAGTTCAACAAGTCCAACGAAGAAGAAAATCATTTGGAAATGATAGTAGGTGGGAAATGAATTGATTAATTTCTTACAATATATAAGACAATATGTTTGTTTAACTATTTAATTGTCATATTGACAATTGCGTTTATCTTTTTCAGCAGCTTTTACGTATATGTATGGTTATTTGGTGAAAGGCATTAATTAAGAAGGAATGAACTTTTAGTGAAAAATGAAAGTTGCATTGACCTGAACGAAGAAAATTAGATCATTCTCATTTTTAAATTAATGCATTTAGCCAAAATTGATATATAAAACTAGCTAGGCAAATAATTTTCACTGCAGAAGTGGTTAGAACAGCAACTATTTATTCCACATATAGTGTATAGTGATGTCTTAACATATATAATTTATTGGTAAGTGCATAAACGAGTCAGAGGTTTAAATCGTTTACGCAATTGTAATCTAGAGGTTCAATGAAAACTAATCTTCTACTATAATTGCAGTCCTCGTCAAACAACCGTTGGGTTATATAATCTAAGAAGTATAGAGTTCTTCTAGAAATGTAATCCACTTTTGTTAATCTAATTGTTTTATTGATTTATTACAAGTTTGCTTTTACATTGTTGTATAAATATAACATATATTTTATCAAAACTGAAAAAGACATATCCTTTTCTTTGGATCAAACTGAAATTTAAATCTTACAATCTTAAAATTTTGAAAAAGACAGAAACTAAGAAGCTTATTTGATTGCTAGTTCTGCCTCATGCATTGAAATTAAAGAAACAATACAAAGATCAATATAATATTGAAGGTCCAGTTTCTATATATAAAGTAAAAACTATAAATTAACTATGTATTATATATAACTTAATTAATTAACCTGTTAACCAAGTCTAGCAAGGTATATGATCATCATTAATCCAACTTAGCTTCTCCAGATAAGGGTTAACATCAATATTTGGTGGGTAACAATCTATGCAATCTTTCCACACATTTGTATCCACCAAATTCTTCGTAACCTCCCAAATACAAGTGTTGCACTTAAAACCTGCTCCAAGGCTAATCATTAGTATCTTATCTCCTTTCTTAAGCCTTTTCTTTGCCTCCATATACCCTAAAACATACCACAAACCACCAGTTGAAGTGTTTCCAAATCGGTGAAGTGCCATTCTTGCTGGCTCAAGATCATAATTACTCAACCCCAAGTTCTGACCCACATTATCGATAATGGCCCTTCCTCCTGGATGTATACAGAAATGTTCTATTCCACTTTTGAGATTAATACTTAATTTATTTTGATAATAGGATATTACTGTACACCGGATTATTTCAAAACATGGCAATACTTTAGGTAAAAGAACTCTTAGGTTTATGGTTAAAGCTTCACCAGCAACTTTTGCTAGGTTTCTTGAAAGATGAACACCATTGTAACTATCTCATCTTCTAATTCTATGCAGCAATTATAAGCTTCATTGCTGGAACCGAGATGGGTACGAATTAAATGGTTTAGTTTCAAGATTGCTTTACCTTTTAGAGCATTATTATTTGTTAATAGCATTGAACAGCCGCCAGACCGAAAAAAGAATGTTGGAAATCATCATAGATATTTGTGTTCCACAATACCAGCGTTGACCCATGCAATCTGTACTTACAATAATCGCAAATGATGATTCCTTGTTGTTTGATTTGAACAATTGTCGGACCAAATCAATTCCTATATGTCAAGCTTCCACTGCAACCCATTCCAGAAAGATTGAAAGATTTAATGTTGTCTCTCATTTTGTAATGATTTATGATTCGAGCTGTCAGAGATGGGGCTGTGGTGAATAAAGAAACAGTAGTGACAATTATGTCAATTTCTGATGGACAAATCCGTGTTCTTGCAAAAAGATTGTCAAGTGTGGTAAAAACGACGTCGTTTATCTCTAGAAATCCGTCAACCAGTGAAGGGCATTCTTCTCTTCCTTCTAGGATATTTTTTGGGCAGCAAGTCTCTTCTCCAATTCCAGCACTAACCATAGTACGTAAAAGAAACCTGTAGTCTTCAATATTCAGATTGTTGTTTCTTGCTATGACGTTAGCACAGCATTCTGCATCGAGTTTCTGTCTTCAGTTGCCTTGAAACACTCATAAGCAAGCATATAGCAAGTCTGGTTTCTGTTCTTGAGTGCTAACTTATAAATGTTGAAGGTGATATAAAGAACACATAGAAGGTAGAATATCAAGAAAATCTCCACAGTAGAAAGAAAAAGAGAGTTTAGCAAATCTTTACAGGACAAGCATAGTAATCATGAAGAGATGGGATGGAAAAAAGTATATGCGTTTCAAGCCATTATATGACAGTTCAAAAAGTCCAACGAAGAAGAAAACCATTAAATGGACATGAAAGTGGGTGGGAGTTGAAATGATTAATTTTCTTACAATATATAAGACATTATGTTTAACTATTTTAGTTGTCAGATTGCCAATTATGTTTATCTTTCTCAACAGCTTTTACGAATAGGAATGAACTTTTAGAGAAAAACCTAGCAGTTTCAGCTTTTAAATTATATATATATACAGATAATACTGTCTTGATGTATGGATCCATCCATAAACTACCTAGGAAAATAAATTTTCAAACAGAAGTGGTTGGAACAGCAACAATCCAAATGGTATTATAGTGATGTACTCGCATGCATAGCCGGAAGGTAACTGCATAAATGATATGGGCATAAACAAGTTGGAATCCCCTCACCAACTGATAACCGTTTTGGTTGAATTTAATTAAATCAATTATGGAGATATAGTTGAAATCTTACAAATGATCTAACTAAAAAGGACAGTGCTATTACATTTTGTAGAAAACAGAATGTTGACTTCAGCTTTTGAGCATCCATGAAGCAACAAAGGAGACTAACAAGTAGAAGTAGTGATGTTTTTTTGAAGAAAGGCAAGTTCTTTAGCCTTTTAGGACCATCCGAGGACATAATTAAGGACATAAGCAAGTAATAGAGAGAAAGGGTAAAGTGCATAAGCAACCAGAGACATCCAAACAGGAAAAGTAGTGCGAAAACTCGCAATTAGGCCCATCACAACACATACAATTAGAATTAACAGAACTTCAGATGAGAAATTCCATGTCAAGCCGCGAAAGTAGACAAGTCCTAAGAAAACTGACAGTGAAAGAACGTTACTCATTGTCACTGATCCATAAATCTGCATCCAAAAAATAAAAAATATATTTGTATTGCTTATAAATTTCCAGAAGTAAAAAAAGAAAAAAAAGAAAGAAAGGAATTTGCTAAAGAAGACCTCAGAATATGCTAAAGAAGCAGATCTTGAATTCTTTCTGCTGGCAAAGATTAGGTCTGAGACAACCTCGCTGGAGCTAGCAAAAGGCAAGATCACAAAGGCTACAAAGAAAGTTGGAATGCTTGTAGCTGTTGAGAAATTGTCAACAGCATCTACTAGAGGGTCTGCAAATACTGCAGCAATAACTGTTCCTAGAAGCAACATCATTACTGCTTTTGTAGCATTCCATTTAGGATTTTCAAGACTAGTCTCTGCAGAATCATCTTTTTTATCCCCTGATGGAGCTTGTTCCTTCTCTGTTTGCTGCAGATTTTGCTTTATATATTACTATCTACATTTTTGTTACACTTCAAACTGTCTAAAAGTCTGTTTAGCATTGAGATTGAAACTATTTTTTCGAAAAACCCATTTTAGATACTGCCGAAAATAGGACTTTAAGATTGCTGTTTAGCTTCAATCTTAGAAAATGTGAAATTCACCTTAAAAATAACTCGAACAACATTTCCAAGCCAGAGCCCTGATACAACTTTACCTTATCAAAATCAGTTAAGAGCTTAGATGTTCCTCTTCTATGGTTATTGAAATGTTTTGCAGAATGATTAGCCTCATCAAGCCATCTTGAGATTCCATGGATAAACTCATCCATGTCAACACGAGTGTCACCAGATGTGTCAAAATCTTTCAATACTTGATCAACTGCATCATCAATGTCGATATCTAACTCTTCAAACCTAATTCCTAGTATAAGTGCCCTCAATTCCGCTGCTGTTAGATATCCATCAGAATTGTTATCTATTGTATTGAATAACCTGTCATGTACCAAAATGACTGATATTAAATATAACACACGTACATATATAGAACACTTTAGTAAGTTAAGTAACAGACTAACTTCTGTATAACATCCTTGTTAGGTTGACCATTAGCTGTGAATAATCTTCCCAATGCGTGAATTTTTAGATCTTTTAGAATTCCTGATATCATTTTCTTATGCTTTGCATATGCAATTCTCCTCCTCTGAATCCATGGCTGAAGAATCTGCACAAACAAAATTTAGCAGCAAGTATTTCAAATCATTAAGGTGCAAATAGCCAAGCAAAGACAGCAAGATATGGTTACTGAACTAATAAAGCCAGGAGATGTCTTTAATTATAGTTATTATTTGTATATTGTACCTGATATAGGCTGTAACAAAATAATAAAGCAGGAGAAACAATGAGGGAAACCAGAACTGCTAAGTGGCTTTGAGAAGTTTTGTGCAGAATTTGGGGCAGCTGGGCTATTATGAATGGGATAACAGATATAACCATAATCCTCGCAGCATAGCTAGTCCCGATATCAGTAGTCACTCCAGATCCTGCAAAATATAAAAAATATAGACTAAGTGTACCTTTCTGCTGCAATTAAAAGCAAGAAACTGCGTTTTCCAAGGTATTTGCAATTAACTACCTTCTCTTGGCCTACTGCGGGAACAAAATATTGGTCGATATTGTAAATGGGATTGATTAAAATCAAACTAGAATTGAAAATGCACATAGAAAACAAGGAGATACCAGTTAGGCTAAATATTTTTGTATCTTTTGAGTCTACAGCTACAGAACTCTCAATGTCACATTTGCCAACTATAAGGCAAGAGCCCCATAGTAATGTCAGAAGCAGAACAGTTGATCCAGCCATTAAACCCATCCCTACTGAGACCTGACTTTGAGCTGTTTCTTTGCTCCCTGATAGCCCAGATGCTACAGACACGATACAAGTTTAGCAGCAGAAAGACACCAATATAGCATTATAACAGATATATATATAATTTAAACCCATCCCTACTGAGAACCTGACTTTGAGCTGTTTCTTTGCTCCTGATTACCAGATGCTTACAGAACACGATACAAGCAAGTTTAGCAGCAGAACAGACAACCAATATAGCATTATAACAGATATATATATATATCACACATATATATATATATATAACACTTATTATTAAGAAGCAAAACCTTAAAAGGAATTGTTCAAGAACTAGCTTGGTTGTGAATTAACAAAGACTAAGTCAACATAAGAGAAAAAAGTTAGGGTTACCAAGGATGATTGCTGCATCAGGAAGGCAACTCAACACAGGTAACAAAAGACCACCAATGATGCCAGGACCAAGAATTTGCAGAAGAATCTCACTTCCATCAGATAACAACTTGGCAGACAGGAACATTAAACAACCATAAACAAGAATAAGAAAAATGTTCCCTAGGATTGTTGTAGTGCATGGCAAGAATCCATATGTTTCATCACAACTACTATCTGATAAAAAATTGTACAGACGAATAAATGCCTGCTGCTGATGGTTAAAACTGCTATTAACCCCGTCAGAGACCATGGAAGAGCTTGGATAGTCTATTAGGTGTCTGCTCTGGCCATGGCTGGCTAGCATCACAAAGAAGATGACTAGAGACAAGAAAGAAAGTTTCTTGGCCATGGTTAGACTTTTTTCTTTATTATGTTAAGAGCTTTTAATCAGGCATGTTCTTGGATTGATTTTGTACTATATAACAAAGTTTGACAAGTAAAATTAATGTTGGAGAAGGAAATTGTTTTAGGTAGGGTATTAAGTCAACCACACAAATTACTAATATATCAAAATTGAAAAACAACTTGAAATTAAAATAAAAGAATATGTTAACTTTCCAGCATAGTTTATGAAGAACTGTTGTTTGATTTGTTTTTATGACAGGTACAATTAGAGTTATATATCAGGTACAATTAGAAGTTAATATATATATATATATATATATATATATATATATTAGTTAAGAGCAGTTATGGATTTTTTTGTTTTATATATAGTATAGAGCAGTTATGGATTTTTATGTTATTTGTGAGGTGTCTTGTGCCCAAGTGAGGTTGGTGTGTTCAAAAACTTGTAAAGTTTCTAATTTTAATATCTTTTACTAATCACTCTTTCAAAAAAAAAAAAAAAATCTTTTACTAATCATTCTTAAACTATTCTTTTAATTGTCAAATCAAATGAAAATAGGTAGCAGAAAGACTTCATCAAAACAGCAATTCAACCTTGAATCCAACTCTACTGCAGTTTGGTCTCCTAGCAACTCACGTTTTATCAGCAAAAGACTCACTTTCTGATTTTTATCTTTAGTTAATAAAAATAACCATTCCTAGATGCAATAAAATTTGTTTAATAATTATTTTATTGGCTAGAGGGATGTTTAATAAAAATTCTTAATTTTATGCATATAAAACAATCATTGGCCACAGGAATATTATAAGAATAAAAAAAATAAGAAATAATTTATGGAAATTAAAGTTAAAATATTTTTTTAATATAAATTTGAAAAAATTCAATCATCCTATTCAAAATTTAATTACAAATTCATGTTTCTCAAAAATAAAAATAAAAAGCACATACTGTACTTATAATGTTGTAAGTTGTAATGTTGGAAGAACATAATTGGCTCTATAGACTTATAAATGCGGGTCAGTGAAAAGTCAAACTTTACATTTGGTGTTGCAGCGACTAGCCAATGGTTATTCAATACCTAGAGAGTTGAAAATATCACCACCACCAAAACCTCCGCCTCCACCGTCATTGCCTCCGCCAAGATTGAAGTGAAAATGAGCTCTCCTACAACTTCTCAAAATCAATCTCCGGCCTCTTCTTCAAAAGACCCCAACTTTATCACTAACGATCAAGAACAACAGCAGCAACAACAACAACAAGAACAAAATCGACCGCTATCCGATAATCCCCAATCATCAAAAACCCTAACCCTAGAAATCCCCGACACAGAAGTCCATAACCCGCAAGACCCACAAGATGATGATCCAAACCAAGACGACCCAGAAGATATCACACCCGTTTCTCCAACAATTTCCGATCCCCGCGTGCCCTCCGCCTCTGTCACTACCACGTTCACCATCTCTCGCCGTGGCGGCGGCCCAAAGCGTAAGAAGCGAAATGCTGCCCAGGAAAAGAAGGCTCAAAAAAGGCTCGAAATTCTTGTTGAGACACTAAATCCAATTCCTTTTGTGCCTGTCAAACCCCTCGATTTCTCCTCTCATGAAGCTCTTCTGAAACGGGTTGGCTTATGGGAGTTTGTCCACGTGCAATTCGATGTCAATCTCCGCGCCGATCTCTTAGCGCAATTGATTGTCAATTTTAACCCAAACAAACGCCGTAGTGAAGTCAATGGGTCTTCAATCAAGGTCAGTCGCGCTGATTTAGCACGGGCACTGAATCTTCCTGTTAAGATGGATAAGGCAGATAATGTGATAGAGGTGGAGGAAAGTGAAGAATCCAGAGGATTCATTCAGGAATTCGTTTCAACTTGGTTGTTGCTGCATGAAGATACTTGGATGATGACTGACGATATATTGAATGTGACTAATTTGATCAAAGAAGGGCATTTTGAGAAGGTGGATTGGGCTAAGTTGGTATGGCTTATGGTAGAGAAGGAGTTGGCAATGGCGCCCAATTTAGGGAATTGTTATTATGCTTCTCATTTGCAGCAATTGATGAAAGCACAGAAGAAGGAATGGTTTGTGGAAGAGCCTGTTAAAATGGAGATTGATGTTAAGGACAATGAGGATGAAGATGTGAAAATGGGTGAGGAACTACAAGGAGGATCAGAAATGGAGGAGCATAATATTGAATTGAGTCTTGGTGGATTGGATAATGCAATGAAAGAGGATGGCGAGACAGAGGGAAAGGAGCCGGTGGGAAATGAAGATGGTATTTATTTTGATGATAATAAGGAAGATGAAGAACAGGGGCAGTTTCTGAAGAAAAGCATGGATGGTCATTTTCTCGGTAGGTGTAATCTTGGAGAAGTTGGGGTTTTGGAATGTGAGGAGAGAAAACAGGAAGAAGAGGAGAGAGAAGAAGAGGTGAAAGATGGGGAGGACGTAGAAGAAGAGGAGGAAGTGGGTTTTAGCATTTCTCCAAAAGGGGATACTTTGGAGGGTGTAATCTCTGAGAATCTTATTGCAGTCATGGAAGCAGCACAAATTCCTTATAGTTCAGGGGTACAAATTCCTGATAATGTGTCTTCAGGCGATTTTCTTGCTTCTAGGGTTGATACACAGAGAATTCCTGGTACTTCATCATCACTTTTCAGTAATGGTAATGGAAACAAGAGGGAAATTGAGCATCTTGAGGATGATATGCCCCATCATGCACTTAATGGTGGTAATAAGAGAATGAGGAGCGATGGACATTGGGATGTGAAGTCATCATCAGATTTTGATTTGTGTATGGAGCAAATGCAACACTTTATGGGAAAAGCTAGAATGGTGTATGAGGCAAAGGAGCAGGCTTATCAAGAAATGAATATGAATCAACAGATGTTGATGAGTGACTTGCAGCAGCAGAATAACGTGATTCAACACTTGCACAAGGCTAAGATAGACGAGCAACAGAAAAGACAACTGGAGATTTATAGGCTTGAACGTGAACTATTCATGATGGGAAATCTTTTAGAAGGGTATAGAAAGGCTTTGAAACAGACCCATAAGGCATTTGCTGAGTATCGTGCCAAGTGCCCTCTGCCTGAAGAACCCATTTACAAGGATACTGGTTCTGGAGGTCTTGTTTTGAGCACCATGGAACTGGAGAAGCAGCGGTTGAAACAAGAGGAAGAGGAAAGGCAAAACCGTTTGTTGATTGAAAAGAAGGTTAAGGAATTTGAAACAGGATGGAATACTAAATTTGAAGAATGTCGAGTTGGGGTTGATCTACTGAGTAACAAGTTGCTAGTGGTTGAAAAAGAAGTCAATGTCTTGAAGGAAAGGTTTGCAAGACGGAAGGTCTCAGATATTCCAGAATCTGTTCAAGCTGAAGAATAAATTACTCTGAAGTATGTTTAGAGTTTGTGGAAACGTAGGTAAATGACAGCTCTTATATGTAAGTTGAATGGCGCAACTTTCTCTTTGTATTTTGAGAATTAGAAGCTCTAGTTTACGTTTGTTGCTGACCATTTTCTTACTTCCAATTTCTTATATTTAGCATTAGTTTAGGGTGATACCTCAAGTATTGTGTTTCTGCTTGATGGTTAAGATGTGAATTTTATTTTCTAGTGAATGACTTTGAGTCCATTTCTAATTTACTTCGCCATCATTTTGTCCCTTTGATGATTTAATTTATAATTCTGGCCTTTTGCTTGTTTAGTTAAATCTCTTTATCTGAAATGAGAGTGCTTTCTGGGAATGCTGTCTTTTTAGGTTGGAAATAGCGAAACTTTATAAAATCTCTGAGGATCAAGTTGCATTCTAATGTAATGTGTATAACATGAGTCGGATAGATGAGCAAAAACATCAGGTAGAAAGACAAAGTACGTCGGACAGAAAATCTTTTTACCAGTTACATTTCAAGCTGCTCATTTTTGTATCTTTATCTTGGTTTTTTCTGATTTGCTCCCCACCTGCTTCTAAAAGCTCTTGATTTTTGCATTTAAAATCTTGAATTCTACTCCATATATGGTTTATGGAACAGGAAATTCTCTGCTGTCTATCTGTTCCCTTTTTGTGCACATTATGGAGCATCTCCCCTTCCCAAGAGGCTTGGTTGCGTGGCATTTTTTTTTCCTCTGTCATGGTTTTGTGCGTAATGCTAGGCAAAAGGGGCTGACAAAATATTTCTTTAATGTTAAAGCTTCCTGAAACACTTCATACCTCAAATTCCTGGCCATGCTCTTGCTGGTGGCTGGATACCTGCAGAATTTCCTGGTAAATTGCAGAGGATTCACTACTTCAGCACCGGCAAACAAAGTCGCAGCTTTGAATCTGTAGGTATCCATCAACAGTTAAATAATGATTTCAGGTTCCTTCTTGGCTTTGATTCTGTCATGTTAGTGCTAACGCATCAAGTCTAATTAATTGGCTTCAAGTTCTTCTACCTATACTTAAAAGGATTACAGTTCTACCCAAAGAATCCCCCCTGACATTTCTGAAGCAGTTCAGGAAGTAGCAGAAAGTGGAAAGCTGAAGGAACTTTTAGTTCTTTGACCTCTCCTACAAATGCTTTGCTCGAGTCTGATAATCATATACCAGTCGGGGACTAAGCATTCTGAATCCATATTGCTTCTTCAATCCAGAGTCGAACAATTCAAGCCTACTTTTATTATTATTATTTTTTTTTTTGGATAGTTTCACGAGGTGTCCATGCCTGTGTCCATTTTTACAATTCACTGTAAACACTCGACTAATCTTCGCCGGACTGGCTTAGGAGAGTTTGCATTATAAAAGATCAAATACATGATCTAAGTCAATCTCACAAGTGCTCTTTGCCACAAAGCTATCCCCGTTCAAGCTTCCATTATTATCATAGTTAAATGAGCTGAAACTTATTAGATTAATTAACTTCAAGGTGATTAATTAGCTTAAAGCAGCACTTAATCTTTAATATGAAAATGTAGAGATCACAGCTGGATTTGGCTGGGTGAAGCAGACTTGAAAAAGAAGTTAATGGAAAGTGAAGCTTTTGGAAAAGTCATTTTCTCGAAGGATTAATCCTAAATTGTTTCCTAATATTCTTATTTTCCAGATATGCCCCTCCCCATTACCATTTCAGGGAAAATCTAGCATGCATTAATAGTTGGTTACTTAGAATGAAAAAATAAAAATACTCATCAATGCGTCAAAAAACCAACCAAAATCTAACAAATTTCACTATTTACAACTAGAAATGAATATTTACACTTCTTTTTTGGGTAATAATTTAACAAATAAGAAAAAAAAAAAAGAATTATTACAACAGAGAACTGAAAAAGGCACAAACAATCTGACATCAAACACTTCCCAACTGAATGACTGAACAAACCACTTCTCCTTTGATCCTTTCCTTTCATACATCCCAACACAAACTACTATGCTTTTTTACTTTTTTTTTTTTTTTATCCTTATCAAAAGAATAAAAATCAGACTAAAAATTAAATAAATAAAAAATAAAAAATAAAATACAATTAAGAACCAGCATCAAAAACCCCCCATCTCCTATCTACTCTAATCAGTTAAAAGCAAAGCAATAGTAATACAATTTTCTTTCCTTTTCTTTTCTTGGATTTTTAATCACAGCTGCACATGTATTTTCCTGCAATCCAATCATGTAAGGTTGAGTGGTCCCCAATCAGATGTGAACACATCACGTGAATGCACAGTTTAGCAGCAAAGACAGAGAGCACCAAATACTCTCTCTTCTTCCACATGAACACGACTTCTTTCTTTCCAGTGAATCTTTTTCCTTTTTTTTTTTTTTTTTTTTTTTTTTTTTTTTTTTTTTTTTTTTTTTTTTTTTTTTTCTAATAATTCAAGAATAATTAATTTTTTAATTTTGATGCTCAAAATTTTTGATAAAGAGATTTTATCTGTCAGTTTTCTTTTCTTTTTTTTTAATACCATGCTTGAATTAATTAAAGACTCACTGGAAATTAAAGAGTTTAATTAATTAATTAAACTTGCAGAAGTTGCTGTTCTTTCTCAGTAGGGTCAGTTGCTGGAGATGCAGTTTCCATTTTCTTTAGGTTTTGTTGATGGTACACTTGCCTCAATCTCTCTATTTCCCTCTTCAATGCTTCTTGATGAGCTGCATTTAATTTGTTTCAATAATCCATTGTTAGTAATTAATTAATTATTAACACCCATTTTTTGCACATGCAGCTACCAAGATTTGCAATTTAATTATTATTATTATTAGAGTTTTATCATAATTGATCCCATCACGGGACCATTTTCACCACTTAAATGAAACTAATTATGGGTTTTATTTATGTAATTCTTTGGTGGTAACCTTAATTATAAAATAAAACTCAAAAAAAAAAAAAAAAAAAAAAAAAAAAAAAAAAAAAAAAAAAAAAAGGATGGTTGCAAGATAAATGTAATCAATTAAAATTATGGTACTTTATTATATTTAATTTTTTGTATCCAATAGATGCAATTCAAAAAAAAATTTTTTTATAAGTCATAATATTTCCAAAAATAATCATTGAAGAAAATATATATATATATATATTATATATATAATATATATAATATATATATATATATTGGCATAGCAAGCATATATAGATGACCCTAAATCAAGGAATTAACTTGAGCCAAATAATTTTGCAATACTTCAAAGTGCAAAGTACTATAACAATAAAAAATATTAAAATTATTAATGCAATATATTGGCATAGCAGCATATATAGATGACCTAATCAGGAATTACTTGTACCATAATTTTGCATACTTCAAGTGCAAAGTACTATAACATAAAAAATATTAAAATTATTAATGCAATTGGTACACTACGATCTTAATCTATTAGCTATTTTCTCGGAGTAAGCAATAATTAATTATGAATTATTAACATCACATGCTTCTAATTAAGTATATAGTAATAATAATTAAATTATTATTATTATTATTATTATAATTAAACACTTACCATCTTTGAAAATTTTGTCTTGGGCTAGGGCAGCAATTCTTTGCTTAAGAGCACTATTATCCACATTTAGAAGCAAACGTTGATGATCTAGAAAGGCAACTCTTGGTGACAGAACTGAAACTTCAGCCTTCATTAAAGAAATGTGAAAAGAAAAAATAATTAGTTGAATTTCAATAACTTGAAAGTTTAATTAATCCATGAAATAATAGGATAATTATAGTCTAATTAATAATTAATTAATGTAATTAGTTACTTACTTGCAATGAAGTTACACTTCGTTCAAGCTCAGATATGTATTGCAGCTTCCTCACCCGTGACCTTTGTGCTGATTGCCTATTTGCCAATATTCTAATGCAAACAAAATCATAACCAAATGTGTAATTAGCAAACTAATCAACAAAATTATGAATTAATTAACTCTAATATATGAAACAGGACGTGTTATTATAAGAACGATCAATGGGTGAGATGGAATGACAATCGTTATTTATCCGGAGTTCTCAAATTCAAGCTCCAGATATAATTTATATCGAGATTAGGGTTGGGATTGGTGTTTTAAGAGTTGGGCATTGGAATATGATTTGGTGCAAAAATGTGTATGCATATAATTACCTTTTTACCCTTTTGGGATCAACTATCCTGTCAGAAGAATTGGTATTGGTCGCATTTGGTGGAGTTTGTGTCTCCGTTTGGCATTGACTTTGAACCTCATCGGTTTCATTTCTTATCTTCTGAAGTTTCTGATCAGACGGCGTTGTTTCTTTCTCATCATTAATGCTATTATGATCAGACGGTGTCGAAGGGTTGGAGCACGACGGGGCTGCCACAGCCTTGGTGATATCATCGGTGAACATAGACAGGAATTGCTCGTCGTCAAATTTATCAAAATCAGTACTGCTGTTATGTTCGGACCCATGATGTGGCGGACCTCCGGTGCCACGACATTCTTCCAGCAATGGCGCCTCTAGGAAGGCAATGGAGTCACTCACTGACCTCCTATGGGTCCCACGTCTTGCCGACGAGAAGTCTAGGAATTCGTCTACCCACGAAGGGTTTTGGGTGGCGGCGGCGGCGGTGGCAGCATTGTTGTTAGAAGGTGGCATAATGGCGCTGACTGTTGAAGGTAACTTTTGGTGGGAGAAGTCAGGCCAAGCAGTTGGTTGCATGTTAGGGATTTTTGGAGGTAATTGTGCCATTTAGCAGTGTATATATAATAATATATAAATACCCTCTAAATGACACAACAAAAAAAAAAAAAATCAAGAAAGTAAAGAATTAAAGAAACCAAATTCCAATATTAATTCAAGAAACGCCAAACCGAATGAAATACAAAGAAAGAAAGAAACCCAAGAATTGAAAAACAACTTTGTTGTATATACAAATCAAGGAAGAAAATTCTTGATTTTGTATATACAAATCCAAGAAGAACACAAGAACAAGAATGCCAATGGCAAAGAATCAAAGAAAGAAACAAGAAGAAGCTTAATTTGTTCTTCTTGTGTAACTAATTAATCAAGAAAAGACGAAAGAAATGTAATGTGAATAGCAAAGACCCAAAGAATTAATCAAGAAAGACTTTCCACAAGAAGATAATTAAAGAGATCAGAACTTTCTTTATATAACTTCTTGTTATGTATTTGTTAAAGAACACTAGAAAAGGAATGTGAAAGGCAAAGAATCAAGAAAGACACAAAGAAGAAGAAGAAGAGGAGGAGAACAAAATCATCATCATTAAGAGAGCTTATTTTGTCATGTCATTGAATATATTATCATCTCCCATATTAAATCTTGAATCCTAATCTTCTTTCTCAGAAAATGGCAGTGGGGTCACATGGGGAGCGATTGGACAGCTATGTACAGCTGTTAGGAGGTTGGGTCTCAACGGTATTACTGGAAAGTCGCCAGTAGTTTTAATAACTAGCGGAATCAGTGACCACGTGCCCTTGTGACCGCCCCTTTAGTGGCTATGTTATAATAATAGTCTCATTATTTTAAATAATAACAATAATATCTTCTCAAAGGAACATTCCCATGTATCTACCTACCCTTGCCCTTTTCCTATACCCTTATTTCCTGTCCGTTGATCTTTCAGTCCACTCTAGTAAAACCCATCCACCCTTTAAGTCAATTTGTTCCACACCGTTCGATCACCATCTAGGCTATTGCTACACTTCCTTCTCCATAAATATTGGTAGACAAGATTTAGGGTTTGTTTTCATATTGTTTTACGCTCGAAAAATAGTTTGAAATATTGTTGAAACAATTAAATTAACAGTTATGAAGATTAAACATATAGTTGGATCAATAACTCCAAAGTTTTATTACCTAAAACCATTTTTGGTCTGAACGTAAACCTAAAACCTAAAAAAATCTAAATTAATCATTTTATTATTATTATTAAATGTAAATTAGTAGTATAAAATTGTGTTCAACGATAACTTTTTAAGTAAATATTATTATTTACAGTGTTCAATAAGTAGTATTTTATAAAAAGTTAACTATCGTAACATTTAACTTTTAGCGTTTCTTGAAAAACTAATCGAATAACTAATAACTAAACACTGCTCAAACAGCTAATAACTATCAAAACAACTAATTTTACCCAACATATTCTAAGATTAGGGATGAGAGGATAGCAGTAGTGGGATACTTAGGGGTGAGCTGTTAAAAAAAAAGAAGGAAGGAGGAGAGAAAGGGAGTGGGGGGGAGTTGGGGAAGGGGAGATCATGTCAGGCCATGTGAATAATTTGCAAGCTTTCTTTGCTTTGTCCCCAAACTATACCCACATGTAGGGTAGTGTGTCCTTATTATTTTCTATAGGTTCCACACAGCTTCTTGGCACCTCCCAATCACTATCAGACTAGAATTTATGTTGTTTTAATTAATCCAAAGTGCATTGGAAGCACGATTAATCATCATTAGTTTGTAAAGAAAGAGATGTTTACATTACTTTATAATTATTACGCCATAATATTATTATTAATACAATGTAACATGTTTTGCCTCCTTTTATATATATATATATATCTCAAGTCATGAGTTCCTTCCTGGCAATTATTTAATTATAATATTATTATAATAACTAATCATGTTCATGCAACCATTTTATGATGAATAGTGCATGTGAATAGTTACATATTAATTTCTGTTTCTGTCAATAATACATTTTCATTTTTCATTTTTTTTTCTTTAAGAGATAATAAATATTCCTCAAGATGTGGGAATAAAATGGTGGATTTTACTAGTGATGATGGAGACTTGCCATGTGTATGAAATAAATGTAAATATGTATATTATTCATTTTTTTTTTTTCTTTAAGAGAATAATAATTTCCTCAAGATTGTGGAATAAAAATGGTTGGATTTTACTAGTGATGATGGAGACTTGCCATGTGTATGAAATAAATGTAAATATGTATATTATAATATATATATATAATATATATATATATATATATACATATACATATTTAATATATAATATACATATTTAAGAGAGAAGGAGAGAGAAACAGTTCTATGGTAAGTTTTAAATTTTGTTCATGCAAGTAATTCTAATTATTTTAAGTAAAAATTGAAATAATAAAGAATTACAAATTCCAATTTTAAATAAATGGTAAAATGTCTCTATTATAGTCATTTAGAGTATGAAATACATATTCTGTTAAAACAGTTGGCATCAAAATTAGCAATCCGTCAGTAAGTCTTAATTAGGTAAAAAATACTTAGAGAATTTAGGGAAAAAAGCACCCAAATTAAGCAAAATGAAATCTTGATGACATAAATAAAATAAAATAAAATAAAACAAGGGGAGGGAAGAAGAAGAAGCTGAGAAATAAGAAGCAAGCATTTCCTTCAGGTCCTTCAACCTTTCTTTAGAAAAAAAATACAGTGGGTGAGGAGACAAGTGAATTTAGGCGCTCGTTCTCTTATAAGAGCATCTTACGATCATACTCGTTTCTAAGTGTGAGAGTCTGTACCACAGTGTTTGTCTATGTTTTATAATTCCAATTAATGCAAAATGCATTTTTCCTTAAAAAAAAAAAAAAAATATTTAATAAGGTTAGATAGTGGAGACTGAACTAATAGTCAAATCGGTGCCTTCTTTAACTTAGATGGGGGCCATGGCCATTACTAGACATTGAACACAACACACCATGCACGTTGTGGCTCCATCACCACCTTAAATTCCTGGCAGATGCCTCTAATATTATGCTCATCTACTCAGCATTTTCTAAATTCAGCAACATTAGGTACCCAAAAATCGAAATCAAATTAGCATAATTTAAACACTCATAAGTAGAACTAGAACTAATAACATGCCAAAAAGAACAAAAAAAATAAAAAGTCTCTTTTCGTATGATGTCTAATCCAAATAGCAACACTGTTTCAGAACAGGTTTGTAATATATTCTTTTACGTAAATTTTTCCTAGAAAAAAATCCCATAATAATAAAGATGAAACTTAAAAAAATAATAATAATAAAAATAAAATAAGACACACAGACTTCCTATCTCATAGGTAATTCCACTGTCCCTATAAAAACCAATCCAATATCATTATTCATTCAGATCATTCCCTCGATATTGGAGCACATCACGTGCTATGCATAGAAAATTTTTCTTTTTTTTTTTTTTTTTAAAAGATGATAATTGATATAAAAGGGAACCTAACTATAAAAGCCTAGTTACTATGAATCTATGATAGACAAGGACAGGTTTCAATTTGCTAAACATGTACTTCAGAGAAATTATTGTTAATGATTAAAGTATAGTTCAACCTTTCTCACAAAATAGTAGAAACCACAAAGAGTTTATATCAAAAAAGAAAAGAAGGGGCCAGAGCAACTTGTAGCTAATAATTTGAATCACCTTCACATGCTAAATAGCACTAAAACCAAAATCATAAGATTGCTGCTGTTTTACCATTTAAGACAGTTAAAGAAAAATAGAATTTGGTATATTAATAGACTCCATGCAAAATCAATCCATATGATAGTTTACATAATCTGTTAAACTAAATATTGGCATCTGGGTTTGGTTTTGTAAGTTCACACCTTTTGCATGAATATCGGTACTAAAAGCTAAAACAAAACACATCAACGATATCAGATGCATATAGTGAGAGCAGCAATGTGTAGGCTCAGCTCAGCGTCGATCCTTGACCAAAGCATTAGCCGCATCAAGAGAGTTACCCAGCCCTGATTTTCCTAGATTCTTGGTTAGCCGTCCTAAGCTTCCCATTATGCAGATAATCCTGCGTGTACAATTCACACATGAGAATGAACATGAAAGACTTCCCCCAGAAAAAATGGACAGCAAAGAAGACATGAATGAAACAAGAAGTCCAACTGAAATAACTTGTGCAAAAGTATGATCTACGTAAATGATAATAACTGCATTCCGTAAGCAACCCATATATCATTCCTGGGATGTACTAAAATTGTCATTTATAAGCTCCCATTCTCCATAGACATCGTCAGTAGCCATGGAGTCGCATATTAATTTAAAGAAAGCTGGCTTGATTCTTATATCTCTCTGCATTCTATTGATACATACAATGGCAGATTTAGAAATCCATAGTCTGCCAAGATATAACCCCAAAGCCATGAGAAAGAGGTATGACAGGTGGCTGAAACATCATGGTCGAAAATATCATAACAAAGACGAATATTATCTGCGGTTTGGAATATATCAATCAAACATTCAGTTCATTGACTACATCAATGCTCAGAAATTACCATACGAACTCAGAGATAACAAGTTTGCAGACTTGACTAATGATGAGTTTAAATCTATCTACCTGGGTTTTCAGGCTAATAAACACGGTAGAAAGAAGCCTAGCCATGAGCATGGAAACTCCTCAGACTTGCCAACCTCAGTAGATTGGATAAAGGAAGGCGCTGTAACCCCGGTTAAAGATCAAGGTCAATGTGGTATGAAGCTTTGTTTCCCTTTTCTTTTTCATTTTTTTCTTCCCTGAGAAATTTGAGTCCAAGTGCACTTTTTAGAAGTGCTTTTGTTTTATGCCAATTGTCAATTAATCATTTTGTTTTATTCTAAGAATTTTTGGCATGACAAGATCTAAAGTGACAGTTCTATACAGGAAGTTGTTGGGCATTCTCTGCAGTGGCAGCTGTTGAAGGCATTAACAAAATCAAGACAGGAAAATTAGTATCTCTGTCAGAACAAGAGCTTGTAGACTGTGATACTCACAATGATAGCCAGGGATGTAATGGTGGATTCATGGAAACAGCGTTTACATACATTCAAAAGCAGGGGCTCTCCATTGAAGATGATTATCCCTATGAAGGAAAAGATGGCAACTGCCACAAAAACAAAAATAAAAATCAGACAGTGACTATTAGTGGTTATGAAGCAGTACCTGCCAATGATGAGAAAAGCCTACAAACTGCAGTTGCCAAGCAACCTGTATCTGTTGCAATTGATGCCGGTGGTTTTTCATTTCAATTCTACTCAAAAGGAATCTTCAGTGGCTTCTGTGGAACACAACTCAACCATGGAGTCACAGCAGTCGGCTACGGAGAAACTGATGGTAAAAAGTACTGGCTCGTTAAAAATTCATGGGGTACAGAGTGGGGTGATTCTGGCTATATAAAACTGAGGCGTGGTTCCAAGGGCAAGAAAGGTATCTGTGGCATTGCCATGGAGCCTAGCTACCCTGTCAAGGAACAGGAATAAGAATCATTTTATATGTGCTTGGCTGATCCTGGCTTTAGGGTGACTTGACAATCTCTTAACAAGATGTCTTCCATATTAGTAATTACATACAAATCCAAGTAAAAGATATTGCTCATGGAAATTAATTTAACAATAGTTAAGCTTTGCAGGAAGTATGGTAGGGAAAATGCATGCCATAAGCATAAGAAGATGGGTAATTCCTTCGTATCAAAATGGATATTACATCATTGATTGGAGATCCCCAATTCTTGATATAAAATGCTTAACATAACTTTCATCTATCTCATTTGTCATTTGGCAAAGCCCGAAAAAGAACCCGCATACCAATCACAAGTCTTTCGAGCAACTAAAAGGTGTTAATATTTTACTTTGTTCTGGAGTGAAAATGAGACTTAAAGTCTGTAGGTATATTTAAGGTTTGAATGTATCAGAATATGGATGAGCCTCAAGAGCCATCATTGCAACAAAAAAATTTGCATGGTATTAGCATCAATTGACTGATTGAGGTAAGGCTTTGCTTACTTTGTTTATATAATTGAACCAAATTGTGTAAGTACAACATTAATCAGTTAGCAGAAATCAGAATTGTAAACTAACACACACTACTTTCGATTCTAAAGAAGACATCTTAATATAAGTAACAATACAACTCAAATTGCACTGTGCTAGGTTCTAACCAATATAAGATAATGTTACAAATAATGCTTAGTAAGAACTTCATAAAAAACAAGTCTCTGCCTTTCTAACAATACATACCTGTGGATTTCAACTCCAACACTCACTTAGTGACTGCCTGATATAATAACCACCATAGATTAGTCATCATAAGAGGATTAGAATGTCATGCAGCTAACAAATGAAAAATCAACAACCCATATCAACCATTACATATGTGTGAATTCATTCCCATAAAAATGGAAGAAACTATGAGCTCAACTCTGTGAATCTTTGCCTCACAGCACAAGCAAGCTTCCATTCACCAGCACCAGCAAGTCCTTCAACCACCTTTTGTCTAACCTTGATATAAGGTATAAACCCTTTCTCTGTCATTCCTATAGCTACCTTTCCAGCCAAAATATACTCTTTACAGTCCAAGCATCCTTCAACCACCAATTCGTAACTCTCAAATCCAACAGGACAGCCCTCCCTCTCCAAAAACTCAATTATCTCAACTGCTCTCCATATTTCTCTATTTGCCCTCAACATTGCTAATAGTTTCACTACTGTTCCTTGCCTTGGATTCAGTCTAAGTTTTACCACCATTTCCTTTATCATCTCTACTGCATCAGCAGTTTTTCTAGCTACACACATTGAACCAATAACAATGCCGTAACTTTCCAAATCAGGAACACAACCCACCCTACCCATACCCTTCAAGACTTTAACTGCCTCAAGCAACTGATCAACAGCACAAAGACAATATATAATATAATTACAAGTACCACAATCAGGATAATACCCAATAAACTTCATTTCCGTTAGAATGGTAGTTACAGATTGAGATTGCTTTCTTTTATCAAGCCAAGCAGAAGAGAGAAGAAGACGAATTCCGGGTTCAGGTGAAAGGCCAGAACGAAGAGTACTTTGTAGAATGGCTAAAGCAAGAGGAAGAGGATTGGGGTTTTGAAGAGTATAAGAAAGGAGAAAAGAATATGCAAGTTTCGGGTAAGATCGTGGTCTTAAAGGGATAAAAGATTGTAAAATTTCATCCACGATTTGGGTTCTTTGATTAAGAGGGAAGTTAGAAAGGAAGGAGAAAGGATTAGGATTTTGGAAAGATTGCTCTTTTAAAGAAATTAGAAGGTCAGGAATTTTCTGGTAGGCTTTGGCTTCAATTGCTGATTGGATTGTTGGTTCAACCGAAGAAATTGAGCGAACTAATGGAAATTGGAGAAGAAAATTGCGAAAAGGAAACCATTTTCTTGTTATTCCGATTATCATTTTTGAGGAAAGGAGATTTCTAAATATCAATGGCTAGGGTTCTTCATTAACGGTATTTCCAACAATAAAGTAACGAGACAAAAGATGGAGAGATTTAACTTTATTCCATAAAAACGACGTGTAGCAGTCTTAAGAGGGAAGTTAGAAAGGAAGGAGAAAGGATTAGGATTTTGGAAAGGTTGCTCTTTTAAGGAAATTAGAAGGTCAGGGATTTTCTGGTAGGCTTTGGCTTCAATTGCTGATTGGATTGTTGGTTAAACCGAAGAAATTGAGCGAACTAATGGAAATTGGAGAAGAAAATTGCGAAAAGGAAACCATTTTCTTGTTATTCCGATTATCATTTTTGAGGAAAGGAGATTTCTAAGTATCCATGGCTAGGGTTCTTCATTAACGGTATTTCCAACAATAAAGTAAACGAGACAAAAGATGAAGAGATTTAACTTTATTCCATAAAAACGACGTGTAGCAGTCTTACTCGTATCTGCCAAAGAAGGAGTCGTCGTTTCATTAGAATTACATGCGCACGACAAGAGAAACATTTTCAACTGAAAAACAACTCTCCCCTTCCCATAGAGGAACACAGGAAAGACTCTTCAGATCATTCCAGGATAAAATAAAAATGCAATACTATTCATTTTAAGTGCCTTTTTTTCCCCTCTTTATGAAAGAAAAATATTGCTTGGAAAATCTTCCATTAGTGATTTTTATCTGCACAGACTGAGAATCATACACACTTTAATTTTACTAGAATAAAATTTTAAGACTTGATGAGGCAAAATAAGATCTATTGCTTTACCAAAACAAGCATTCAAGGGAAAACATCAAAGGTGCCACAACAAATTATACCAAGAAAAATCTTTCTTTCATGGAGTCCAATACACCTTGAAGCAGTTCTTTCCAAATCTAATATGTCATCAATAACAGTTAAACCTATAATGCAGCTGTATTGCCCAATGTTGAAGCATATGACATGCATCGGATCAGATGGACCACAGGAAGTCTTGAAAGTTTCACTTTGTGCATTTGTATAATCACGGTTAATTAAGTATCCCATATTGTCCAGTTCTCATCGATTTTGGTTAATAAAGTTTTGTATCAAGAAGGGAATGCCTCCAAGACAAAGGCTGTTTCAGGCCAAAACACCAGAATGTATGAGCAGGAACCTGCAGCTACTGATATAAAACCATAATGAGAGCGCAAACCATAATATGGGTTGTGGAATTTTGAGCTATCAGGAAGAAGTGAGAGGCTTTTACCAAAAATATTAAAATTCTTTAATGATAATGCATTCTTTTTAATTTTCGACGACGACGAAATAATTGAAATATCACCACGCAACCAAGGAGAACGCCTTGAAGAATTATCACCATCTTCAACCCTGGAATCAGTAAGCATTACCCTGTTTATGCTACCAGTAACTGTAAGTTAGATTAAAAAATAATAATGTTGCCTGAAGAATACCTTTAGCCTTATGCAATAAGTCCTCCAGAAGAAGTCCATCTTCCGATTCCTTGGCATCAGTAGCTGAGATAAAACGTCTTGCCTTGTACTCCAAATTTCCACCCATGATACATGTGTTTGGGCAATTGATGCCACTGTCATATTCATCACTTCCGTCACAGCAATCTACAAAGTTAATAAATTGACATAAAGAACCAATTGTCCAACAAAAGGACAAACCCAATTTGCATTAATACAAAGGAGGAAAACTTCATGTAGTGCACAAAATGGGATTGAATGGTATAGATAAAATGTGTGAAGCAAACATGAAAACACTAATCACTTAATCAGTATCCACAGATATGACTTCGAAAACCAAGCATACAGGGGAACATTGTATCGAGCTGAAGCCTGATGATATCAACAAGGAAGAAAAATATTACCAAAATTGAAGTTTTTTGTTCCCTTGGATGATACAAGTGATAAATCAGTAAGAGGCTAAAGCACATAAACCCTAGGTTACTGCACCTGAACCAGCTATCTGCCATAAGAATGAATGGCAAAGAAGACTTGAAGCATTAAAGAGAAGGAAGTGAACCAATTTTACTTATTGTACTCACCACAAATTCGATCATTTACATGGGATGAAAATATAAACTGGGGTTTACTTCCTAAATTCTGGCAATAAAATTTGCCTCTGGGACAGGCTGAAGTTCCTGCAGGATAAATCAAAATCGCAACTAAATATGATCCACTAAGAAATAAATAGCATAGAAGAAAAATAATTTAGTAAAATTATCAGCTTATGTGTATGGCACAAACCACAAGAAAATACCACTCAATTCACTGGCAAAATCTCTATCATCATACATAAAGTTGAGATGAAAAAAGAAAAAAAGAAAAAAGCAAACATTCTCAGGCAGAATTATAAAATTTACAAGCAAAGTAGCATCACAATTCCTAAACCCAAAGAGAAAGGGGAAGTAAAAGTGTTCCAGTTTAAAAGGGAAAAAAAAAATGGAAAAAGAAATAGCATCACAATTTCTGATAACAGGAATTCAGTATCTTGGACGTTGGAAATCCACCAAACAATAAATCCACTAGCAAAGTAGTTCTACACAGGTTTAGAAAAGAATGACTTGATGCCACTTTGATCTCAAAGATTAGGTATTCCACTTGAAATATAACAATTCTTTTTCAATTAAACTAGCCCATTACAGCAAACAAAGTTTTCTCAGGCATGTTCTCATAAAAGCAATAAAACTTTCACATCTTAAATTTTTATCAAACATCAAACAGTGAAGCACTCAATTGCCATTTTCCCGCAAAATATTTCTGAAGACTAAATACACAGATGGTCCAATCCAGAATTTTAACATGCATTCCCAGAATGTATAAAGAAACGGTTTCGATATTATACATGATAGTAATAAAATCAATCCACAGTTAGTAAGCTTCACACATCAAATACGACATAAAGTAACTAAAATTTAAGTACCCAGTAAAACGTAAACACAAAAGATTGAGAATTTGAAGCAATAGTACTGCAGAAGCAACAAAATTTAGAATTTCCGATACCGGGCTCGTCTGTTCCGTCAACACAGTCGCAGAAATTATCATTGAGACTGTCTCTGGGAAAGGATTTCGAGCCGTCCTTGCATTTGATAAGCCGCGAAGAAAAGTACTTCTCATCTGCAAAGGTGCAGAAATCAAATTCAGTATAAAATAACACAATAATTGAAATGAAATCAACAACAAAATGAAAATTGACGATCTGGGTCAAAAAGAGAGAGAGAAGCGAACACCTAAAGGGTGGACACCGATGAGAGGTGCTTTTGAGTGTGCTGAGGGTACAAGGAAATAGAAGGCGATGAAGAAGGTAAATAAGTTGTTGAAACTGCAAAGTCTGCAATGGGTCATCTCCATTATCCTTGGGAATTTGCTAATCAAGCCATGGTTAGAAGTTAGAGCTTAGAATCCATTTTGGGCTATGTTTCAAGTGTTGCTGGACTTTGGACTTGACCCAAAGTCAAAGTTTTAAGTTGAATACTGAAATTAATAAATACTAAAAATTTTTCTTTGCAAGTTTTTCCCGATTCATTTATAAAAATTATTTCATTAGAATGATATTATTAAAGGCCATCTTATTTTTATATAAATAGATATGAAGGTAAGTCGTGTTAATCTCCATCCGATTATGAAAATATAAATTTGATTTCAGAAAATATATTTTTCAGGACAAAAATCTTTTAAAAAATAATATATGGATGGTTAAGATATTTGTGTTGATGATCACAGGAGTGATAAGGTGGTTATAAGTGATCACACTTCCTTGCAAGCACCTGTTGTGGAAAATAAGGAGGAATAAGGATGGCTAAATATTTTCCATATTCTGTTAGATATATTTGGTTGTTGGATTACCATGTGCAGATTGTATCTTGACTGAATTGGTAGCTAGGATCTGCTTTCAATAATTAGTTAATATTTCATAGATTATTAAGGGATTCTTTGTACTTAGTCGTGGACTTAACCACTATATAAGTGGCTGCCTTTCATTACTTGTATATACAGAAAAAACAGCATTAATAATATATCAGTTGCTACACCTTCGTATATACATATTCAAAACTCTTGTTTCTATTTTTCTTTCTATTTGAAGCTATAAAAAATATAATATTGATTAATATTAACAATTAATATTTCTCTATAATAATATGAATTTCATATGTAATATGATGTCTAAATTCCTAAACATCAAATTAAGCAACAACTGATTGCCTGAAATTAACAAGAATTGCAATACAATAATATAAATTGAATCATATAACGGATTTTGATTTCTCTTCCATGTCTGTCTGTTAACTGCTGCTAAATTTTCTGCATGTATATATATTGTACTTATGATCAATTCCATCATTAACTTAGTTATATTCCACCTTCCCACAATGTCCCATCCATTGTCTTGCCATTGATAGAACCAAAATGCCCTGCCAAAAATTTAAACATATAACTTAAATGAGAATTAATTTAAGTGCATTTCATGTTTAATTTACTTAATAATTAAACAGTTTAATTAGTTACCTGGGAGGTAATACGGTTGCTGATTAAATCCAGCAGTAGTAATCGAATGCTGCTGCTGCTGCAAATGGGGCTGCAATTTTTCTTGCCTTCTAACTTTCTCAGTACCTTGCACATAATTTAAAGGATAACTATCATATGGGATTTGATCAACAATTATATTTCCATTTCCATTGTTATGACTATGATTAATTACTATACTGTTATTATTATTAGCTAATCCTCCTCCTCCTCCTCCTCCCTTGTTAGTGCCATTCCAAGCACTACTAATCATCCCTTGTTGCTGCTGAACCAGTTGATTTTGGTTCACCATTTGAGTTTGATTCTTGTAAAGCTTAAGCTCTTCTTGAATTTTTCTATACTCTCCTAAAGGACCCAAAATTGGATCATTCTGCCTGCAAAAAGCTTCCCAAACCAAAGAATCCGCCACAGTTTTTCTATCTTCTTCCCTAACGCTCCTTACTAATTTCATCACATTGCTTACTCCAAAAACTTTATGAACAGCTTGAAACTCCCGGCTTCTATCCGCCGGAAAATATGGTGCTAATATGCAATCTTCTCCGCATTTCTTCCTTTGATGCTTGCATGAAGCACAAGCTGGATGCGCCCCCGCCGTTCCACCATTATTATTGCTGTTATTGCGCTTTTGCATTCTCTAAATCAAACAAAATAAAAAGAAATAAGTAAAATAATTAGCACCAATTATTACCTGGTTTTTCAAAGCTATGTTCATAAATTAACGAATCCAATAATTTTTAGACAGGAAGAAGAAAAAATATAATATACAAACCTTGCATGAGCTTTGTTTTTATTTTTGAATGGAATGAAAAGGAGATGTTTGTATAAATAATACAGGAAAAAAAAAAAGAACAAGAAGATGAAGAACAAAGTATTTGTCTAGAGGGACATGAAAAGATAGCCACCCTAAAAAATTAAAAAACAAAGGGATATTGCGAAGAGTTTATTAGGGTTTAGGTAGCCCATATGAAGAATAAGAGACATACGTAAATACTATAACCGTGTTAGAGATTGATACTATAAAGAAAATAAATAGATAAATGAATAAAGATTATTAGATTTTATACCAACTGATGTAGGTTTTATTTTCTTTGAGAAATAAATTTATAATGAGATTCAGATTTAAAAAATAATTTTTGATTTTTAGTTAAATAAAATAATTAAGAGTACGAATACAATTTACTAAAATAATGTTGTTTCCAAACATTTTGCAAGAATAATATAATTTTAGGTGAGCCTTAATCTGTGTTTAAACAAAAATACATTCAAAAAATAATATAAACTTAAAAAAATAAAATAATACTTATTAAGCATTATTTTAGAGTGTATTTATTAAAAAAAATTAAAAAATATGTTGCAATTACAATATTACACAACTTTGGGGATATTATTGCTTATTAGGCATCTTTTTAATTTAAGAAATGAGCTTCTCAAGCTCAATAATAATAATAATAATAATAAGACTAGAAGTTGGGCTTAGATGATTCTTAATTAGGTTATACTTAAAACCCTAATCCCCAATTTGATAACAGGCCCATAAATGAAGGCAGAGCCAATAATATTAGTAAACTATGTGGTCCATTTTCACTTGTCCATGAAGCAAAAATCAGATTAGGTCCCCTTTCAATATGATCAGATTCAGACGAGAAATCCATTTTTGCTCTGAAAGTCACATTTCAGAACAACCTTTAAAGGGTTTGTGATATCTTTTGTTGTGAATGTCACACAGCATAGACAGGTCACTTCCAAAGCCATATATATTATCATCTTCTTCATCACATGGATGCTATCACTGCCTTCAGTGACTCCATACCCCACATTAGAGATCAAATCATAGTCATAAAAAGACACTTGCTCACATGGAGTTGTCATCTTTTAACTAATAAAAGCAATATAAATTAAGTAGCCACTGGATTCGAATCTAATTCAAATCGTAACGTGGGTATTAATGATTGTGATCGATAGAATTCGAATCTGAAACATTTCGCTCCTCACGTTCTTATAGAAAATGAATATTACTGTATCACATTTCACATGCAATCTTAACCATTGGATAATAATTTAATTTTAAATTATTCAACACTCAATGACCAAACTTGATTAAATGATTGGAACAGGAATATCAAGAGTTCATCAAAAGCGAGCTTTAGTTAAAATGGTATTGAATTGAACATCCCATTTATAAATTCTTCCCTTAATCATGGTGACACCCACATAAAGTTAGCTCCTTCAAGTTTTGTTAACCTGACCCAACTGAGTGTTAATTTCTCCATGCAATTGAATTCAGATACTTACACCTAAAAATGCATTTGCAATCATTGGATAGAAAAAGCAAAATAATATCTTTAACATAAATTGAATCAGGTTGGAAACTATGAGATTACAAGTTAGAAGTTCTTATTAGAATCAAATTAATAAAAATATAGAAAATTAATAATGGATTTGTGTCAAAATTTGTACAGGAAAGCATGGAAATATCATGCCTTTACTGGTAACTTGCTTTCTTTCACCTGTGTTTCCTACTCTATACTTGGAAAATGATTATTTGGCTAATTAAGCAATGTGTAATTTTCTTTCTTAGCACTAATGATTCAATCCCTCCCTTTTCCAATACTTAACCAACTAACACACTATCACCAAACAATTCTTTTGTTAGTGTCTTTAGCGACTGTCCTTCCCCTTAAAGAAACAGGAAAGCTATTTGGCAATCATGGTAAAGGTAAAGAGCTCCAGCTAAAGTTGGGGGCTAGGGTTTCCTTACCTTATTAAATGCAACTCTGTCATCCCTCCTTTCCTATTCAAATTTTAAACCAAAACCACTTCAAATTTGACCCTCTATAAGTGTGAAGTCCTTGTTGATCAATATTTTTGAGAATTTTAAAGTAACGGAGAGATAGAGAGAGAGAAGAAGAAGAAGAAGAAGAAGAAGAAGAAGAAGAAGCCAGTAGGAATGGTGTAAGAAATAGAAATCAAAGAGAAAATCCCCAAAAAATGAGCACAGCCAGGTTTATCAAATGTGTTACTGTAGGTGATGGTGCTGTTGGGAAGACATGTATGCTCATCTCTTACACAAGCAACACCTTCCCTACTGTATGTTTAATTATATGTACTTTTATTTCCAGTCTTTTTTCCCCTCAAGATTTCTCTCAGCAATCAAAAATAATGATTTTAATTGTAAAGCCTCTTTCTTTATTTTGCTAGGATTATGTCCCTACAGTGTTTGATAATTTCAGTGCTAATGTGGTGGTTGATGGTAGCACAGTCAATCTTGGATTATGGGATACTGCAGGTCAGTTCTTGGGTTTTCTACAATCAGAGAAATTTTACTCATTTCTAAACAATTCTCTTAATTTTTCAGGAGAAAATTGAAAATTAGCCTATTTATATGAGTATAGTTAACTTGTGTCTTCAGGACAGGAAGATTATAACAGACTAAGGCCTCTGAGTTACAGGGGTGCAGATGTGTTCCTTTTGGCTTTCTCCCTAATAAGTAAAGCTAGCTATGAGAACATTTCCAAGAAGGTTTAGTTTACTATTTTCATTTGCTGTTTGTAAATTTTGGGTCTTGAAATTTGCCCCTTTTTTCATTTTTCTTGATTGTTTCTTTTTGTTGGGCACCAGTGGATTCCTGAGCTAAGGCATTATGCCCCAACTGTACCAGTTGTTCTAGTGGGTACTAAACTAGGTAATTGAAGATCTCCTTCGTTTCAATGTCCATATGTTGGAATTGTTGTTTCCAACAGCATTTGCATTGGTATTTTCCTGAAAAAACAATTCCACTTTTCAATTTCAATACGAAATAGATTTTGACTGGATTTTATAACTGCAGATTTGCGAGACGACAAGCAGTATTTGATTGATCATCCTGGTGCAACACCAATCACAACTTCTCAGGCAAAATGTTCATTCCCATTGGCTATGTGCTATTTGAACAAAGTGGATTTGCCAATTCTATGAACTAAAAGAAGTAACAAGTTTTAATTGTAAGTGCAGGGAGAGGAACTAAAGAAGATGATTGGTGCTGCTGTTTACATTGAGTGCAGCTCAAAGACTCAACAGGTTAGGATGGCAACAACAATCTTGCATACCTCTGAATATAGGCCAAATACATAAATTCACCTATGAATTTTACAACTTAAATCTTGTAGCATGCCAAGTTTTATGAATAACTTATCGTGCACTTGAAATTGCAAATTTTAGTAATATTGTACACATTTCCACACTAATAACAATAGTTTTGATGATTTTGTTTGGCTTTTATATGCAAAATATATTGCCAATCATTTGGTAACTCAAACCTTTATCTATATGTGTTATTTGCCAGAATGTGAAGGCAGTTTTTGACGCAGCAATCAAAGTTGTCTTGCAGCCTCCTAAACCCAAGAAGAGAAAAAGGAAGCCAAGGCCTTGTTTGTTTTTGTAAATCAAATTTTCATCCATTTGCATGTCTCATGTCTCTTTGCTCTGCCCTTTGTTGTTTTCTTCTTCATTGCATCTCTTGCTAAACATTTTTGCTTTCTTGTAATGTAATATGTTATAATTGGGTCACATGTGATCTTGTAATCAAATACCATGTCTGAGATATATTATAAACTTCTCTTGGTGTCCGTACATCAAAATCTGAATTTTTAAACCAAGTAATTTCTTGGACTAGGTAATGCATAATAAGGCCCAAAAATGTAAGGTTATTAAAATTTCTCAAAAGATAAAATAATATATATCTTATAAAATAATGGAGATTTTATAAGAACTTAACGAGATTAATATAATTTGTAAGGCCATTTCTTATAAACCAACTAGTAATTAGGGAATTTATTTACAAAAATAGCTTGGTGCAGTGGTTGAATCGTCGTAGACTCCATATCGAAAAACAGCGTATTGATGATCACGAGATCAAGTTCTAACAGCAAAAATAATTCTCTAGGAAGTACATTGCAAACTCTAAAAATATTAGATTGCATACCCGATCATATGTACTAGATAACCACAAATAAATTATATTTTGGTGTCTCTAAATTCATTTAAAGTTCTTTTTTTCTGAAAAAATTAATTGTTTTCGCAGGTGATAGCTGTTATAATAGCTAAGATATTAGATATTTATAAATAAAATATATTTTGGTGTCTCTAAAATTTATTAGGGTTTTTTTTTTATTAAAATTAACTGTTTTAATCGCTATCAGTTATTTTAATAGATGTTAACTATTTAATTTAAAGGTTTTTTTAGTAAAATTAATTATTTTAATAATTATTAATTATTTAATTAACCTTAATAAAAGGACGAATAGATTAATGGTTTACAATCCCCTCCCTCAAACATTAAACGCTAGAAATTTCAGAACATAACTTTACACCTTTCTTCTTCACAATAAGTTCTCAGCCTATTTGTGGTAGTTGCGATTTTGCGGCCGTTATTTAGGCTCCTCATCGACGAATGACGGCAGGTTCTGCTTATCGGTATTTTGTTCTCAAAATTTTCCGATTTACTGTTTGTCGTCGTCGAACGTAGCGCCAATTCGATTTTATTACAATATTTATTTATTTAACTTACCAAAGCAGAAAAAGCCACGTGGGTATCTTTCTCCTTGTCTAAAACCCTACCAATAGAAGTCGAACTTAAAACCATAAACCTCGTTGCTATTTTTACCTTAAAAAAATGGCGGGTCCTCTGCTTCGAACTCTCTGGTCCTCCACCAGGAAGTCTATATCTTCTTCTTCTTATTCTTCCTCTTCCTTACTATACAAGCACTACCTTTCATCAAGCGTTACACCATTTATCCCACGCGCCACCACTGGCGTCACACGAGCCTTCTCCGCCGCCTCCTCCACTGCAACCACCTCGGCTGCAACAGCACCGAATTCCGCCTTGGACCCTAGCCGGTTACGTAATGTTGCTGTGATTGCACATGTCGATCATGGAAAGACGACACTGATGGATCGATTGCTTAGGCAGTGCGGCGCCGATATTCCTCACGAACGTGCCATGGACTCCATTAGCCTTGAACGCGAGCGTGGCATCACCATAGCCTCTAAGGTCTCTTGATTTCTTCTTTTTGTCATAGTACTTTTCGAAAAAGCTAGAATTTTTGAAGGAAAAAAAAATGTTAAAAGCAAGAATTTTTGAAAAAAGAGAACTTTTCGGAGTTTATGTAATGAAAGAATTGTTGTATGCAGGTTACTTCAATTTCATGGAAAGAAAATGAGCTAAACATGGTTGATACACCTGGACATGCTGATTTTGGTGGTGAAGTAAGCTCTCACTTGGAGTTTCTTTTTCCTTAGGGGTCACATGAATTAATGATGTCTTTTAGTTTTGATGGCGAATTATTGCTGGTTTTTATTTTTGATTACGAATTATTGCTGTCATCTTAGTTTAGTAATGTTGGCTTCAAGAACTGATTACTCCGATGTTAATGATATATGTAGTAAAAGTCCATATCAACATGTATATTTGACATATGGTAGAAATTGTGTAGTAAAAGTCCTAAGGCACGGTCTAACTGAGGTTAAAAAGAAATTATGGACCAAGTGTTAGTTGTTCTAGTGGTAGAAGTGGTTATTTTTCATTAGTAATTTACTGTGAGTCAGAAGCTCAGCTTTGCTTGTCTCTTAGGAATTAGTTTGATATTTGCAAATCAGTTTGGGTTCAGGGTGTTGATCCTTGTGCAATTTTGTTTTGAGAATCGTAGGTTGAGCGAGTTGTTGGCATGGTTGAAGGTGCAATTTTAGTTGTAGATGCTGGTGAAGGCCCACTTGCCCAGACAAAGTTTGTTCTTGCTAAAGCATTGAAGTATGGGCTTCGCCCAATTCTACTTTTAAACAAAGTAGATCGGCCTGCAGGTATTATTACATTACTAATTCATACTTTCTGTATATTCTTTGTGGAAACTGGAAAGTAAATTACTATCCAATTACATGATCTATGGTGGAAGCTGAAACATTAAGCAAAAAGTATAAAATGGAAATTGAAGTTTCATGCTATATACAACTTTTATTTTCCATGTTGTCATTTGTCATACTCATGTATTTGGCTTTACATGGTATTTCTACATTATGAGTCTCTATATTTCCATGGCTTACTATGTCCATTTTCCTCCAACTTCGAATTTGAAATCCTGTATGTTATTTGGTGTTACTGTTTGGAGCAGCTATTTGTCAATACATTTGAGTTTTCAGAACATTTTGAGCGTGAAATAATTTTAAGCCATGAAGGAGTCTATTCCAATTTGGTGTAGTTACTTTTGCTTCACTTCCTCGTTACTTACATTCCTATAGAATATTGAAATTCTCTCCAGTAAAATTTGGGATATGGAAATGGTCCTCATGTGCTTCCTCATCATTCATGCAGTTTCTGAGGAGAGGTGTGATGAAGTTGAGAGCCTTGTGTTTGATCTATTTGCCAATCTGGGTGCTACAGGTGAAATAAAGATAGGAATTTGAACCCTCCATTATTTGATTTCCTTCACAGTTATTTACATGCTTTATTAACTGGATATAAACTCTGAGGTATATAACCTATGCTATTCTTGATTTAGAGGAACAGCTGGATTTTCCTGTTCTTTATGCTTCCGCTAAAGAGGGCTGGGCATCTTCCACCTTCACTAAAGATCCTCCTACTGATGCAAAGAATATGTCACAGTTGCTTGATGCTATCATAAGGCATGTTCCACCACCAAAAGCAAGCCTTGATGCTCCTTTTCAGATGCTGGTTAGTATTACACACTGTCGGTTCCAGTGGAATGTTTAATCATGTGTGTTTATGTCTTGAATATGTACACATCGTGTGAGCATGGCATGGTCACGTAATATATATAGGATGCAAAAGAGTAGCCAGGCGATGCTATCAAAGGCAGTGTTCGCATTCCACCAACAAGCAACTTAGATGCGTCCTTTTTTCCGGATTGCTGGTTAAGTAGTTACGACACTGTCGTTCCAAGTGGAGATGTTAATCATGTGTGATCTTATCGTCTTGTAATTATGATACACAGCGTGGTGAGGCATTGGGGCATGGTCACGTAATAATATATGTAGTAGTATATATTATGGATATATATATATATATGATAAGTATAGGTATTATTAATATGTAAGTTATTGATATCATACTTTTTCACTGTTGCTTTTCAAGGTTTGTCCATGGATGGAGGAGAAAGAACTTCTATACTGGCGCGGGATATTTAACCGGGACGTGGTACTGCTTCTGGAGTCCTTCGTGCGTTGGAGGACAGGGTGCGATGGACTATATGGTAGTTATTGTTCTCTTTTTCACTGTTGCTTTTCAGGTTTCCATGATGGAAAAAGACTTCTATCTTGGGCGGATATTAACCGGACGTGTTGCTTCTGGAGTCCTTCGTGTTGGGGACAGGGTGCATGGACTACGTTCCACAGATTCAGGGGTTGTGAAAATTGAAGAGGGAAAGGTTAGTATCGTACATGCTATGATATTGAAACAATGCCTTGAATTTCATTTTCAGGACCTTCCTGCTTTGCTAAATTGAAGGATTCAATATGGAAATCATTCATGCTTCATTCACCCTGATTCTATCTGGTGTTAGGTTGCAGCTTGGTATTTAGATCTGAACTAAAAGCTTCACTTCCTGTGATATCATAAATATTGAGAACTCTAAAATTTTAAAAATAAAATTTTCTCCCTTAACTGTTAGTGAAAATTTTCCTTTTCCTCCATGTCTGTATTATTACATTATGTTCCTACTCTTGTATCACCTTTGTTTTAGCCTTATTATTCTTGTAAAGTTCATGAAGTGTACTGCTTTGCTGAATAAAGTAGCCAATGCAATGATAAATAATATCGTTCCATGTCTCCATAACTCTCATTTTGAGAAAAATGCCTATTCAGCATTAGCTGCAGCCTGTAGCTGATATATTGTGACCAAAACGTCATCCTTGGCAGTTCCATTGTCTCCTAGTTTGTTTTCAGTTAATTTTTGAACTAGACAAGACAAGGGAGAACCCAATTAATATAGTTTGCAGTAGTCTACAACGTTGATGGAAAGGGCAAAGGAAGCAATTTATTTATTCTATCAGAATGTCAATGATGAAGGGTTTTTTATTAGTACCAAACATTTGAATGTGATGACTTTTTATTTATTTTTTGCTTCAACTGGTTCCCATATTATTTATGTCTTGACTTCTTATATCAAGCATTAGGAACCCCAAATACAAACATCTGTATTTTAAGTTTCCTTTTGTTTCTGATCACCTTTCAATTACATACAATGTTAGGAAGGACTTTACAAGTCTTACTTCTTTTCAGTAGAATGCTATTTCATCTCTTGTGCAAAGCATGAGGATTCGGTAAAAGCAGTTATATTGAGACAATTCTTGAACCAGTTTTATATGTGAGATGCCTGAACCTTCTGCAACTGGAAATTTGATTGTACCGTTAACATGTTCATCTTTTATCTTGTAGGTTATGAAGCTAATGAAGAAGAAGGGTACAAACACAGTTCTCATCGATAGTGCTGGAGCTGGTGACATTATATCAATGGCTGGTATGGCAATTCCATCAATAGGCCATACATTGGCAAATGTGGAGGTATATGGTTGTATTTGTTTTCAAGAGTAAATAGGATGTTTTCTTTTATCTCAGGCATTGCACTTATCTTTTCTTGGAAATTTATTGAATATCCCTGGTGTATTCTTTCCCAGAATTCTTTGATTCCATGCTTTCTGTAGAAAAATTATGTTGTGCTTTTTTTAAAAAATTGTGTGTAGCTTACTAATGGCTTTGCATATACTAAGATTGAAATCACTTGCTGCTTTCATTCTGATCAGTATTATCAAGTAGAACTCTGTAGGTACTTTATATGGTTATACAGTTCTTACAGATTTTCTTGACTATATACCTACCGCCAAAGTGCCAATGATACTTTGCTTTGTGAGTTTTGAAGACTTTTTCCTTTTTGCAGTTACAAATGCATTGTCCCCTCTCTCTCTCTCTCTCTCTCTCTCTCTCTCTCTCTCTCTCTTTTCTCTCCTTCTCTTCCGTCTCTCTCTTTTTCCCAGTGGGGTACCTGAGAAGCACGATGTTATGTAAATGAGGCCATTGAGCCAGGATTCCCCCTCTCTCTCTCTCTCTCTCTCTCTCTCTCTCTCTCTCTCTCTTTTTCCAGTGGGTATTCCTGATGAAGCACCGATGTTTGAAAATGAGCATGATCCATGGATCCTGCGAATAAATTTTGATCTTAATGATGCTTGGAGACATTGTCCCCAGTTGTAATTTCTGGTGAACTGGCCAGTTACAGGTCTTCCAATTAGTACTTGTGAATGTGTTGGTGGCTAAAATCTGAAGGCTGAAGCACATGTTCTTGCAGGTGTCTATTGAGGATCTAAATAAAATTTACCATATTGCTAATAGTATGTGTAGTGCTTTGTTTCAAAAGAAGTGGGCATCGATGGATGTAACTTGTTCTTTTGGCTCTAGTGTGTAGAATGTAAATCAGCCTTGAAATCAATCTAGTGATGTAACCTTTATCCAATTAATCACATTGATTGAGTGTTAGCCTTTTACTCTGTCGCTTCTACCACCATAGGATTTGCAATTTCAGCTAAGGCATTTAATATAGTGTATGATTATTTATATGTTCTTTCTTCTTGGTTATGTCTACAATATGTTCTTGATGTGTCTGTTACAGTTTTCCTGGTGATACATAATTCTTGGTAGCATGTTGATTGATATCTCAAGTTGTGGGGTCATATTCTAAAGTGAAGTATTATATATCTCTAGGTGATGACTGCATTACCGACTGTTGAGTTGGACCCTCCAACCATTTCCATGACCTTTGGTGTAAACGATTCTCCACTAGCTGGCCGAGATGGTACCCACGTAAGTCGAACTGCCTGACAACTTATTTTCCCTAATTCCACATTGTTTAACACATTAGAAAATACTTTTTATATATGTGTTTTTCATTTTTGGCTATTGTATGTGAGGTAATGGTGTTCTTCTGTATGTCTATAGTTGACTGGAGGAAAAATTGGTGATCGTTTAATGGCTGAAGCTGAAACTAACCTTGCCATAAATGTCATTCCTGGTTTGTCAGAATCATATGAAGTTCAAGGGAGAGGGGAACTTCAACTCGGTTAGTCCCTCTTAACCTAGTGCTACAGCTTATATGTTTTATTCAATGTAAAGCATAGATTCGTAATAATACGTCCTTCCTTCTACAACTCAACTTGAAGTACTGTAACTGCTGAGTGTAATTTCCGATGCTTTAATATCAGGTATTTTGATAGAGAATATGAGGCGGGAAGGGTTTGAGCTGTCTGTATCACCACCTAAAGTCATGTAAGTCCTGTGTGAGATACTTAGCATGTAAGCAAACAAGCATATGCACTTGGTTTTTGCATCTTGAGCAATGTTACATTATTGAATCAGGTATAAAACACAGAATGGCCAGAAGCTTGAACCAATTGAAGAAGTAACCATTGAGGTAAGAATTTCAAAATTTTGAATGCACTGGTTTTTTGCTCATAGGAACTTTGGTTTATTCATAATATTTTTTATTTCAGATAAATGAAGAGCATGTGGGATTAGTTATGGAAGCTCTATCTCACAGACGTGCTGAAGTTCTTGATATGGGCCCAGTGCCTGGACATCTGGGTAGGACTAGATTGGCTTTGACTTGTCCATCAAGGTCAGTGCATAACTGCCCAAATTATGTTTGCGTAGTTACATGCATATTTGTTGTATCCTGGGTAATGTATTCATCATAAAAAATTGTATATATTTTATCAATTCTATTTGAATATTCCTTTCCTGTTTATTCTTAATTAGCCATTTTACCAGAACTGGTCCTTTTTTGTCATATATTTCAGGGGCCTGGTTGGTTATAGGAGTGTGTTCAGCAGTGATACACGTGGAACTGGATTTATGCATCGAGCTTTCCTGAGTATAAATTCTTCACTCACGACAATCTTGTTGTCATTCTCTTTCTTTTGGAATTTTTTATTTTCTAGATTTCTTTAAGTAGTATTTGACTTTCTTTTTGGCAATATGAACTTGTGTGACATGGTAATTGTTTGTATACCAAGTTGGATTCAATATTCTATTTTTGGGATGTCTTATGTTAGTTTGATCGAAAATGTAGGGAAGGATCAAATTTCAATATAATTAAGGTTCCCATTTATATTACTCAATGTATGAATTGGTAGGTTCTGTGCAAAATTTCTAAGTAGTAGATGCTCCATTTATGTTTTGTGTTCAGTTTCTCCAGTGATTGTGTAGGTCAACCTTGCTCCAACAACCAACTCTTGACAAAGTATTTTGCTCACACAATTTATTCTTTTGTTTTGCAGCCTATGAAAAATATCGGGGCCCACTTGGAAATGTTAGGAAGGGAGTATTGGTATGTTTTACATGCACATCATTTCCTCACGATTGAACTAATACTAGTTGTTCTTTTCAGTTATTTTCTATAAGAGCAGACCAAATATTTGTCATATTTGAAAATGAATTATTTTCTTTGAGTTTTCTGTGGTTCAATTTGAAGCTCTTGTTTTGTTTACCTCAATTCAAGGATAGGGCTTTACCCAGAGCTGATCTGATCGAATTTGTATCTGTAGGACCCACTGCAATGGGGCAATAAATTCTCATCTGAGCTTTATGAGTCTACAGTAGCCTTTACCTGAATTTAGGTTTGACTAGGATACTAGGATTATATCTAATAAACCCTTTGGATCTTGGGATATATTCAATAGAATTGGTTGCGACTATTGGCAAAGAAGAGATGGAAGGTAAGAGAGATTAATTTGCTGCAAACAATTTGACTGATTGTTGCATTAGAATCATTATTCTTTTGCTCTACCCTTCTAATATTTCTTTCCCCTCTTTGAAAGAACCATTTGTTAGCGAAATTTATATGATTTGCTCTTGTAATTGAATTATTTGCTTGGATGTGTACTGACTAATGCAAGTTTTATTTCTTGGATCTAATTGAACTTGCATTATGCAATTGAACAGGTATCAATGGGCTATGGTACAGTCACAGCTTATGCATTAATGAGTTTGGAAGCTCGTGGAACACTCTTTGTTACTCCTGGAATGGAGGTTCTTTCTTGACTTATTGTCTTTCTGCTTCTGTTCACTTCTTCCATGCCTTGAATTTGTATAGTTGTGAAGAAATTCTTTACATTTTCTCGGCACGCTTAAGCAATGAATTCTAATGGAGCATTTTCAGTTAATCTTCAAATTCTAAATTTGTACATATATATTTTTTCATAACCATGTAGTATATATATTAATTGATCGGTGACACCTCTATATGGTTGTTGGGGCGATATCTTGTTCATGAAAACTCTTTGTTGTTGCCAATCTATTATCTTTTAATTCCTCCATACAGCAGTGATATTGATGCAGGATTTGCATGAACATTCTCCCACTTATTTTTGAGATGATGGAAAATACATAGCAGGTGCTAAGAAATGATGTGCCATCTCTTCACTTTTTGGGGCCAATTAGTGTGTCAGCCCAGTTCTTGAATTGAAGGCTATTTGTTCTGAAGGAATTTGAAAAACTACCTGCTCACTTTTTGTTCTTTTGCAGACATATGATGGCATGATTGTGGGTGAACATTCGCGTGATACAGATCTCGATGTAAGGATTTATGTCTCTTGCGCTTGGCATTGTATCATTTCAAGATGAATGACTTCAAAATTTTTTCTTTTTCACAGATCAACCCGGTTAGGGCTAAGGAGCTCTCTAACATGCGTGCTGCTGGCAAAGATGAGAATGTGAAACTATCTCCACCTCGATTGGTATGAAATGCCCAGATTTTGCAGTTTTATTGATTGTTTCTATTCTTAAGGTTAAATGTTGCCAATCCTTGGACAAATGACATAAAGCATGTGACATAATACTACTTTCAAAGTGCGATTCACAACTTATTCGCTCCTAATCTCTTGATAAATGATATATGAACATAAATAAAAACATGAAAGGGAATAACCCAATTTGCACGGATTGTATATTTGTATATACCCAGAGAAAATGAGAACAAAATAGTTGCAAATGAACGGTAATTCAAAGAATTAATGCATGGGAAAAATAAGATGATATTCAAGTAATTATAAACAACTAAAAGAGTTATTAACTATTTCAATATCTGTTGAACAAAAAACACTAAAAATATACGTTCAAGAAATTGCTAACTGTAATGCAACCATTTGCAGATGACTCTTGAAGAAGCCATTGGCTATGTTGCTTCCGATGAGCTTATTGAGGTGAGCTTCACTAAACATTGTTGCATTTCCATTTCTGGTTTATAGTACTACCTATTGGCCTATTTGATTGTGTTCCAAAATATTTAAGGCCGTTTTATTGAATTTCTGTGGAGTTAATATTTTATCAAACATATTTCAGCAGTGGAGCTTGAAATTTCTTGCAACCAGAGATGTATACTACTACATTGCCATATTCTTGGCTTACTGCAGTGTCTGATACCATTTTCACGCAGGTTACGCCTAAGGCCATTCGTTTGAGAAAAAGATACCTGGATGTCAATAAGCGCAAAGCCATGAGTAAGAGGCCGAAGGAATGAAATCAATCGAACACAACTCTGTAACTTATACCTCTCAATTCTTGAATTCTGCGGAGCAGTTAACCTAAATATAGGTATATTTTACACAATACTGAAGAAAGTATTCTTTGTCAAATTCAATTAAACAATAATGCACAATAAAACTATCCTCATTGATATGTAAACCCAATATTGATTTTTCATGTTCAGCAATCAGAAAGCCATTCTACTGGCTACATAGCTTACTAAAAGATCAATGGAATTTATTCTTTCCTCAAACCAAATTGAAACGATGGATTGTAGTCAACAATCAATGGAGTTTCACAGAAGAAAAGCCGTTTTGAATTGTTTTTATTTCATTTGTTTAATTCTGTAACAGTAGATGGGTGTATTGACGATCTTGTCAACGATGAAAAATGAAAAGCAAGATCCATTCCTTGATTGTTAACATCAGAATTCCAGAAGGAATTGTAAAACACAAGAAAAGTTCAGAACTTGAGCCGTTAATTAAGAATATTCCAAGAAGAGTGCAACTCCAAAACAAATAAGAACAATTCAAAGCGGCTTTTCTTCTGTGAGAATGAAACTATCCTTTCAGGCCAACCAGCTTTTCTAATTTTTAATTAATTTATTTTATAAGTCTCTTCGTCAACATTGTTGATTCTATCATATTCCTGCCGATCTCAGACATGACTTCATCAAATTCAAATGTAGTTGTCTTGATGAGAACAATATGTTTTTTTTTTCCTTTTTTTTTTTTTTTTTTTTTTTTGCCATTATCAGGTGGTTTATAGTAGCTACTCAAGCCGATACTTTGGCTCTATTTTGATTGTGTTCCCAGATCATAGTTAAGGCCGTTTTAATGGAATTTCTTGTGGAGTTAATATTTTAGTGCAAAGCATTTCAGCAGTATGTGAGCTTGAAAGTGGTCGTTGTGGCCACACGCAGAAGATTGATAATTGAATCTTAACGGACGAATTGTGACATAGGTTTCGTGTGGCTTAACTGCAAGTGTCTGGAAACTACCATTTCGACGCTAGAGTTGTAAGCTAAAGGCCATTTCGTTTGTGAGAAAAGAGATACAGCTGGTTATGTCAAGATGGCGCAGAAAGGTCATGAAAGTAAGGAGGCCGGCTAAGGAATGAGAGAAATCAACGTCGGAACACAAAACTCACTGTAGACTTATACCTCTTCAAGTGCTTGAATTCTGCGGAGCTATGGTTAACGGCTAAAATACAGAGTAAGCCTCAGGTTGTGTACATCAGATGAGCTGGAAGAATAAGGGAGTTGGAGTGGATCTTGTTGGGTGTCAAATTTCAATAAACAATGTCGCTTATCAGACAGTGTATGGACTGGGACCTCGATTTATTTGATGTGCGATTGATCAGAATTTCGGGAAGGAGTGCCGGCGACAAAGTCGACGGTGATTTTCATGTATCAAGCAATCAGTAAAAGCCATTCTACTTGGCGTACATAGCTTACTAAAAGATCAATGGAATTTATTCTTTCCGTCAAACCAAATTGAACAGGCGAATGGATTGTAGTCAGACAATCAATGGAGTTTCTCACGAAGAAGAATAAGCCAGGTATTTGGAAAATTGTGTTTTAATGGTGCGATGGTTGTTTAATTCTGCTAACCAGTTAGAATGGGTGTAATCTGACGATCTTGTCCAACCGATGAAAAAATGAAAAAGCTAAGAAATCCCAATGGTCCTTGAATTGGTTATACATAAAATTCCAGAAGGGAATTGTAAAACACAAAGAAAAGTGTTCAGAACCTTGAGCCCGTTAATTTGAAGATATTCCAAAGAAGAGTGCAAGCTCCTAAAAACGAAATAAGAAACATTTCAAAAGCGGTTTTCTTCGTGAGAATGAAACTATGCCTTTTCAGGCCACCCAAGTCTTTCTAATTTTTAATTAATTATATTTTATAAGTCTCTTCGTCAACCATTGTTGATATCTATCAATGTCCTGCCGCATCTCAGACATGAACTTCATCAAATTCAAATGTAGTTGTCTTGATGAGAACCAATTACTTATTATGTTTTTTCCTCTTTTTTTTGTTTGCGTTGTTTTTTTTGAAAGTTGTTGGAGAAGAGGTAGATCGAGCATATGATATATTGTCAGTTCTTATATACCATTTATTACTAAGATTAGTGCATTGGAGTGGCGATTTTAGTTCTCCTAATTCAAACCAAAGTGTTTGGAAAGGCTGGGTCTAAATGCCATTGCAATACGAGCAATTTGGGGATCCTACGCTGTTTTACAATAATGGCTGCATATTAAAGCTAAATAATTTAATAAACTATATAAATTGGGGTAGGTGTTGCCGTTAATAAAGTAGGTCCATTGTTCCGCGATTTTTGTTAATTTATTTTTATTTTACGAGGTAAAATCAAAGAAAGACATATACTTGTGTTCCTATTTTCTAGTAATTAGTTAACGTCGTTAGGCCCCAACGGTTTTAATCATGACTAGATTAACCACTAATATATTCAAGGCGATCTTTATGACCATTTTCAATTTATAATCTAATTAATTGTTGGGTAAATAGATAATTATAAAGAATAGTACATTTTTTGTTTGTAAAACGGTAAGAAGTTGGATCCATTTATAAAAATTTAGATCAAGTTAGTATGAAACTGACTGGTGGGTATTAATTCTTCATTGGTTCACACTAAAATGTATGTAGTGAGAGATCCTCGTCAATTTGTTTAAATTCGTGCTCGCGTCAGTTCCCGAGTAGTGCTTTATACTTTATATATTTTTAGAGGTAGTTAAAAAAAATATTTTTAAATATTTTGAACTTTTGAAGCGGAATGAAAATAAGAAGGTAAAATTGTTAAAAAAGGCCATGTTTGATGTAGTAAGAATACTAGTGTAATTACAGTAGGTATATTGTTATAACTTGAAAAGCCCTCTCTCGTGCGCCTCTGTCTTGCCAAAATTTCAAGCTCTCATTTCTATGCGATAATGCACAAGCGCGCCACTCTCTCGTCGTCTCTCCTCCTCTTCTCCCTCTCATAGAGAATAAAGTAAACAATCGTCAAGATTGTTAAATTTAAACATCAACCATGTATTTTCTGGTAGTAGACGAGATCAGTCTGTCCATAGCTATATACGAGATAACATGAAGTCATCCCATCTTCATGTGTTTATCTTCATTTTGTCCAAAAGCCACACATTTCCCATCTTCC